AAGTTTTCAAAAAAAACCCTCAAAATTTTGAAAAATTTAAAATTTCTCGAAAAAAAGTCACTATGTAACAAACTTTTGACAACAGATAATGAAACTACATGCTCTTACGGTTCTAATGACACCACGCATGGGTCATCTTAGCGGGGCCTGCGGTAGCTACGAATTTTCAAAGTTGACACCCTAAGGTCATTTAGAACAGAATTTGACTGTAATATGGTTACAAATGGTTAAAAAAGGTGCAGAGCACATATTGCAAGTTTTATAAGTGTTTACAATTAATTTCCTGTGTATTGCCTCAGGGAATTTGTAATTTGAAAAAAAATATTTTTTTTAAACTATTAATTTTAAAAAATTTTTAAAGCTTGGAAATTAAAATAAATGCCTTGGCTTTTGGTAAGTGACCTATACAAGATTTTTACGCAAAAAAAACAAAAAAAAATTTTTTTTGAAAAATCGGGTTTTAGGGGGGGGGGGTCATATTCTATTAATTTCCGAGCTTTAAAAATTTTTTAAAATTTAAATTTAAAAAAAAATTAATTTTTTTTAAATTACAAATTCCCTGAGGCAATACAAAGGAAATTGTTTTTAAAGACTTATGAAACGCTCAAAATGTGTCAAACACCTTTTTTAACCATTTGTAACCATATTACAGTCAAATTCTGTGCTAATTGACCTTAGGGTGTCAACTTTGAAAATTCGTAGCTACCGCAGGCCCCGCTAAGATGACCCATGCGCGGTGTCATTAGAACTGTAAGAGCATGTAGTTTTATTATCTGTTGTCAAAAGTTTGTTACATAGTGACTTTTTTTCGAGAAATTTCAAATTTTTCAAAATTTTAATGGTTTTTTTAAAAACTTTAATTTTTTTCAATGCCTTCCGGGCATAATAAAAAAGTTGTCAACAGATAAAATGATTGTCTTATAGTGACAAACAATTTAAAAAAAAGTCCCATTCCATTCTGACATTTAGTACAACAGTTACAAAAAAAATCTTAAAACCTACCGTAATCCTACCGTAACCCAAATTATTAAATTTTTTTTATATTTTTGCATTTCTATAACCAAGTGCTACCTCTTATCAAAAAATGAGCAGTTTTCAAATAGTTTGAAATTTTTCATCGCCTATGTCTGATTCTTAAGCGAACCTTGTTTTAAGCAAGTTTAAAATATTATAGTGTCACTCCGAGGACCGAGGATTAAAACGAAGCCGCATGCCAAGCAAAAAATCGTATCTAGCACATTTACATATCTATTTGCTTTCTTCTTACAATGTTACATGCCAAATTAATTCTTGCTTTATATTAGTTTTATCATAGCTTTACCATAGGGTAAACTTGAATGACCCCGATTAGGATCGGTTGCTACTCGGCACTGCTTTAGGTTAGGCCGGACCTGGCCGAAACAAATTTTGAAAAGGTCGGGCGCGGCACATATGATTTCGTTTTTACAAGTCTACAACACGTGCAAAATGCATATTATATTACGTAGCTTTTGTTATTAAAAATGCATTATTGTAGACGTTGTACTCAATGAAATCATTGTTTATAATTTGCAAGATACGCAATATAAATTTCATTACCTATTATAAACATTTTTTTGAAAAATATTAGCTTTTATACACTATAACATCTTATATTTATTGTGTTATTATTGCAATTCAGACGGCTTATCAGTTCTGCTGGAGATTGTAGCAACTGTGCTACCAAAGTGACTTGTTCTTAATATCTTTCTTCCTGCCATCATATTTAGTTGTTCACTGAATGCTTGCCTGTAGTGGTTGCTAAAAAAGATAAACGTAATAAGAAAAAACAATAAAAATATTGTTTCGTTCAAGTAATTCTGTGCTTCCTAAATCCGAACGTATTTTTTTTGAGAAAGGACACTGAATTATTTGAACAATCATATAAAAATTCTAGTTAAAAAATTTAACGTTTTCAACGATAACTGATAATTATTACCTCATGATAAAGTAGATAGGATAGTTCAAAGCCAAAGATACGTTGCAAAATACCCCAGTGTATAAAACAAAACTCTCACTGGTCTTAATACCCATAGCCAAACATGTTGACAATAAAGAGAAGGTCACAAACCATCCGCCAATGCCAAACACTGTAACTGCACAAATTGATCTTAACATTGAGTCTAGTCTTTGTTTAGTCAACTTCTTGACCACGATCCAAATAGCTGCATAGTTGATTAAAGTCAGTAAATTGAGTACGGCGTTAAATAGTATAAAAAGCTGTTCAGCTCGGTCTTTATAACTCGAGGCTATACTGCATAGTGTTCTTTCGTTGAGGTAGGGTCCAATTTCTTCGTATGTTATATAGAGGATTGAACCGGAGATTAATGAAGGTATTAGGATATAAAGAACGATTTCAGTTGATTTTTTAATCGATTTGTAACTGAAAAAATATTAATGTTAAAGCTTAGGTTAGTGCTAGTGCTAGAACTCTGGGCTAGAGCTCTACCTGGGACTCTAGACGATTCTGGACTAGGGCTCTAGGCTAGAAATCTGTATGATGGCTCTGGGATAAGGCTATAGGCTAGGGCTCCGGGTTAAGTCTAAGGCTCTGGGCTAAAGAAACAAACCTACCCAATAGGCCTAGCAATACTGTATAGTCGGTCCACACTGACTAACCAGATCATGACAGCACCCCCATTACAAGCGAACATTAAAATTGATTGAACTCTGATACAGTCGTAGAACGTCGGGTACTCTCGTGGTCGAAAAACGTAATAGCATAAGATTAGTTGACTTATTTCGTGAACTATGTCAACTGCTGATAGTATGGCAATTAGATAATTGCACGTTGAACGGAGGTTTCTGTAATGTTTGAAAGAGAATTTGAACATAATTTCCTTTACGGAAAACTCTTGGTATAATCCGTAGGCATAGCGACCCCAGTAAACCTACTTTTTTCTTATGGAAGCAATGATAATATTCATGTTGCCAAAAATTCCAAATAAACCACATAGGCCTAATATGGCCGATGGTATTTTAGGGTCAATGCTATCCATTATTACCTAAAAAAACTTATTTTTTATATGCAACGCTACCAAAAATAAATTAAAATTCAAAGTTGATAAACGGTTAAACATTTTACTATGATAGTATATACACACAAATACACAAAATCTTAGAATTACGGTAATATAGGTATTGATTTTGAAAAATGTAAACAAATCCGCATGCCTTAAATGTTTAAATACTCTTTTAATGATTTCTGAATAATAAGAAATGACATATTTAATAACCCTTTAATGTTTTTTGTTCTTAACAAGAACAATTAAAGAAATTGTTTACCAAATTACGATAAAGCTTAGTATCGTTTTTAGAAAACAAAGATTTATGTCATCACAACGTTTAAAATTTCAACAGTTATAATTGATTTAGCACCAAATTTGGTCAACCTAGAGCTATAAACTTGTCGAGGGGTTAGGCTCAACTTTTTCGCCTGGTTCGGCTCTAAAGCTCTATTGGAATTTGTTTCAGCCTTGGGTAGTCAACCACTGACTCTGGCCGAGGTTGAGCCGGGCTTGGTGACCCTCTTCCAGAAATGAATTGAACACATATACCTTTATGCCATCAGTATTGAATTTTTCCCCTTTCCTTAGAATGAACCACTACTTCTTATAATGAGCCACCCCTTTCTTACCAGACCGCTTCAGCTTCTCCTTCTCCCCCCCCCCTCAAAACTGACTCTTTATTAACGTTTATGTTGCATTTAAATTAATTTTTGTACATTTCAACCCTAAAACGTCAATTTTGCTATCGAAAAGTTGTACAAGGAAGTTAACGCGTATTGTACCATAATAAATAATAAACAATTTTATGATTCAAGTGTTCTAAATATTATCCATAAACAATACTTTCTCTAAACTGTTTGATATTACTTTACAATTCAAACAAGTTAGACTTTTAAAGTCCACTTCATACAGAAGCATTTTTTCATTAACTACACAGTACTTCAAAACAAAAACTTGAGGTTCTAAACCATCAAGTGTCTACAAAAAAAGTAGAAACCTACAATCGATAGCAGTACATACATTAAAAGATACGTACATACAAAGGTTATTCAAAAACTAAAGCAAATAGACGTTTGGACAACAATTTATTGCTAAAAATATCTAGTAGTTATTATGGATAAACTACATTTAAAGTTGAGTTACGTTTAATAAGTGTGTATGTTACTCTGTCACTCTCCCTATTGGTACTAAGTAATTGGTACTTTAGTAGTTTGGACTCGCTGATCGAACAAACTGTGCCTATTTTTATTATAATTAATTTTAAAATACAACAATCCTCCTTGAATAACGATATTACTATTTATTATACATAAGAATATTATATAACAATCTACAGTAATCTTCTATAAAGTCCCATAAAATACCCGACTGTTTTCTCACTCTAAAAAACCTTCTGGCCGTTCTTTCGGAGCCAGAGGCGCCTTCGAGAGCATACAGCCGGCTGTCTTAGGTGAGCTTATTCACATAACGTAAATCTAGTCAATATGACAGAAACGTAGTAGGCTGGACGATTACCATTGAAAAACTTTTTTTTTCAACGCAAGATGTACAATTTAAGACGTGGGAGAAGATAATGAGGGTTTGATGAAGATCGTCAAAGCAATCCATTGTAGCAGTTCTGAATTGGGCATATCCATAGTTCTCAAATTTAGAATTTCCAGCTTTGGCTTTGGCTCTAGCTCCAGTTTTGCTTTTTTTACTTCTCCAGTTCTTACGAACACTGGCTATAACAAATGTCTTAACAATACTGACGAGATGAATGAACTATCCTATTGAAAAAGTTGATTGCGCTGGCTCTGTGTGCCATCAGTGCTAATAATCAATGGTGTATAGCTTTGGTTCTACCTTTTTAACATGCCCGCTTATTGTATACAAAAGTTGCAAATAATAATGTCATGTTATTTATATGTAAAATAATATTTTAATTAAAAAAATATATTGAAAGATATACGTAAAATATGTAATTTTTTGTTATTAACGCGCGTCAGACGGCTGATTAGTTCTGCTGTGAATGGTACCAACTGTGTTGAAACTTGTTTTTACTATCTTTCTTCCTGCCATAATATTCAGTTGTTCACTGAATGCTTGCTTGTATTGGTTGCTAAAACATAAAATTAATACGAAAAAAACTATAAATTTATATTTTTAAATTTTTTTTGTTTTTACCTACTGTATAGTACGTTATAAAAGAGCTTCTGTACTGTACTATCTGAAACTTACCTCATAACAAAGTAGATAGGATAGTTCACAGCCAAAGATACGTTGCAAGCAATTCCAGCATACAAAACAAAGCTCTCGCTAGTCTTAATACCCATAGTCAAAAATGACGACAAGATAGTGAATGTCACAAACCATCCCCCAATGCCAAACACAGTAACAGCACAAATTGATCTTAACATTGAGTCCATTCTTTGTTTGGTCAACTTCTTAACCACGATCCAAATAGCAGCATAGTTGATTAGAGTCAGTATATTGAATACGGCGTTCACCAGGATAAAAAGTTGTTCGCCTCGCTTTTTGTAACTTGATGCTACGCTGCATATTGTTTTTTCGTTGAGGTATAGTTCAATGTCTTCGTATGCTATGTAGACAATTGAACCGGAGATCAGTGAAGTTATTAGAAGGCAAAGAAATATTTCAGTGGATTTTTTGATCGATTTGTAACTGAAAAAGAATGACAATAGGTCTGGTCAGGGCTAGAGTTGAAGCTAGGGTTCAGGGCTAGGGCTCTGGTCTAGAGCTCTAGACTAAGGGTAAGTAAAAAAACTTACGCAATAGGTCTTGCAATGCTGTAAAGCCGATCTAAGCTGATCAACCAGATCATAACTTCACTCCCATTACAGCCAAACATGGAAAATGTTTGCACTCTGATACATTCGTAAAGGGTTGGGTACTCTTGAGGTCGAAAAACGTAATAGCATAATATTAGTTGACTTATTCCGTGAAATAGGTCAACTACCGACAGGATGGCTATCAGATAATTGCACGTTGAACGGAGGTTTCTGTAAAGTTTGAAAGTGAATTCGCACTTAATTTTCTCTACGGTAAGCTCTTGGTATCATCCGTAGGCATAGCGACCCCAGTAAACCTACTTTTTTCTTATTGAAGCAATGATAATATTCATGTTGCCAAAAATTCCAAATACACCACATATGCCTAATATGGCCGATGGTATTTCGGGACAAATACTATCCATTATTGTCTACAACACTAATTTTTTAACAGGTTACCGTATAAAGGCAAAAAAGATTTTAAAAGTTAAAGTAAAAAAGGTAGACAAATCCGCGCGCTTTAAATAATTTTTTTAAATGCCTTAATAATAGGAAATGACATACTTGATAACCCTATAATGTCCTTTGTTCTTAATATGATGCAGTAACAATTAAAGATGTTGTTTGCCAAATAACTTTAAGGCATAACATTGTCTGGTCTTTAAAAAACAAAGATTTATTTCATCACAACATAGTTCTGTACTCTCTCTTAAAACGGATTTGCAGAGTTAAGGAGAACAGAATTAATTGAAAAACATAATACTAAAAGACAGGTTTATAAAAGTAGAAAAAAGACTGGTTTGCAAATACAGTAAGAGACATTTTCACAAAAACAGCCTTAATTGATTTGGCAGTGCACTTGGTTAAGCTGCAGTCATAAACTTGCGAAGGAGTTGAGCCCAACTGTTATGTTTGGCTCTGCTCTATTTAAATTTGCATTAGCCTTAGCTAGTCAAGCCTAGACCGCCAAGATTGGCCAAACCTAACGGCCCCCTTTTAGGTATGTACGGATATGATAAAACATACAATATGTTTTTGAAACATAAATACGATTAAATCTTCAGTATTAAATGTCATATTCCCTTCCTTATATAAATGAACCTCCCTTTCAGTTATAATGGGTCGCTTCAATCACCCCCCCCCCTTCCCCACCTTTCTCAAAACTGGCTTATTATTAAGGTTTTTAATGCATTTAAAGTAGTTTTTGTACATTTAACACTCAAATTTAAAGTAGTTGTTTTACATTTAACACCCAAAACGTCAATTATGATATCGAAAAATTGTATTAGGAAGTTGTCGCGTATTTAAAAAAACAATTTAAAAATTAAACACGGCAAGTGTTCAGAATTAGCATAAACAACACTGCCGTTAAACGGTTCTAAAATTAGCTCACAATCCAAAAAAGTTAGACTTACTAACTGAGGAATGTCACCAAATATTCCTCGGCTTTTCGAACAAGACTTATATGGGATGAAAGAGCGTAAGAAAGTTACCGGAAAAACTGTTTTCTAAAACTTCTAAATGGATTCGGCCAACGAGTTACTGTATTCTATACATCCTTATATGTTTAAAAGGTATATCTTTAAAGTTTGAGAAATGATATTTTTCGATAAATATTTTTTAAAAAAGACTAAAAGCAAAAAAAATACGTCTTGAAAAACAATTTTTAATCAAAATATTGTTTGGCTAGCCATAACTTCTTGTCACAATGGCTGGGTGCCAAAATGAAATCGACGGAATTCGAACTTACCGCCTTCTAAACGAGAAGGGTCGAATAGAAAACCCTGTGTATGTAAATATTTTAATCGCTAATATCTCGCTAGCCGAATCCATTTAGCTGTTTTTGAAAACCATTTTCCCCTTTTTATATGCTCATTCATCCTATATAGGTCTCGTTTAAAAAGCTAAGGGATATTTGGTGACATTCTCTAGTAAACTTCGTTCAAAACGCCAGTTTTATAAAGATGTATTTATTAAGACTTATATAACACTTCATACAGAAGCAATTTTTCAGTAATTACATAGTACTTAAAATAAGTACAAAAATTGACGTTCTCATGCATCGAGTGTCAACAAAAAAGCAGACACTTACAGTAGATATCAGTACAAAAATTAAAAGACGTACTTTACAAAAGGTTATTAAAAAGCGATGTCAAATAGACATTTGGAGAACAAATTACTCTTAAAAAATGTGGTAGTAGACAGCGCCGGGCGGGGACTTTTGGTCTGGGGGCGGGGGGCGCCACGTTTACCTTTTTTTTGAAAAATTTTTTTAAAATTTTTTTCTGGGAGGGAGGGGAGTTCCCCTTTCCCCCCGTCTACCCCCAGCGCCCGGCCGTGGTAGTAGACCTAAATACAGTTCTCAAAATTTAAATTACCAGTTTTGGCTCCTCTTCCATTCTTGCTTTTTTTAAATTTACTTTTTGAGCCCTTAAGAACTTTAGCTATAACAAATGCTTTATAAAATGATTGACTGTATAATTCAATAAGCATATTCAGTAAGCTTAAGAAGAACTGTCTGTGAATGAAACTTGTGCCGACTTAACTTGAACAGTTTTTAGTACTACTCGACGATACGGAGCAATGACTATCAACGTCATTAATGGGTTCAACATAGGGATCCATGAGAAACATGCCAAACATATATAAGGTGTCATGTTAACTTTAAACCGAAATATCAGAGGTATAAGTATAAACGTCACAGGAATCACCGACGTGCAAAAAGTTATTACTGCCTAAAATTAAGGAACAATACTGTAAAATTGTCTAAAATTGAGGGTTGATACTGTAAAATTATCTGAAGTTAAAGTATGATACAGTAAACTCTTCAATTTTTGCGTTTTTAGATTCTCTTTAAAATGGCTCTTCTCACCTGACAACTTAAAAAAATTGTCAACTGTCTTTGTAGTTTTGTCGTATTAGTAGAATACTTGTACTTTTGTTTATTTATCTCATTGAGCGTCAATTTACCAAAATAAATCAAGAAAACGTAGGCAATATTAACTGTGACGACACCGGTAAGCAAGTACATCTTAACATATATTGAATCCTGAAAAAAGAAACTTAGAAATGCGTATAATGATAGGTAAAATGTTAATATTAGGTTGTTCTCATAATTATGTGCTCTCTCCCAAAAGAAAATTTTAGATTAGAAGGCACAGAACTATTTGAACAAAAATAGTTCTTATACTATAAGTGTCAGTGACAACCCTAAAAATTTTAAAAAAAAATTTATGCCAGAGTTGATGTTAAAGCAACTCAAAGTAAAAAATGATGCTAAAAACCCTCTTACAATGTTAGCAATAAGTAGTTTAGGCAAAGGAAATTCATTGTACCATAGGTTGGCATAGTTGTAATCTGGCCATTCATTTGCTGATAAGTCAAAGCTCATACGACTATAAAAAGCATGAGGAAACGACGCCAGCAAAGCAATAGAAAATACAAATAAACTCTTCGTTGGGCTTAGGGCTTGGCGGCTAAAAATAATTGTTTAAAAATTTGGATTTACATCATTGTAAACTTTTTTTTGTTTTTAGAAGTATACGTGAAAGCTACTTCAAACAATAATAAGGTCCGCTAGACCCGAGCCCGGTTCCAAAAAGCCGGCTTCGGTTTTCTTACACACAACTATTAGGTGCCGACATAAAGAACCCGCCATTTTTTACAGGTTATTACAAGCAAAGTATGGCGGGTTCTTTATGTCGGCACCTAAAACGATTAAAGAAGCCTTACTTTTTTAAATAATAATATCGAAAGTAGGCTTGAGCTGGTAGTAAAACATTAACAAGAACAAAAGACCAAACAAATAAGCAAAGAACGTTGAGTTGCCAAAAACGATCAAAATTTTTCGCAGCTCCATTGACTACAACAATATAAACTCCATCGTCTTCTTTGGCTCTCTAAATAGTTTAATAAGTAATCCTAGTTAAAAAAGATAGTAAAAAGGCGTTGTCTACAGTATATGATTTTTATAACTCACAAAATCAGCACACGTATCAAAAGTCCAAAAGATTAAGTCACTAACAGCACAAGTCAACAGCATCTTCTTATAAGGCTTCAGTTTGCCCTTTGTATGCGTACTAACAAGATACAACATGGTAAAACATAATAATCCACCAAAAATGTTTGATAACAGGTAGCTAGTACTAAGAAGCACGGTCTTCCAACCTAGCTCATCGAAAGGCTGAAGAGGATATTCTCCAGTAAAATTGTCAGCTATATCCCAAGCATATGGGTTCTCTTCAGATCGCGTTGTATGGTATACTAACTTGGTGTTCGGAATGAGAGGCATGACTAATAAAGGGTAGGTAATATTATATTTTCAAAATCGAGGCTAAAAGAAGTGTTTTAAATTTTCATTCTCAAGTAAGTAGTTTAATATAAACTATAATATAAATTTATGTTATCTATAATATAATACAAGTAAAACCGTTATGAATACGTATAAACAATACTTATGGCAAAAGGTTTAACTTTTTTGTTTAAACAACAACAATACGGCAAATTGGCTTAATCTCCAAGTAATTGTGTTTTAGATGATTTACCATGCAAATACAATTAGTTTGGAACTTTCACTTACTAAAGGTGAAAATAAAACTATATTGATTTATATTACAAATTTTAAAACCGTAGTAAGTCTGTCTAGAAACCGGACCAAATGTTTACTCCCGGCCGTTGAAGCCACGTAAACCAGTTAGGCTTATCCCTTTAAAAAAATTGCACGGCCCCTTTTATTATTAAACTCATGAAAATAATAACCAGGTTCGAGTTGCATCGTACTGCCTCTGTGCTCCAAATAACCAATAATTTCACAGTTTTAGTTTTTAAACACAATTTAAAAATTATTTCTAAGAAAATGCTTTAATATCAGATTTGTTTTACCATTTTTGCAGTTTATAAAATTAATTTAGACAGTTGGTACCTTGAAAAACTATATATTTTTTTTAAAGTGGACAGACAAATTTTGAAAAACAATGGGACGAAACTAATTGGAAACGCAAGATCCTAACACATGGCTATCCGAAATGAGAACCTACGTCAATACTAATGAATACAATAGCTATTGATGAATTTATAAGTTGTATTTTAATTCGATAGAAAAAAGTTAAATAAACTGTAAATAAATAGTTTTTCTAAAAATAACTAAAAACAAAAATATAACTAAAACAATAAAGTTTTAAAAATATCGCAACCAAAACGTCTTGTCATAGTGACAAAACGCTAAAATGAAATCGGAGGAATTTGAACTTATCATTCTGCACTCCATATAGACTAAACTCTTGATCTTTCGGCCAAACTGCAATGATCTTAAACAAAGACAAAAAAGAAGATTCAAAGGGTTTTCCAACATAAATTCTTTGGCCATAACATCTGCCAAACCAAGACTATTTAGCAGTTTTTGAAAACAGTTTTCTTACTTGTTATTCCCTTTTATCCAATAAGTTCTGCTTAAAAAGCCGAAAGATATTTGGTGCACTCACAAGGAAGGTACCCGACCTGCAACGCTCAGATTTCGGTAAAACTTTTTTTATTGAAAGGTCACGTAAATGTAAGATGTTATGCAAAATTCTAAGTTGCGGTTTGCGGCCAGTTTTGAGAAAATCGAGATCGAAAAATCGCGTTTTGAATTTCCCGCCAAATTGGCATTGTGTTTCAAGCTTATAACTTTGCCATTTTTTGACTTTTAATATTTTTTCTTTAATATGCTAGTTAAGAACCTTTAAATGAACCTACATTTTTAAATTTGTAAGTTCAGCTTGGCTGGAAAGTCGAAAAAAGTGCTTGAAACACAATGCCAAATTTGCCAAATTGGCGGGAAATTTAAATATTTAAAATTTAAAACTCAAAAGCGCAAGCTAAAATTTTTCATAGGTACTATTGGTACTACAATGAATCCGTATAAAAATTTTGAGCTGATTCTGAGAGCTGCAGGTTGGGTACTTTCCCTGTCAGTGTTTTTCCCGGATCGGTCCGGAGCGTTTTTCACCGGTCCGGCGATTTTCGGGTCCAGTCTAAACTCAAAATTTTTGACTCCGGTCTAGTCCGCAATAACTTTTTTTTATTTTACTTTTACTTTACTTTACATTCTTCAAGCGTCTACAATTACAACTTGAGAGGTATATATATTAGATTAGATTTTTGATGCCGTAGATTGTAACGTACAGTGCTGATGTGCAAGGATGTTCAAGGTTCAGATGAAGACCAACGGAGCTATCTTTGAGTCTGACGTTCCCCATAATTGAGTGTTTTGGTCCGTCCGGTCCGGAATGGTCCAGTCCGCGGACCGGACCGGTCCGGCAAAACACTGGGTGCACTACTTTGTTTTCAGTTTTTCTTAACGGTATTTTTTATCTTTTATCATCTTTATCCTATTTATATAGGTCTTGTTGTAAAAGCTGTAGAATATTTGGTACAACTAACTTTTATTGCCCGATAACGCTTTTATTGGAAGTAACTGCACAGCTTAATATTTATAATACTATATGTAATACTATGACGATATGAAAACTGGCTAATTTTTTTTGTGCTAGTGCTAAGCTATGAAATAAAAAAAATAAAAAAGATAAAATATTGGTAATGAACAGCTTAAACAAGAAATTTATTGTACCAAAGGTTGGCATCGATGTATACTAGCCATTCTTTTGCGGATACGTCAAAGCCCTAAGTCTACACCCCATCTAAACAACTTTTTTTTTAACTATTATATAAATTTGCAATAGTGATAGAAGGAAGAGTAGTGGTAGGAATAAAATGTACTGGTTGTTTCTTTTTGAAACGCCCTAACAAAACTCGTCGATACGGTGCGATAACAATTAGTGACATTAGCGGATTAAACATTGGAATCCAGCCCAGAAGCAACAGCCCAATATATGGTGTCATTCCCATGTTTAAGTGCAAAATCAATGGAATCAAAATAAGTGTTGACGGAATTACGGCAATACCAAATGTAATTGTAGCCTTAAAAAGTTATTAATGAAGGTTAAGTAAAGAGTTTACTTTAGTTGGCTACTTTAAGATAAGTTTTTGTTAAACAAAAACTTGCCTGTAAAATTAAAAAGATGGTTATTTGTCGATGCACAGCTTTAGTGGTTTCAGAAAAATTAAATTCTTGTGTGTTAAATTGATTCATTGTCAATTTGCAAAAATAAACAAATACAATAAAAGCAACATTAATTGAGATCATACCAGAAAGGAAGTAAAGCTTGGTGTAGTGTGATTCCTAAACTCAATTTTTTATTTTTTTAACCACGTGTACTTTTGCTAACAGTACTTGATGAATTTAAAACTACAGTATACTAACGCCTCTTTATAACAAAAAAAAGTCCAAATTAAATTTTATACGGAAGTTTCACCGTGCTTACAATGTTAGCAATAAGAAAACTAGGCAAAGGAAAATCTTTAAACCAGTTTTCTGCATAGTTGTGTTCAGGCCATACATTAGCAGATATGTCAAATGCAATTCGAGTAAAAGTTGCCCACGGGATAGTACAAATAAGAGCCAACAAAATTACAAGTATACCTTTTGTTCGGCTTATGAGCCGGTTACTGTAAATAGTATTAAAATTTGTACGCGCTAAAATTTTTGCAAAAGCCATATCCATAATCATAAAAACAAACAGTACCTACTTTTTCAAGTAATAATATCTAAAATACGCTTGAGCTGGTAGCAAATTCATTACCAAACATAAAGAAGCAGCGTACCAAGAGATAATGTTAAGTTGCATTGATCGACTCAAGTTTTTTCCAAGACCATTAGTTACAACAAGATATACTCCGTTGTCTTGTTTCGCGCCCTATAAGCTTTGATTTTCTAGCAAGAACTCATAGTTTAAACAAACTACTATAGAGCCTTGTACAAATCTCGGCTTTTTGTCGTACAAGGTTTCCTTAAACAAAAGTTCTACTGCATTTTTTAAAAATGTAAAAAAGAAATACGCTTACAAAATCAGAAGTAACATTAACAACCCAGAACATCAAGTCACTGCAAGAGCAAGTAAGTAATACTATTTTGTACGGTTTCAATGACTGCGTAGTGTGGAACAGTACCATGTAAAACATAGTAAAACATAAAGATCCGCCAATAAGGTTAGAAGCCAAGTAAATCCGAGCAAAAAGAGCTGCTAATGATCCTAGTCCATTAGCCGCTTCGCAAGGAAAGCGGCCGGTTGATGGGTCTGGTAAATCCCAGGCATTTGGATTTACATCGCTTCTGTTAGGGTGGTAGATTACATTAGTGTTGCTGCACATTATTCCGTATGAACGTAGAACCAAAATATTCTTTCCAGCTTTAAATTTAAAAAAAAAATTAGTGTTATGGTAACATACAGACGTGTTACAGATATCCACTATTACGTTTACAGACAATTTAAATTTCTTTTTTACTAAAAATTGTAGTAAAAACAACAAATTGCTTAATTTTAAAAGGTTGAAAGTGCAAACGCTAAAACAATTATTATCTTTTGACGTAGACAATTTGGACTGGCTATGTACAATAATATGCCCTTTAGTGAAAACTCAATAATAAAATAAAAATTCATTGTTCTGTGAACTAAAGCATCAATAAAGAATAACTAGTTTTTTATTTTTTTATTTACTAGGTTGGCAAGAAAAGAATGTCAAGTTTTAACAAATGGTAATCCTTGTTTTTTTGATTTTGATGGTTCAGGTGATTTTGCACCGCAGTATAAATAAACTCCAAGCTGTGTGACATGGTCTGGTATAGTTTTTAAATTTTTTTATTTATCGTTGACTTCAGAATCCCATTGTCAATTTCCAGGGAACACAAGATAAAGTTGCCAGTTTTTAATCGCAGAGGTTAGCATTGGACGTTGCATTCTTTAGCTGTAGCAGTGCCAAATGTCATGGTGATGTTCCGGGTTGCCGCGGTTGCATTGTGACCACGTTTGACATCGTATAAAAAATGGCGCGTAACTCGATCTTTCCTTAACCACTTTAAAAACCCCAAGGTAAAAAAATTGCAGAATAAAAAAAGACGGAAAACAATTTGGCTGATAGTCCAAAACCTTGGCTTTCTAACGATATGAAATACAATAGCAACATTTTGTTTAAACTGTACAAACATAGTAATTACTTCAGCAGGCTTTTGCAGCTTAAAGTAGAAAACACTAATTTTGAACAAATAAATGCAAAAAACTAAATTGTTCTCTTCTTATTAGCATAAATTACGTAAAATCTAAAAACTTTTTGTTGTAAATCGAAAGAATACAATTTGCACTAAACAACCGTATTAGCTTGAACCAAAAGTAGCGGGACACTTTACATTTGCTTTTCAGCAAAAAAGTATCCCGCTACTTTTGATTCAATTTAATAGCATGCACTTGAACTACCAAGATTTTAGAATTAAAGTGAGGTGCCCAATAACGCGTTTATCTCAGCAACAAAATAATAAAAATTTAAATTAATTGTCAAGTTGTTAAATTTTATTCAACCTCGTAAAGTTAAAACTTGTCGTTGTCACAAAACACATGTAAACGAAAGGCTTATCGTTCAACAATATGAACGTGGAAATAGCATGCAACTTCACGGAAATAAACAGATATTGGGTACAATTGGCTTATCAGTCAGTTTTATCAAAATTGTCACAATTTTTATGTATTGCTATGGTTATTATATTTAAGCATAGTGAGAGGAAGTTGGTTTGAAAAAATTTTTTTGGATTTTAAAATTTTTGTTATCATTTAAAAAAAATTACTTTTTGGTACTGACTTAGTACTATATTATCATCGCCAAAGCAATTACTTGGCTCTTGTAAACTCATTGCTATAAACAATGTTTTTACGATATTATACTGCCTTCTACACCTTACTATGCCTAACACAAGCTAGAAAGTACCTTAAACAAGGCCGGCCTTTGTATTGGCAGACCAATGACACTAATATTGGCCCACACCAAGCTCAACCAGAACAAGTTCACCTATCATTTCAAGACCTCAACACTATGATTGTGACATGGGTAACATTTGATGACGTTGGTGATTCTTACGTCATGTATCGTGAGACTGAACATCACAAACACAGTCGCGTTTTGGCTAATGTGACACATTTCGGGGGTGGATTTATTAAATTGTCTAGGTACATTCATAGAGCTACTATTGGTGAGCTGGAGTCTGGAAAGGAATATGGTAAGTATAGTATTAGCTGCCTTAGCCACGCCATAGCATTTTTCACAGCTTGCCATAGCGATAGCCACAGCCATAGGTTATAGCTTTAAATTTAAAATTTCAGTCTACTACGTAGGCTCGAGACATGGCTGGAGCAATGAATTCACCTTTCAAGCTCTGACTGAAAGACCTGAAGGTGGTTATAAATTTGCTGTTTATGGTGATATGGGCGCAGTAAACAGTAGGTCGCTAGGAGAACTACAAAACCAAGTCAGGGAAGATAACATTGATATGATTCTTCATGTTGGTGATTTTGCTTACAATTTAGATTTGGTAAGTCATTTTTTTAATTTTAAAAAAAATTTTTGGACTATTTTGTTCAAAAAGGAATGAGCCACTGAAAGCGGTGACTTAAACCAAGGTTAAAAACTTACACTTTATGAAAATTTAGGTATCAAGCTATAAAAAAGAAAAAAATCTTAAACTAAAATTTTTTTTGAATGGTGGATCATTACTTTTTGAACAACTTAATATATAAGTTGTGATTATGATCAGAAAGGCTATTTCTAGAAGATGTTTGGCTAGAAAATTGGCAAAATTAACATAAATTTTAAAATTTTAGTTTAATCATTAGAGTTTAAAGCCTTTTTGAAATTTCAGTTAGATGGTCGCGTCGGCGATCAATTCTTCAACAAAATCGAATCAGTTGCAGCCAAAGTGCCGTATATGACATGCCCTGGAAATCATGAGTTTCCAAACAATTTTACTCACTACATCAACAGGTTTACCATGCCAAACAGTGAACATAACTTGTTTTATAGGTATGGTCATAAGAATAAAGAGTTTAAAAAAAATTACTTTTTTGTTACAATTTTTAAAATTTTTTAAAAAATTTTTGGGTTTAGCTTTGATCTTGATAAAGTGCATTTTGTCTTTATAACAACTGAAATCTACTACAACACGTTTCTAAGCCCAAACGATAAACTTAATATTGATGATGTGCAACACCAACAGCTTCAAACACAATGGAATTGGCTTGTTAATGACTTGGAAGTAAGGTTTTTTTTAATTTTTAAACTATTTTTATAAATTTCAAAAGTTTTTAAAATTAACACAATTTTTTAATTTTATCATCTATTTTAAAACCTCGTACATATAAAACAAAAATATATTAAAATATCTTCAGAAAGCCAATAAAAACCGTTATAACGTGCCATGGATTGTCGTCTTAGGGCACCGTCCCATGTACTGTAGTACTGACTCTGCTATAGCCGAGTGCCGCTACAAAGATGTTAGAGTTCGTGTCGGTATCAATGGTGAATTTGAACTTGAAAAATTGTTGTTCGAAAACGGAGTGGATCTTGAAGTACGGTCAAATATATATTCTTTTTCTGTCTGATGTTGCCTTGGCGCTGGCTTTGGCTTTAGCCTTGGCTATGACCCTGGCTATAGATCTAGCCGTGGTCGTGACTATGGCTCTGGCGCTCACGCTATTAACTCTGGTTTTGACTCTGTCTTTGACCCTTATAACCGTACTTAACAGTACTAGTCATAATATTATCAGGCGTGTCCTGACCAATACTAAGCTTACTCATCAGCGCTATTTGTACCCATTAATACTAGCCATTCTATTGTTATAATACTGGTCACAGTCTCAAATAACCTATATTTTTCAGGTATTTGGCCACGAGCACAATTACGAACGTATGTATCCAATTTACGATGAAATAGTCTTCAAGAATACCAAAGACCCATATTATGACCCTCCAGCTCCAGTGCAAGTCATCACTGGTTCAGCCGGTTGTATTGAAACCCCAAGAAAGTTTACTAAAGAAAAATTAGAATTTGATGCACACCGGTCGACAGATTATGGTTTTTCAGTAATGCAAGTCTTCAACGACACTCACTTGCAGTGGCAACAGATTAGGGCGCATGATGTAAGTTAGCTTCTTGTGAGAGAAGGGTAGGGTAAAATAGAGTAAGACAAAGCAGATTACGTTAGAATAGCGTAAGGCAAAGTAAACTGTAAAGTAGGGTAGGGTAAGGTAAGGCAAAGTAAACTCTAGGGTATGGTAGGGTCGGGTAAGATAGTGTAGAGTCGATTTTACAATACAAAGCCACGTCATTTTAGGGTGGAGTAGAAGACTCATTCATGTTGATAAAAACGACCCATGAACCTTATGGCAAAAATGGGTTAAAACGTCTATATAAACAAGGAACGCTCTTTAACCGACCAAAAATGGCATGGGAACAACGAAAATTCACTTTTCTCAACTCAACGTTAAGTCTTTAAAATCTATTGTATATGGTGTAGTACTGTATTTTGCACTGCTTATACATAATGAGCTCAAAATAATTTAATAAATAAGCGTAGTAGATCATTTTATAATCATACAATATTGATTTTTTATGTTGTAGACAAAAAGCCACAAAAATTATTGATTTTAGACAAAAAGCCAGAAAAATTATTGGTTTTAAACAAAATGTGACAAAATTTTTAAAAAAATTTTTTCTTTTGTCTAGCCTTGTCAATGATAATTTTCAAGCTTCATTACCAGATTTTTTGGTTGCAGTAGCTAATGAACTGGTAGGAAGTACAGTACCACTCTTTCTCTCTACGAATCGGCCAAACAAAACTCGACGATAAGGTGCAATGACAATCATTGACATTAGTGGATTAAACATTGGAATCCAGCTGAGGAGCATGAAACCAACATAAGGTGCCAAACCCATATTGATATGACAGAATAAAGGAATGAAAATGATTGTTGATGGAATTATGGCTATTCCAAACGTTATTGTAGCCTAAAGTATATTGTTTCATGTTTTTAGTTGTAGTACTAAGTTTAAAATTTGTAATATTAAATAACAATATAGTAGTAATATGTTTAAAAATAATAGGACTAAGTCTAAATTTAGAGTACAGGGTCTAACATATAAATTTTATTACTAAGTCTAAAAAAAGTAGTACTAAGTCCAAAATTTACTAGCGTTAGGTCTAAATTTAGTATTACAGGGTCTAAATTTAGTAGTACAGGTTTTAAAATTAGTAGTACTAGGTCCGAAAACTACTAATGCTAATCCTAAATGTAGTAGTACTGTGCTTAACCTTAGTAATGCTATATAGTACAAAAAATGAATATGCCACGTCATACTAGTTAGCCTAAATCACCTCAAAATGTTATTGAATACTCACCTGACAAATTAAAAAAGTATTTATTTGTTGATGTAATCTTTTTGTTCTGTCCGAATAGTGATGTTGATCTTTATGAATAATATTCACTGTCAATTTGCAAAGATAAATAAACATAGCAAAGGGAAGATTAATCGAAAACATCCCAGAGATAAAGTAAAGTTTAGTGTAGATTGATTCCTAAAATTATTGGAATTTATTAGTTTATGTTACAGTATGCTACAGTGGACTGTTTATAAAAAAAAGCTATTTTTTCCTGCCCTACCCTAAACGTTTTTATGACACTCACAATATTGCCAATGACAAACGTTGGCAAGGGAGACTGTTTGAACCAGTTTTCAGCATAATTATGTTCTGGCCATACATTGGCGGAGACATCAAATGCTACGCGGAAGCTGGCTGCCCATGGAATAGTCACGATAATTGCTGTTAAGATCACACATATTCCTTTTGTTCGGCTTATCAGGCGCTTGCTGCAACTTTTTTTTTAGTTTGCCATAATTACTTTTTTTTAATATTACTTCTATGCCACTATTTTGTGTAGTAATACCTTTGGAAATTGGTCCAGTACAATTTTTAGTACTACATCCAAGAAGACTTGAACTAGCAATATTTTCAGTAGTACTTTTAAGGCTTGGTCAAGTACTATTTTCAGTACTAGTTTTAAAAATTTAGACTGTACTATTTTTAGTATTAATTCGAGTGTCTGGGATAATACTATTGTTGTAGGTGTTATTTAGCCCTTTTATCCAACAGGCGCTTTAATTAAGGGTCTGATATAAAGATAAAGAACACCTCCACAAAGTCAGTTTGTAGGCTGGATAGATGGACATATCTTCATCTGGCCTAGTACTATTTTTAGCATCGCTTTTAATAAATGATTTGGTAATATATGCAGTATTACTTATAAAACTTGGTCTAGTACTACTTTCAGTACTTTTGATCAAGATTGCCTTAAAAGGATATGCTTTATAACTAAATAAATCTTTAAAAACTTACTTTTTTAAATAATAATATCTAAAGTAAGCTTGAGCTGGCAACAGAGTCATAACTAAACACAGAGAGCCAGCGTACCAAGCTACCAAAGATATTTGAGTTAAACGACCAAAGTGTTTACCTAAACCATTTACCACCATGATGAATACACCATCGTCTTGTTTGGCGCTCTGAAAATGGTCTATTTTACCTCTTCTAAGTTATGGCTCATTACTTTTTAAATAATTTAATACCATTTTTAATATCTTGGTTTAAAAAAAATGACAAAAGTAATACAAACTCAACTCACCAAATCAGTAGCAACATTAGCCAGCCAAAACATAATGTCACTGCACGAGCACGTTAATAGTACTATTTTGTATGGCTTCAACGCTCCGGTAGTATGAAAAACTGCCATGTAAAGCATAGTAAAACACAATGTTCCACCAATAGCGCTTGCAGTAAAGTAAATCCAAGCAAAAACAGTTGTCAAGTACCCTAACTCATTATAGGGTTCACATGAAAATTGACCGGTTAATGAGTCTGGCACATCCCAAGCATTTGGATTTATATCACTTCTAGTTGGGTGGTATATTATGGTTGTGTTGTCACACATTCTTTGTCTTAAAAACGTGAAAATTAAAAAGGATTTGCATAAAATGTTATCTTATATAGTACTGTCGTACAACAAAAATGCAAGCTGCGCCAAAAGTTCTGTTACAAAAACTTCGCCGGTCGTTTTCTCTATGTCGCGGTTAAATTATTTAAAATTTTTTATTTTAGCCTGTATAAATAGATTTTCAAATGAGTTATTATATCCCCTTAGTTTAAACTTTGCAATTTCAACTGTCTATGCCGCTTTCAAAACCTAAAATATAAACGTATAGACATTACACACTAGTCTTTAAAAATGAAACTATTACAAATAGAGCCCTTTGTTCATATTGTTATAGAAATACCACAAAGTACACAAGTATATATATAGTAAGTAAAACGGTAAAACACGAAATGTTGCATGAGTGCCTTACTTTGATATTTACTACAATAAACTATTTGTATTAAAAAGGAAAGGATAAGTAATAAAAAATGTTTTTGTAGTTCACAAAGTACGTACTCATGCACTTGAACTCCTACGCTGTAATTTATTAACTAATTTTTAAAAATTTCATAATTATAAAAATCACGAAACACAGCAACTTTATACTCTATACGTATTACAGTAGAAGTTCTGTAAAACAAAAAACTTTTAAGTACCCAGCTAACACTACACAATTCATTTAAATCTTCTGTACAACTAATTATCTTCATAACAAACAAATGTTAAAATTTCTAGCGATTTGTACAGGGGTTTTACTAATATAACATTAGAGTGCTTTTTGAACAAAAATTGTTTGTAGCTCAGTATGAGCTAAACTGGGGAGATGCAACACCCTACTTGTAAACAAGTCGGGTCGGTTTCAAGTTTTCGATTCAGCACACAGGTCATGTGTTGATTTGTGCTCCGGTTTTCGGTCCACGCTTGCCAGTTCAAACCCTTTCAAATTTATTTTGACCCTGCGAGATCTCTTACATGTTAAATTCATTAAAATAATAACTATAGTCTACGTCAATTAAATCTTGATGTCAACTTCCCAAGACCAAAATCACCCGCTCTGCACTGTTCAGTTACCGTACCGAATTGAAGTAAATAAATTACAGATTTTTACTTTTTATTTCGAACTTATCCCGTAGGCGTCGTAACATGTGCAACTTCTTTGCAAAAAACATAAGAAAACTACTAAACCAAATTTAATAACAGCGTAGAATAGAAATTTAAGAATTAATTACAATTATTGCCGGAAAATATATACAAGGTTTAATTACAAATTAAAAGAATCACGTGTACAAAATCTATTGTTAGATTACATGTATTATTATACAAGGAAGATCACAAGGTTCCATTTGGTTACAGTAAAAATCTTTTTTTGTTAGTAATATTTTTTTTTCTTAACAGTTGCAAGAAAATTGGCAAAAAGAGCCTGCGATATCAACTCTTTCTTCTTGAGTTAACACCCTAAAAATTATCTTACATGATGGAATAGCCATGTCTTATCTTATTCTTGTAAAGATTTGACAAATTCACGGCAACCACGTGCTATATTACGAGGGGGTCAAAACTTAATTCCCACTTTTTTAAAAAAAAAAATTTTTTAAAATAAAACGAAATGCCATCAACGGATTGACACTTCATTGTATCAAAACAGTCCCCAGTACTTTATAAGTACGTATACCAAGTTTGGACCCGATCGGTTCACTCATAGCCAAGTTAGATGGGGGTCAATACTTCCTGCCTTCAGGTAATGAATGTACCTATACAATTTAACAGATTTACCACCGAAATGTGTCACACTAATCAAAACCTAAAAGCGTTTGTGATGTTTAGTTTCACGATTCATGACGTAAGAATCACAAACGACATTAAGCGTAACCTATTTTACAAACATAGTGTTGAGGACTTGAAATGATAAGTGAACCTGTTTGAAATTTGTAAACGACGCTTTAGAAAGTTCATTATGTCTAAGCTGTGATAGGCGCTTTAGGAATGTACTATCTTATTTACTGTTCTTTGTGGTAAATATGAAGAGACCTACATTATCTTCGGCCAATACTACCAGTCTCTGTTGACATTTTGTATCACCAGAAGTTATACATAAACAGAATACAGTAGAACCCTTGTGTAGCAATTTGAAGTACAGTAGTTCTACTGTACATTATTTAACGCAGTAAGATACGTGAATAAAATTTTATAGTCAAGATATATATTTATATTTACTTTATTATCACCGTACAGCTCTTATGAAGTAGTATTTTAATTGTTGAACCATTCAATTATTCATAGTTATGTTCATAAGATAACATAATTATATTATCCTTTCGACTCAATATCTGTTTTTCATGTCTTCAATGACCTTTTTAAAAATGTCTTCAAATGGTGTGCCTTTGAATGTGTCAAAAAATGGAAAGTCTTGGTTTCCACCATTGTTACCACCATGACCATGTCTGCCTCCATGTCCACCATGTCGTCCGCCATTGTCTTTTCCACCGTTCCTTCCACCGTTACCTCCATTTCTACCATCATTACCTCCATTGCCCTCATTGTTTCCACCATTACCGCCGTTACCACCACCATTGTATGGCGTAGGTTGAGGACTGCCATTAGCTGGTGCAAATCCCAATTTTCGGTTCTTAACATCATGAACTTGGCAATAGGATCGAATGAATGGATCTCCCAACAGTACGAATGGGAAATCACCCCCGGCTATGGCAAGTTGGCACAAGTTGCCTTGTTGAGGTATGAGCAAGTTGTCACTGCTGATTGGGTATTCCTTGTTGTTGATGATGACGGAGATTGAAAACTTGGAGTTACATTGCATTAGGTAGCCGCCTTGCTGTAAAAATTAAATTCAAAAATATTTTTTTTTATTTTTTTTTATAAAAAAAAAATTTTTATAAATTAAAAATTTTTTAAAAATTCAACCCTTAAAAAGTAAAACTCCTTACCACTTGCTGAGGCTTCAGCTGCTGAACAATAGTCCTCATGACATTAGTTGGCACAATCAGATGAGACGTTCCGGTATCACTAACTCCATTAACACTAACATTAACAAACTGATCTCCAACCTTCAGTCCAGCCATTTTAACCTTCCAATGTGTAGTCCTGGGTACAACACTGACCCAATCAGCAACCTTGCCACAGTTTTTTGTATCTTCTTCACCAAAGGTGATAATGCCACCATTATCACATTGTTGTTGAGCACATTTGGTCAAGTATGTTGTGAAGATGGGGTTGTCCATGAGGCCTTCTTCTACAGCTTCGTGGAAGATTGAAGTTTCGCCTTGACTGTCGGTTGAAGGCAAGCCTAGGATAGAAACATCGCCGAAGGTCATTTGTTCACCAGCTCCAAATCGTACTGGCTTTTTGAGCTTTAGTTGAGAGCCCTTTGGGTCACCAAACTAAAAATATGTATATTCTTGTTCTGTTAGTATAGCTATCACGCTCTAGTTCTAGTTCTAGCTTTGAATTTAGCCTTAGGTGGGTCTTAGTTTTAGCCTTATCATCACCTTAAGTTTTGTTAAGACTAAAAAACAAAAAATCAACTCACAGCAAAAATATCGTCGTACAAGTAACCCTTCACACTGCCAGTACCATAAGTGATTTGAAACGGTTGATTTGTGCTCTTTTTAGTACTAGACGCTTCAGGATCGTACAATTCAGTACCAGATGCGCAATGTTCAACAACTGGTCCTCTAGAGCGACAACCTTTTTTTGGTACCCATAGTACTGATGATCCAGTATCAAACACGGTCTTAAACCGTTGTGGTGGAGTGCCAAGCGAAATGTAGCCAAGGTATTGGACGTTGTTTTCGTTTAGCATTTTCTCACCGTAGACGTCATTCAAAATATTTGTCAGATTCTCATCTTTTGTCTGTTTTGACACTGACACTTGGAACGAGCCTGATAGTACACATGGTACCAACTGTAACAGTACTAAACAAATCACTAGGCTAAACCGGGTAGAACTTTTATTTGTAGACCCAGAAGCTGTACCAATACGACTAAAATAAGTACCAGTAGAACTAAAAATCGAACAAAGGGAGCTAAGGCCAGACATGGCTGCAAAATTGACTTTTGATTTCCGCCGGAATATTCGTTATATAGAACGACAATCCATCCGTTACCAACAACTGAACAAACACAACCAAAGTCGTGCACATGACATTCCATGACGAGTTGACGCCAACTCCCACGGAATTCGCTGCAATTTTAGATTAGTCATTGATTGACTATAAAATTTGCAAATATTTGACAAATAAAATATTAAAATAGAAAATTGTAGAGATAGATAAACATAAATCAGGCCTTCGTATGTGAGAGACTTCGTATGTGAGATGAATAAATATGGGCTTGGAGGCATGTTTGGTCATAACTTTTTTCAATTTTTATAGCTTATTCAAATGTTTTGTAAACTAAACATAGATAACAGATAAAAAACAAAAAAATAAAAAGCAATAAGATTAGAATTGTGATGACTAATATATATTTGAGCTAAATCTTTAAAGAAGTTGTTAAGATTTTGGCTTACCCTACGGGCCGGGCCTAGGCTTAAGCGCCGGTTCTCGGGCCGATGTGCCGGCCCGAGAAGGCACTCCGACGACCTCTTTCAATTTTACTTTAGCTCACATTATCAGCTTGGGGTTTCTTAAAAATTTATTAGAATAACTACTAATCAACTTGTACATTATTGTTAATGTGAGCTAAGTAACTAAAAATTTAATCTTCAAAAACAATTTAAAAATTATTCTTAAGTAAATAGCTTTTACAGCTGTTTTATTTTACACTGTTAAAATGTTAAATTATTTTATATACTTTATTTAGACGCTTTTCATTCTGTTTGATGACATTTTAAATATTGCTACAGACTGGTAATCATTTTATTCACAATTTAAAAACAGCTTGTGGCCCCGCGTGGTGGTTTAATTACTCAAACTTTAACTGTATTTAACCAGTGAAAGCGTTTTGAATAATGTCTTCATATGGAGTTCCTTTCGATGAATAAGGCCCATTATTATCGCTATAGAAGTTGTCTTTGCTTCCACCATAACCTGCGTAGTTGCCACCACCATAAAGACCGCCATAGACACCATTACGTCCACCATAACCAGCATAGTTTTCACCGTCATAATCACCATAATAGTCGTTTGTTCCACCGTAACCGCCGTTATGTTTTCTCCTACCGTTGCCATTATAACCATCATAACTACCGTCATAATCACCACCATAACCTCCATTATATCTATGATTAGAATGGTTCCCGCCTTGATATTCACCATGATATCCATTATGATATCCACCTTGATATGCATTGTGACCGTTATTACTGCCTCCATAACTCCCCCTGTTTCTACCGTAGCCTCCGTTAAAGCTACCATGGCCTTCTCTATAATTGCCATCATATCCACCATAGCCTCTATTATTACCATGACCACCATAATTTCCACCATGACCTCTTCCATTACTTCCATCATATCCACCATACCCTCCATTCCGACCACCATAACCCTCATTACAACCACAATCAAAAGGTTGAGGGCTGCCATTAGCTGGTGCAAATCCCAGTTTCCGGTTCTTAATATCATGAATTTGGCAGTAAGATCGAATAAATGGGTCACCCAGTAGGATAACTGGGAAATCAGCCCCAACTATGGCCAGTTCACACATACCGTCATCGTGAGGTATAAGCAGATTGTCACTGATGATTGGGTATTCTTTGTTGTTGATAATGATGGAGAATGACAGTTTTGAGTTGCATGGCAGAGCGTATGCGCCTTGCTGAAATTTTTTAAAAGTTTTTTGAAAATTAAAAATTTTTTTGAAATTTTTTATTTTTTTTGCAATTTTTTTATTTTTTGAACTTTTTAAAATTTTTTGAATTTTTTTAAAAACTTCGAATTTCAAAAAATTTAAAATTTACCACTTCTTTAGGCCTCAACTCCTGAACAATGACTTCCATGACTTTTTTGGGTACCACAATATGAGAAGTGCCAGTATCGCTGACAGCATTGCCACTCAAACCAATAAACTTGTCTCTAACGCCAATGCCAGCAATTTTAACCTCCCAATGATCTGAACTTGGCTCAATTTCAACCCAGTCTGCGACTCTTCCACAATTTTTTTGATCCAGGTCACCAAATGTGATCACGCCACCATTATCACATTGACTTTGGGCACATTTGGACAAGTAGGTTGTAAAGATAGGGTTATCCATAAGGCCTTCCTTTACAGCTTCGTGGAAGATTGATGTCTCGCCTTGATTGTCAGATAAAGGCAAGCCTAGGATAGAGATATCGCCAAAGGTCATTTGTTCACCAGCACCAAACCTTACTGGCTTCTTGAGCTTGAGTTGTGGACCGTTAGGGTCACCAAACTACAAAAAATGTCATAAATTATTATGAATATGGGTATTAGCTAGTTACAGTATATATAATATATTTATTTGTCCAAAAATATAAAATACGACCGATCGGCGGTCTAGTTGGTTAGAGACTTCTTAGTTTTTGGCCAAATCGGCCTAACTATAAACTGTTTTTGGAAGATAAAAAAGACCTTCTTTGTTCTGGATCGGTTCTATATTTTTGTAAACATGTTTTTGTATTGCTTAACTCGCAACATCGCGACAAAAAGAACATATTAAGGCAAGGCAAGGCAAGGCAAGAGTATAAAATTAACTTACAGCAAAAACGTCGTCGTGCAAGTACCCTTTAACACTGCCAGTACCATAGGTAATTTCAAATGGTTGATTTGTATCTTTATGAGTAGTTGAAGCTTCAGGATCATAAAGTTCTGTCCCATTTTCACAAGTTTCAACAAGTAGACCTTGAGACCGACAACCTTTTTTAGGTACCCATAATGCTGCAGAGCCAGTATCAAAAATAGTTTTGAAGCGTTGTGGTGGAGTACCAAGAGAAACGTAGCCAAGGTACTGAATATTGTGTCTATTCAGCACTTTTTCGCCATAGACGTCACTCAAAATATTAGTCCGGTTTTCATTTTTTGTCTTTTTTGATACTGACACTTGGAAAGAGCCTGATAGAACACGTGGTACCAACTGTATTATTACTAAACTAATAATAATACTAAATTTAGTGTATTTTCCGTGATTGAACCCGCTAGTAGTACCATTAGGGTTAGAAATAAAGAAAGTTGGCCAACGTTTTAACATGGCTTTAACATTGAGGTTTAATTTTGGCTACAGCCATCATTATATATTACAAAAATTGTTACGTTATCAACAACTAAACAAACATACGTGTACACAACCTTCTATGACAAATTAACGCTAAATTTGACAGCATTTTTTCAAAATTAGTTGTTAAACTACAAAATTAAACTTTTTTTATATTATATTGTAGTTTTAGAGATGTTGCGAACAAATAAGGCAAACAAATCAGCATACATTACTTGATTATTGTGTCATTGGCTTTTAATATAAAAAAGTTTTAAATTGCCTCTAATTTGAGTACCTAAACCCGCATCCTTTTTTTCTTACTTCTATATCCTACTCTACCTTACCCTTCTCCACCTTACGTTGATCGTGTATGGGATAGGTTCTGCTTATAACAAAGCAGCTTTGCAAAGCAACATCTGGCTTCTAATTTATTTATTTTTATTTACTTTACATTTTCAAGCGTCTACAATTACAACTCGGGAGATATATATTAAATTAGATGATTTTTGATGCCGTAGAGTGTAACGTACAGTGCCGATCTGCAAGGATGCTCAAGGTTCAGATGAAGACTAACGGAGCTATCCTTGAGTCTGAAGTTTCCGATAATTGGGCTTCTCCCCAGGTAAGTTCACTGTTCCTCGCGTCACTGAGTTGTGACTGAGGTGCTCCATAAGACTTCTGGCGTTCAATCATATACTCGTGTAGGCCAATTGTAGATGTGCATAGTCCCCGTGCACTCAGTACTACTCATTCCTTAAGACGCCTGAGTTGGGCGGTGAGCGGGGTAGGACCAAAGCCTTTCCAAATAGCAAGCGGCGCCACAGCCACTGCGCTACCTGCTGAAGGTAAGCCAAATATTGAAACGTCTGCGAATGTCATCTTATCACCAGCTCCAAATCGTACTGGCTTTGAAAACTTTAGTTGCGCGCTTTCTGGATCACCAAACTAAAAAAAATGTAATTTTTTGTAACACACGTTTGACCTATTTTAGTTTTAGTCGCAACTTCAAATCAATTTGAAATTAAACCTATGCTTGAGCTTGAGCTAGAGCTTGAGCCTGAGCCTGAGCCTGAGTCTGAGCCTGAGCCTGAGCTTGAGCCTGAACCTGAGCCTGAGCCTTGCTTATGAATTTTTATTTAAACCTAGCACCACAAAATTAGCTTACAGCAAAGACATCGTCGTACAAATAGCCCGTGGCACTACCAGTACCATATGTAATTTCAAACTGCTCTTTAGTCTCACTATGAGTGCTTGAAGCATCAGGGTCGTACAATTCAGTACCAGAAGCACATTGTTCAGCGAATGGACCTCTAGAACGACAACCTTTTTTTGGTACCCATAATGCTGAAGAGCCAGTATCAAAAATAGTTTTGAAGCGTTGAGGTGGAGTACCAATAGATATGTAGCCACTGTAATCGACATTTTTACTATTCATCACACGTTCTCCGTAGATATCATTCAAGGTTTTTGTCACGTTTTTATTCTTTGTCTTCTTCGATACAGACACTTGGAAAGAGCTTGATAGAACGCATGGTGCTAACTGTTAGTACTAAACAAAGTATCAAACTAAAACGTAGAGAAGTAACATTAGTTGAATGGTTAGCAGTACCAAAAGCCTTAAAGACAGAACCAAACGTCCAGTGGCTAGACATAATTGCAGAATTGGTATTTATCTCCGAACTTGCTTTATATAGAACAATAAATTGAGTTTTTGCTAACATCTGAACAAACACAAACGTGTTACAAACGACAAAAGTTATAGTTAACATTTGTTAACTCCTACGTGACCTAGTTTCTAATTTTGTGTTACTAGCTATCATCCAAACTACAAAATTTTTTGAACCATTTCTGTTAAGTCGTTCACTTAATTATGCACCCATAAAAACTAAAAATATTGTTTAATTCTTAGCCTTAGCATTTGCCTATCTGTCTGAATATTAAAAATATTTTTTAAAACTAAATTTTTACAACAATGTTGCAGCAAATATCTACGATGTCATATAGAAGGGAACGTATTAAAAAACGTCAATTTGCTACTGAACAATAAAACACGTCGACGCCAATCAAAAGGAAGTTCTGCCATGTATGCATCTTACCAGATTTGTTATATGGATGTGATACCTGATCACTTACAAACAGATCCAAAGGACGATTGAGAAACTTTCAACAACGAATGGAACGACGATTTTCAACATTCATTTGATTGACAAGATTTCCGGCCACACATCAACCCAGTCAATAACGTCTCCACAATTCAGTGTATCTTCCTTGCCGAATGTGATTACACCGCCGTTTTCACATTGTGTTTGAGCACACTTTGCCAAGTACGTTGTGAAAATAGGCTCGTCCATAAGGCCTTCTCTGACAGCTTCATGGAATATTGACATGTCATCATGTGTTTCCATTGATGGTAAGCCTAGAATGGAGATATCGCTGAAAGTCATTTGTTCACCAGCTCCAAATTGTACCAGCTTTTTGAACTTGAGTTGAGAGTTTTTTGGGTCACCAAACTGAAAATACGTACTATATTCTTGCTTTAGCGCTAGCTCTAGCTTTAGTTCTAGCTCTGGCTTCACCTTCTCTCACTTACAGCAAAGACATCCTTATACCAGTGCCCTTTGACACTTCCAGTACTATAAGTAATACCAAACGCTTGATTAGTTTCTTGATGAGTACGAGAAGCCACTGGATCGTACAACTCTCTACCAGAAGCACAATATTCAACAAGTGGCCCTTGAGACCGACATCCTTCCTTTGGTACCCATAATGCTGAGGAGCCAGTATCAAAAATAGTTTTGAAGCGTTGTGATGGAGTACCGATGGAAATGTAGCCCACGTACATAACATTCTTCTGATTTATCACTCGTTCACCGTAGACATCATTCAAAATTTTTGTCGAATTTTCGTTTTTTGTCGTTTTTGATACTGACACTTGGAAAGAGCCCGATAGAACGCATGGTACTAGTTGTAATAGTACTAAGCAAAATACTAAAGTAAAACGAAGAAGACCAACATTACTAGAAATGCTAGTAGTACCAACTCCCTTGAATTCAAAACCAGACGATTTGTAGCCTAACATGGCAGTTTAATTGACATTTGTTTGTTGCAAAACTTTTTATATAGAACAATGGAGACAGTATGGCTAACATCTGTACAAACACAAATGTTTTACATGTAACTTTTCTTGATGTTTTGTTCCACCCACACAATTTAAAACACGCTTTTTTGTAAGAACCCGGCGTCAGTGGCGACACAAAACAGATCAATGTCTAAGCTTTGGAAATTTTATTATTTGAACAGCCCAAACGTTAGTTACATAAGTCAAAAAAAATTTAAACTTTGAGGTATGAGACAGTACGGTAGTAACGGTCGTTTTTTTGTGTCTTAGTGATGAGTGGTACAAAAACCACTTTTCTTCGCGAAACTGTTAAACGTGTTTAATATAAATTTGTTTGAATCAAATAGTAATATTTCTCTTCTACCCCTACTTTCTACCTCAATGATATTGAAGTTCTGCATAGTGCCCGTTACAGTTCCCCGAATAGGGACTGTCAAAATGTTCTTTACCTTAGTTTGTATTCTGAACTAAGGTTTCAGACATTGAAGAGTCTTTAAAGTGTTTAGAATTTTTCCCGAAGACAGATCATGTAAGTGAAATCATACAAAGGAAAAGAGGTAACTTGCGGTGGTCGATCTTGGACACGAAGTCGCTGCGTCGGGATTCTTGGGGATTCAACTTCTGCTTGAGTTTCTTGAACAACTTCATTGGTGGCTTCACTTTGGTCATCGGCTTGCGCTTCGCCTTCCCCAATTGGGTCGAGGAACTTTAATAGTTCGTCGTGGTTGAATACATTAACATATTTCATGCTGAGCAGGTTGATCGAATCCACGAGGTTGACTTCGGCTAGTTGTTCATCAGGTTGCTCAACCTCCATAACTTCCACCGCTACAACATTAGCTTCAGCTCTAGCCATTTTTTAAACCTATTTTTCAATAGAATGGCTGTGAGATCGAAGTTTCTGTCTATACGATGTGTTCTTATTATTATCTACCTTATCAAGGGTATGCTGACCTATATTTTCCTTATCTATAATGTGTTTGTAGCCTGGCAAACTTAAAAGCTCGACACCGTCGGTAAATCGGCCTGTGACGTCATTACTCGCGAAGCTTTTACGGATTACATCAGCGTTTGGGAGAGTTACGGGAACACGGATCACGTTGTTGTTGTTATTTACGTTTGGGAATACGAGCGTTACAAAGTTGTTTATTAAAAATGTAACTGTTACGGACATGTACTGTGATCCAAAGTACCTAAAGAACATAGTGTTTAATAGAGGTGCAAATTTTAATATTAAAAATTGTTAGTATATGATGACTAACACGTTACATAGGTTTACTTTGAAGATAGGATGGATAAGTGACGTCGTACAAAAGGTCACCGGTATTCGAATGTACAATTTGACATTTTCGTTGACCTATTACGGCACCAGGTATAAAGGAAACAATGGCGTCAAAGAAAATGGGGTTGAGAGCTCAAATTAATAGCAAATTGTAATTTTTGTCTAATTGAATATAATAAAAGTATTAGATGGCTTACGTTTTGTGATACCTTGTGTTGTTTTACGTCCAGTGAAGTTATAGCAAAAGACGTCGATAATATTGTCATATGTATACAGTTTTTGTAGCTTTCTTTGTTGCGATTATTTTACTTTAACACACCTTGGAAGTGCATTTTGGAGAGCAAAGCAAATAGACTTGTTGCAACTGTAATGGTAGCACTTACAAGGGAGGTAACTTAAATCGCCCCTCGACTTTGGGACGAAACCTATATATTCTGAAAGCCCTGTAATCACTGAGTATGGATCTGAAAACTGTTTTTCCGTATGGGGCTTAGTTTTCGAGAAAATCGACTTTAAATTTTGACCGAATCCCTAAAAAGAAAGCGCGCGAGAGTCTATCGGAAATAACGTAAAGAAACCAAGTAGCGGTGTGGCCCAAAGGGTAAAGTGTTTGGTTTCCAATTCAAACCACGTGGGTTCGATTTTGGAGCCTCTAAATCGTTTTTTAACAAAACTTTTAATATGCAAAATTTATGTAATTTTTGTAGTTTTAAAAAATAAACATTATGCAAAATAAGCAAAACTCATGCTTTTTGTTCATTGTGATTTGGGTGTCTCCCCCGCACTTGTTGTGGGGTTTTTGATGTACAATTCGGACACGGCGACAGCAACGATGCTGCTTACGATGACCGAATTGTAAAGACAATGTTGCCATCCGCAGCAGATGTTAATTTCGACTTGATGAACCAGAGGAGGACTGGATTGAGGTTACGGATAAGACGGCGGGCCCAACGTACGAAGATGTGACCGACGAAGATAGACGAAAAATATATGTCGTTATTTGTTCAAAATTATGTAATTTCATCTAACAATGATATCACAAAAATTTTCATATTGAAAGTTATGTTAAAAAAAAGTTTTAGAGGCTCCGGAATCGAACCCAGATGGTTTGAATCGGAAACCGAACGCTTTACTCTCTACGCCACGCCGCCACTTGATTTCCTTACGTTATCTCCGATAGACTTTTCGGCGCGCTTTACTCTTTTTGGAGATTCGGTCAAAATTTAAAGTCGATTTTCTCGAAAACGAAGCTCCATACGGAAAAACGGTTTTCAGACCCATAATCAGTGATTACAGGGCTTTCAGAATATATAGGTTTCGTCCCAAAGTCGAGGGGCGATTTAAGTTACCTCCCTTGTTAGTCTCCTTTTCTCAAACCCGAGACTTGCCAAAGCAGATCCAATTCAAACAACTCCGACTTCGTATCATCATTTTATTGTTTCTACGAGGAGACTCCTGCTAGACACGTTTGTCTAGCAAACCTACGAAAGTTATAAACGTTCTAGTTTATATCAAGTAATTATCCAATTGATCATATTTTAATATTAAAATTTAAAAAAAGTGTAAAGAAAAAGAAGAAATTTTATAAAGTAAAATACAACTAAAAGAAAAGTATGAAATTAAGAAAGGAAATGTGAATACAGCACAGTAAAGAGTAACGGTACACTATAAATGTTGATAACTAGAAAAGAATTATAAACTATGTTGAAAAATTTTAATTCGCAAGCTATTTTATCGTTGAACCACTTTTTTTATCACGCGTTGAGGGTAAGAATGACACGCCAAAACAGAATGCAACAAGTTTCTTATCAGCACCTGATGTTTATGGGCGGCTTCTGTTTGAAATCAATCAAGCTAATTAATGTTGCGCTTCTTATCAGTACGCTTCTGCCCTCGGCAAATCTAATTAAATGCTTATCATGGGCACTCGTAATCAAACCGCTTGTTTGTTATAATTTGTTACTGTATAATACCGTAGTTGAACAAATACGTTTCTGAAATAACTATCAAAAGTGCCGAAATAGATATTAATTATTGAATAACATTCTCAAGGTCAACTTATCACGCAAGTACCAACTAAACATATCCGCGAGTCCGGGTAATTACTCCATCCTCGAAACGATCTCCGACCTACATTAAAACTAATAATAGCTTACTTATGAATCGTCGGTTAAGCTAAATAATAGAAAGGTCGTTTAATGATGAAATTGGAAAATTCCATCATTCAGAAGCTAGCTTTACTTATAAAAATACTTACCATGAGAATAGTGAACCAAAACAGCACTCGCTGCTACCAGTTATAAACGTTCTAGTTTATACCAAGTAATTATCCAATTGATCATATTAATTATATTTATTGAACAACGTCTATCATTAGACTCTCATAACAACACTGCCTTCAAATCATTAAATCAAAGAAAAAGGAAATTAATCGAATTGAACTGATAAGAGAAATAGATAAGTGATAATGAGGATATAACTCGAAGAATTAAAACGGCTAGTATTGGTCTTTCTTCGTTTCTCTTGGCGGGCCCAATACGATCTTAGATTAATCGCTATCTGCTGTCAAAAGACGCAAAGTCTGACCATAACACAATCAGTCGCTTAAGCTAAACCGCATTTTTGGTGTTCTGTTAGGATTACGCTAATTTCAGATTTTGTGTGAACAAGCGACCCAATTGTAAAAGCAAGATGCGCAGTTGTGGTACCTATGAAAGTACCAAGCACTACGGTTCTCGTTTTGGCCTTCCTTTCTATACTTTAAACGATTTCTACGCAATTCCTTCAAATGTCATGGGAGATCTGTGCCCGACTCTTCCTATAATTGTTTTTTACTGTTATTACTACATTTAAAAAAAATGGAAAGTACTTTTTGTTGAAAGTTAAACTTACTGTAACATAACGCGCCGCAGTGGCGAACAAAGCTCTCTGATATTTTACCGATGTTGTTACGTTGCATAAACTACTATCCACATTTGGTAAAATAGCGTTGCCAAAAAAAGCCAAAACATCTCAATAGCAAGGAGACCTATTCTCGGTGGGACCTATTGATTTGAGTGTAGCGGGCAGTTTAGTATATACTGCTACCCGATTTTTGTCTAGAGCAGCCTCAAATAGTACAGAGCCAAACTTCGCATATTATCGTTAATTGAGAGACCCATACGGAAAGCGTCCTGCTCCATATGCCTACAATAAATGTAACTGACCTCTATACAACGACATCGGGTCTTTTCATATTTTCGAACAGCAATGTTTATTGCTCGTTCGTTCATAAAGAACACTCGAAATCGGGCCGTAACAATTCTTTTTCACTGCAAACGTAAAAGAGAATGCCCTTCCTAGTGATAAGCCGTTGTATTGATAATATGAAAGGCTATGCCTTCCAATCAAACGTAAACTGTTAATGTAAAAAGTAATGTCCATATGCCGTTGAACCGATAATATGGGAAAGCGTGCTTCATTTAACTGATAATATTTCAGTTTGTTTTGTAGTAAAATTTCTTCGAACCATCTTATTGCACTGTATGAAAGTCGGTTTTTTTAGCTCATCAAAAAGGAATAGGTCACCCGGGTAGAATCTTAAACATAAATGCGCATTTTTGTGAAAATATAACGCTATATAAGAGCCTTGATTAAGTTGCATACAGGGTGTCCAAACTTTTTTTGAAGGAAAGTAAAAGCTCCGTTCTCAAAAAAGTACTGGTCCGATTTGAACGATTTTTTTGCACTAGACTAGAAATTGCGGGCGGATTTGGTATTGGTACATTGTTTTTGAGTATTCGGCGGAGGCTCGGCGGAGTTCGGCGGAGACTGAATTTTTTATGTTTTGGACAAAAAATATGTAATTTTGTTTTTGCATGCTGCCCAAAAAATTTCTCAAAAAACATTTTCTTTCAATCAGAAACTTTTTTCGCTATGTCGGCGAACGATCGGCGGAGAAATTCGGCGAAGGCCATAACTCGGTTAGTTCTTAATATTTTTGAACCGGACAAAAAGCAGTGGTGTTCTGAAGCTTTTTTTCTATAAAATCGACCATACTTTGTAAAAAATGGGTGATTTTTAAAAATTCGGCGGAGACACCTAATTTCGGCGGAGACCATAACTCGGCCAGTTCTTAATATTTTTGAACCGGACAAAAACCAATGGTGTTCTGAAGAATTTTTCTACAAAATGTCACAATTGAACGAATTATCAACAATTTTTGACAAATCGGCGGAGACACCAGATTTCGGCGGAGGCCATAATTCGGCCAGTTCTTAATATTTTTGAACCGGACAAAAACTAGTGGTATTCTGAAGCATTTTTCTACAAAATCGGCCGTACTTTGTAAAAAGTTGGTATTTTTTAAAAAGAGTTAAGGTCTCCGCCGAAATCTGGTGTCTCCGCCAAATTTTTATAAATTACCATTTTTTTACAAAGTATGGCCGATTTTGTAAAAAAATGCTTCAGAACACCACTGGTTTATGTCCAGTTCAAAATATTAAGAACTGGCCGAGTTACGGCCTCCGCCGAAATCTGGTGTCTTCGCCGATTCGTCAAAAATAGTTGAAGATTTATTAAATTGTGACATTTTGAAGAAAAATGCCAATGAATACCTTTGGTTTTTGTCCGGTTTAAAAATATTAAGAGCTGGCCGAGTTATGGCATACGCCGAAATTTGGTGTCTCCGCCGAATTTTTAAAATATACCATTTTTTACAAAGTATGGTCAATTTTATAGAAAAAAGCTTCAGAACACCACTGCTTTTTGTCCGGTTCAAAAATATTAAGAACTAACCGAGTTATGGCCTTCGCCGAATTTCTCCGCCGATCGTCCGCCGACATAGCAAAAAAGTTTCTCATTGAAAGATAATGTTCTTGAGAAATTTTTGGGCAGCATGCAAAAACAAAATTACATATTTTTTGTCCAAAACATAAAAAATTCAGTCTCCGCCGACCTCCGCCGAGCCTTCGCCGAATACTCAAAAAGAATGTACCAATACCAAATCCGCCCGCAATTTCTAGTTTAGTGCAAAAAAAATCATTCAAATCGGACCAGTACTTTTTGAGAACGGAACTTTTACTTTCCTTCAAAAAAGTTTGGACACCCTGTAGTTTGATAAGTTTAAAAATATCTTTTTTATCAAAATAATTTAAAGTCTTTTGGTTTCCCGCTAACTTGGCAAATTTGGCATTGTGTTTCAAGCAGTTTTTTCCTTTCGAGCCAAGCTACATTTACAAATTTAAAAATGTAGGTTCATTTAAAGGTATTCTACTAGTATACCAAAGAAAAATTTCTAAAATTCAAAAAATGACAAAGTTATAAGCTTGAAACACAATGCCAATTCGGCGGGAAATTCAAAACGTAATTTTTTGATCTCGATTTTTTCAAGATTGTCTGGATGCGCGATTTAGTACTTGCTGAAGATCATATATTTATATGATCTTTCTAAATAAACAGTTTGAAGTAAATCAGAGCAAGGCAAGTTGAACACTTTCCTTGTAAGCTTCAAACATAACTTTTGATATGTAATTTAATTCACCTTCCAGGGAAACTTTCTTATCAAAATAAAAAGACAAAATTAAGAAACGGAAGGTTGCTGTTGAATTATTATTTTAAATAAAACAATGAACTTGATAGTTTCTTTTCTGCTTTTAACTACTTTTGTTTTCGCCAAAAAATTTACATTACCTATACTAGAAAAAACTCAAAATTTAGCGAATAGCAGAGTGCCAGTGTATGATTACCTGGAGGCTGAGTATTTGGGTAGGTACAATTTTCCTTTAATACTGTAATTTTAAAACTACTAGAATATCAAAATACAGTGACACATGTGTATAACAATTTGCTAGAAGAATTAAAATTTGTTTGTTATGAAGAGGTTTCGTTATAAAAAAGTTTCTTATACAGAGGTTCCACTGTAAATTAAAAAAAGTTTTATTGTTTTATTTTAGTAACATTAAGCATTGGGACACCTCCACAAAAGTTTAGAGTTCTGGTTGACAACAGTAGCCCGATCACTTGGGTACCAGGTTCAGATTGTGTATACGACGGTAAAGAAGACGTTACCAAGAAAAAGTTTAGTTCAAAAAAGTAAGCCATAGTTTACTTATTCACTTTTCAATATAAAAAACGTAAAAATAAAAAAAAATTTTAATTTAAATTTTTTTAGTTCATCAACCTACCAACCTGAATATGACTTCTTTGGACATAACACTACATTAGGCAAAGTTGCCGGCAAATTGGCTACTGATACTGTTACTCTTGGTGAAGGAGAAAACTCTTTAACACTGGAAGATATTGAATTTGGCATAGCTAGCGTACTTGGCATTAAATACAACAACTACGCTTTAGATGGTGTGCTAGGTCTTGGTAGGCAACGTAAGTTATGAAATTTGTTTTGTATTAAGCTGGCCCTAATACTAGCACTAGCTTAAAGATCTAGTCCAGAGCCCTAGCCCAGAGCCCCAGCCCAGAGCTCTAGCCCAGAACCCTAGCCCAAAGCCTTATACCAGAGCCCTAGCCTAGAACCATAGCCCATTGTCCTAACCCAAAGCCTTAATCCTAGTTCACAGCCGTAGCCCAGAGTTTTAGGAACATTTTTAGCCCAGAGCATAGAACCCTAGCCTAGAGTCCTAACCTCATCTTAAGTTCTACTTTATCTACAACCTCGAATTAAATGTAACTATGTAATGTTACCTTAATTTTTAGCCAATTCCTTTATACAAAGAGCCATAAATGCTAGTCTACTCGACGAGCCGTTAGTGTCAATTCATTTCAAAGACGAAGGATTTGACAAAACCGGCAAACTGGGTGGCGCTTTGACGCTTGGCGGTGTTGATAATGCCAATTGTGGTATTGTGTCAAATTGGGTTGATATGGAACATGAGTTTGAATGGATTTTCAATGTCAGTTCTATCAATTTGGATGGGTTTCATTTGAAGGGAGGATTGGCACAGTCCAATACTGGCATTGGATTTGTGTTTGGACCGTTTGAGTGGATTTATAGTTGGGCTAGAGGTCTTGGAGCGGACTATGCTACTAATAGAGATATTTGGGTAGGTGCTTACATGTTACAGGGTAAGCCAATAGTTCTGTTACACAGTTTTTTAATCAAATATTTATTTTAACAACAAATATAACTAAAACAACAACTAACAATGGTAACATATAGTATTAGTTATAACATAGTCAGTCGGTTTTGAAGTGTCCCCCCCCCCCCTTTGCGGCTCGGCACAACGCTTCAAAAAAGTTTGAGAAACGACCTAATGTTTTATAACAGGATTTTTGGCGCGCCCTCTCGCACCTAGTTGAACCAAAAGTAGTCGGACACTTTGGGTTTAAATTTGAACTAAAACGTGTCTCACTATTTTTGGTTCAACCTCAGCTCAAGTCGACTAATATTTTGCCCGTCCGCTGCTGATGTTGCTCTTTTTCAATGTTGTACGCTAAAATTCTAGATCTCTGGCTGCGAAATCGACTTTCTGATGCAATTTACAATTGGTAAGCAGAACTACACAGTATCGCCAAAGAACCTGATTCAGTACATGGGACCTCATCAATGGTGTCAGCTTCAAGTCAAGTCAACGGACTTTTTAGCGCCGTATCAATGGATACTTGGTGCACCGTTTGTGCAAGGCTACTGTCATGTCTATGACTTTGAGAATGGCAGGCTTGGCTTTGCTCCTTTGATAAAAATATAGGTTTTTACGACTTTATTTCTTAATAGATAAAATACTTTTTGATTTTAAAAATTTTATATATTCGAAAAACAAATATTTTTTTAATTTTGACGTCATGGTAATGTTAAGATAATCCTTTACAATTTTTTTAATGAAAATATCTTTTTAAAAATGTGATTAACATAAATATATAAATACGAAACGTACAAAAATAGTATTATTTAGTTAGTTATATGTAATTGGTGACTGAAAGCGTACATGATAATTAAAGTTCAAGTTTGATTGTAATGTTGCGACAAGGAGACGAAGTTGATATCCACTTACAGTTATGCCTTCAATCTGAAAAACAACTATAGACAGGAACGGCAAAGTTGTTTAGTACAAATTTATTTATAATAGTATGATCTTCTTTCCCTCTCCTTAGTACGATTTTTCTTAGTACTACCTTTCTTGGTACAACTTTGTTCAGAATGACTATTTTTATTATGACTCTGCACAATTTTTCTGAGTACGACTTTCTTATTAAAATCTTCTTTAGTACTACCTATCTTACTATGACCTACAATTTTTCGTAGTAAGACTTTTCTCTGTACGAATTAGCAAAAATATGATCGACTTCAAAAAGGTTGACAAACTTTAAATTTTTGAAATTTCAAAATTAAGCCTACTTACCTGCGCACTGCCCTGAACAATGTTGACCCGGCTCGTGTAAGTCCCATAGTTTCTCTGAGCGCATGCTGTCACAGCAATCGCAGCAGTTGGAGTGATGAGCTGCGTAATGGCGCCGGACTCCTCGTATCCGAATTCAGTATTGGCTGCGGTTTGTTGCGGAATATTGGTCCCGGCTCCAGTCGCAGCAATCGTGATACAATTGCTGACTTCTTGGGGCGTGTAGCCGGCAACTACCCGAACGCTTTGAGTTGGGATGTTGTTTTCTGATAAAGCGCTGAGGACCTACAAATTTTCTTGTATTACAGTACTCTTGATAAGTCTTTACATAGCACAAACGCTCTTACCGCTGCTTGAATGTCTCCTTGAGCTTGAGTCTGAGCATCTTGTTGAGTGAGAGGTTGTTGAGGAAAGTATTGACCCGTTTGTTGGGCATACGATACTGGATAGGTCCAGGCGGCGGGTGGTGACATTTGCCACGTGATAGATGGATTTGTATATATACGGCTGTCATCACTGCCTAAAAATTAAAATTTTTTAAATTAATTTTTTAAAATAGCTCTTTTAGGCTTAATTGAAATCTTTAAACATATTTTTTAAAAAATTTTAATAATAAATTAAATTACTGTAGCTAGACGTTAAATGCAAATTTAAGAGCCACCTTCCTTTCACAGAAAGACAGCCTAGGTTTCGCAACAAAAGTTTTAACTCTTTTTAAACTTTTTATATGATTTGTGCCATCAAAGAAAAGAAGCCTCGTAAATTATTTAAGGCAAACCTACCTCCTATACCACTGCAGCCAAAAACTAGTTGGCTGTACATTAGCCAGGTAATGTAATACATTAAGAAATTGTTAAAGGACATGGTTAAAAATAATAATAACTTTCACTTTATAAAGCAGTACTAATATTTTCTCTCTGTTAAAAAACTCTGTACAAAACCAATTTTCAAAAAATACAGTACAAGTTACAGTAATATTAGTTTAAAATGGCTTAACACAACCAATAATGGTCGAAACTTTGCAAAATGCTAGCGTTTTTATATCAAGACTACTAGGAAGTCTTTTCTAGCCGTAAAACTACAAAGATATATCAACAGATATCTCCAGCTTATATACATGTTTGTACAAGTAGTTATAGCTGCACTCTTAATGTTTCTTTTTTACTTTTTTTAACAAAAAGAAACATATTCATGGCTTGATCTCCAAGAGAGCTGTTACTCAGAAAGCAAATCTCGCAGTCTTCAGAAGCCGTTTTTACGACTGTGATAAGAGTTGCGACATGTTTGGTAAACAATGGTGATTCGTGGCGAGTTAGAAAGAATCGAACATGACTGTAAGAAAAGATAGATGAATAGTATACGATGAATAGTATATCAGTAAAGAGCCTCAGCCGAGGCTAACCTGTGGGGCAATTTTAATCTTTCGTTGCCGGACCTAAGATGGGCTCATAGAACGTTCGTCCAAGCCGCGCCCGCGGACAAGTATAGTCCGGTCCCGCCTTACTTCCGTCAAATCAGGTACTATACATGAATTTTGTTGCGTCCGGGCTTGGCCTTTTATAAACATTCATTAAAAGAACAATTAGGAGAACTTATCTTAATCCAAGTTATCTTTGCAAGACCTAAAAAGGCTCTGAAGCCTTCATTTAAGCTCGGCGGAACCGCACAATCCGGCCCAGCTCGGCTTTTTTTACGTTTATTTTGTTCTGGCCACGCGTCATGCTGTGTTCGAGCCAAGCCAAGTCGTGCTTTGTGGGCTTTCGTTCAGGTGTGTATAAATCAAACCTAAGGACTTAATTAAAGGAAAGTTCTGCGAACTAACAGAAGGAACTTTTCAAAAATGTATTCAAAATACTTTTTGTTTTTCTTTGTTCAATATTGATACAATACAGAGAAATTCGATGACTAACTGAATACATATGTATATTGATGTAATTGTCACTGCAGTGAGAAAAATTTAAAATTTAAACAAAACGTTTCAACCAATTTATTAGGTCTGCAGATATTATCACGTCACATTTTTCGGCAATTTTTGACGCAGGTTTACAATGATGAACTAGCTGTTATAAACACACTTTTAGTTTTTTTTTTCAAATAGATGCCTCCGATACGAAGGCAAGACCAACAAAATTAGCCAGCCAATAATTAATGGCAAAAATTGTAGTAGAACGCAATTTATGTATAGTATTTTCTTTAAGTCGCTTTTTGTATACATATGAATCATGCTACTGATCATTGGAAGTAAGTACAAGAAGAATGGGTAAATTGATTGTAATGTGTTCTATTGCTTATTACTTATATTGACGCCGAATAAATAAATAAATAAAGATTGATATCTTTGCAACTCAAGTTGTAGTATTTACAAGGCAGTAGTCAAGTTAAGTAAACAGCTTCAAAATCGTATGTTTTACACTATTCCCAAGTCAAAAAGTTCGTTACGGGACTTAAACAAGACCGTTAGGCATTTCATTCAGACTAGGGGTGAGAAGCGGGCCGTCTAGGCCCGGCCCGGCCCAGCCCGGCCTTACGATCGGGCCATGCCGGGCCGGCCTTGAGCAAAAATTGAAGCGGGCCGGTCCTAAAAGTTAAGCCCGGCCCGCGGGCCGAGCTTGAAAGTTAAGCCCGGGCCCAAAAAATTTGTTTTTAATTTTTTAAAATTTTTTGTTTAAATCCCCGTTGATGTTTTTTGATTTGATTGGGTACTATGATCTATAAATGATCTGAAAAAGCAACGTAAAGTCAAACTTCCGTTTATTTTTTAAGTTTTAAAATTTTTTAAAACGGGCCGGTCCTAGAAATTTTCTGACTGGGCCGGGCCAAGCCGGCAAGAGAAAAAATGAAAACGGGTCTGAAAAGCGGGCCCGGCCCGGCCCTTTTCTCACACCTAATTCAGATTTGCCTCGCGGGCCTACACCATCCGGCACAGCCCGGTCTTTTTCAAATTTTTTTTGAACAGGCCAACCCGCGCATAATGGGATTTGTTTCAAGTCTATATATGTATTTAAATATAACCAATGAACTTAATTAAAACTTTTGCGAATTCAAAATGTGCCTTTAAAATATGTATCCAAACTACGTTGTTTTATTTTTTGTATGTAAACGACATATAAAGAAGTTCAAGTAGCTTTTAGGCACTCAGCTTGGGTTAGCATAAACACTCTTATACTACTGGCTTCTTGGAGCTGCTTACGGTTTATATTATGTCACGTTATGTACTGTTCTTCAAACTTCTAAATCACTATTTAAAACCTTCTACTGTACACCATTTTCTCACCACATTTCTTTACCGGCAACGTTTTTTAGTAGCTTATAATGAAGCAAAACGATTTGTTTATATTGTTTACGCCATTGTGCGCTACGTTATCTGTAATCACCGGCACTATAATTATCATTGTGAGTATTAAAATAAAGAAAAAAGACTCGCGACAAGAATATCTGGACATATTGGTGATTAACACCCTATACGACATGTTCTCCGCTTGTTTTTTTATTATAACGATGGTTGTAAGTAACTTTTGTAACGTTTTTTATTATAAAGTATAAATAACATTGTTTTCAAGAATTCTAGAATACAAACTAGCCATACCTTCGTTCCTTGTGTTAACATAAACCTAACTTGTCTATACGGTAACCCTGTCTTATTTGATCCTTACTTACTTTTACACTCCTTTGGCCCTAACCAAGAATTATTAAAACCTTGCCTTAACTATTTCAAAAGCCGTTCCATATAAGGAATTTTTGTTTTACATGGTTTTTTTATATAGTAGGTCACTGTATTAAAAACTTTTAGGCCAGCATACGTACAGAAAACGATTTCTACTTGATATTATTGAATCCGTTGCTCAAAGACGTATTATCTCCAACTGCAGTATACTTTCTGATAGTGTTGCAATGTAGTTTTTGCCAATTTGCGGGCGCTGTCAACCTTGTTCACTTCTACTACCGCTACACCATATTTTGTAAAAGACTCATATGGACCAAATACCGTTATGTTGCGTTATTGTTGCTGATGTTTGTAATTGTTTTGTCCTGCACCTTTTTAGGATCATTGGGATTTACAACGGAGAGTTTGACGTCTGTTTTGGATATGGAACAAGCAGTGCAAGACAAGCAAATTCGCATGCCAAGACATATCATCACCAATATAGTAGGTTTTCGAATAAGACAAGATTTATTATACTGCTTAAAAAAAATTTTACCTCCACTCAGAAAAAAAATTCTGAAAAGTTGTGTCGCGACGTCAGCGTAGCGAGAGTATTGAGACGGAGTGAATCACCTTGTAGGGGGAGGCGAGGGGGCCAAGAGGGCCCTGGATTCACTCCTCTATGATCGGAAGGAATAATGTCTCCTTTGTAGCTCAACTGGTAGAGCAATCGCCCGGTAAGCGAGAGGTTACGGGTTCGACTCCCGTCGGAGATAGGCATTTTTCCTCCCGGTCTTAGTATCGCACCGTGGTATGCCAGTTGTCACGCGCTGCGACATGGTGACCCCGACGTGATAGTGCTAGGCGGAAGTACTATTACGAACACTACTGGCCTCTCGCTACAACAGTACTGGTTGGAGACAGTGCTGTTGAATAGTGGCACTTCTTGGTCGGGCGGAGTGTCGCGACGTCAGCGTAGCGAGAGTATTGAGACGGAGTGAATCACCTTGTAGGGGGAGGCGAGGGGGCTAAGAGGGCCCTGGATTCACTCCTCTATGATCGGAAAGAATAATGTCTCCTTTGTAGCTCAACTGGTAGAGCAATCGCCCGGTAAGCGAGAGGTTACGGGTTCGACTCCCGTCGGAGATAGGCATTTTTCCTCCCGGTCTTAGTATCGCACCGTGGTATGCCAGTTACCACGCGCTGCGACAAGTTGAACGTGGTCCCACCTGTAGATTTTCGAAAAAAAAATTTAGCTAAAAAGTCGGCACAGCACAGGTGCTACCTGTGCCGATTTTTTTGGACCCCCGCCTCCAGACCAAAAGTCCTCCCCCGGCCCTGATTGCTTTAAGTAATAGCTCACCAGTTTCGGAACAACATAACAGATAAAAATTTTAAACTTTAAAAACCTTTTAGCACGACAAATGGTTTGTCGCTTCTGCTCTGGAGTCTCAGTTATTAAACTGGTTTGTTTACGGTGGAATAATCAGTTGTTGCTACAGAATTAACAAAGAAACAAGAAAAACCAAATCGAGCATCAGTTCAACTCAAAAAGCTCAACGGAACCTTATCAGGGTTATGACATTACAGTCAATTTATCCATTCTTCTTGTACGTAGTTCCAGTGTTCAGTAGCATGATTCATGCGTATACGAAAAGCGACATAAATCAAATATTGTACATAAATTGTGTTCTACCACAACTGTTGCCACTGATTAACGGCTGGCTAATTTTGTTAGTTTTGCCTTCGTATCGACGACATCTATGTGGAAAGTCAAAGGAAAGTGTTGTTACAGCCAGTTCATCGTTATAAATTTTTTAATATGTTTTTTTAGTTGTATTTTTTGTATATAGAGATATAGAGATTATAAATCAATATTTCAAATGTCAAACAACACATATCACTCATAATTCAACGCTTTATCTTATGATTGGTACTGTACAAAATATTATTTTTTTTGCTTTGATAATCGACTTTTGCTAGTTTTTATCAATATTGTTATCTTTTCGACCAAGATTGTTGCAGTATCAGAAGTTCTAGCACAGCCGGTCATTGTTAAAACCGCTTTAAAAATAGCTTTGTTTTACACTTTTTGCAAGTCAAATCTTTCGTTGCGAGACATAAGCTAAGCTTGTGGAACCTTCATTTAATACCAGCTCGGGGTAGCGTTTTTCAAGTATATATGACGGAAAGTCTTAAGTATTATTAATACGTTCTAGAAATTCGTAATTGACAAAATAAGCTTTTGAAAAGTGTATTCACATTACCTTTTTTGTATTAATAACATATTAACAAATTCAAGTAGCTTTCAAAGCACGCAAGTTGATTTGTCATAAACACTCATGCTGTTAACCACTGAAAATGCATGTTAAACCCTTTTACAGTATACTTTTAATTCATTAAACTACTTTTATCAACAACTTTTTTTATTATTTGATAATGAAGCAAAACGATATCTTTATATTGTTTGCGCCTTTATGCGCTGCGGTATCTATAATCACCGGTTATCATAGTCATCATTTTAAGTACTAAAATAAAGAAAACAGACTCGCGACGTGAATATCCGGACATATTGGTTATTAACACTCTATACGACATGTTCTCAGCTTGTTTCTTTGTTATACCAATGATGGTAAGTGAAGTCTGTTTACGTTATATGCAGGGCCGCACGGTGAGTTCTTGTCTGAGGACGGGAATTGATTTTTTTGGGGGGTACCCCCCTCCCCGTCCCCCCTCCTCTGCTCCCTCTTGCGCCCGGCCTTGGTTTTATGTCATAAGTAGAATTTTTTTCAAAAGTTTTTGGATATACAGTGAAAATCCTTTAAAACTAGATATTATAACAAATTTTAATTCCCCAGAAAACTTACTATACAAAACTTTCACTTAACTTTTAGGCTAGCATACGTACAGAAAACGGATTCTACTTGATATTATTGAATCCGCTGCTCACAGACGCATTTTCTCCATCTGCCGTTTACGTTCTGATAGTGTTGCAATGTAGTTTTTTCCAATTTTCGGGTGCATTCACTTCTACTACCGTTACACTATATTTTGTAAAAGACACATTTGGACCAAATACCGTTACGTTGCTTTGCTGTTGCTGATGTATGTAATTGTTTTGTTCAACAACACTTTATCGTCACTTAGATGCCTAACAGAAAATTCGGCATCGACTTTAGACGTGGAGCAAGCGGTGCAAGATAAGGAAATTTCTACGCCAAGACATCTCACCTCTAATGTAGTAGGTTTGGTAAAATAGGTGGTAGTCGTTTGGGAATAGATTAGGTAAGAACAGATGATAATTCAAGTTTGAATAAAAAAACCAACACTTTGAAATTTGTTACGATCTTATTGCAACGCAAGGTCAAGCGTTATTTTAAAGGAATATTTGACCTATCTTCTGAACACTGTTGAGAGATTGTGTCTCGACCCGTCTATCTGCTCATTGTAACTGATAGCCGTGATAGTGTGACCGGATCTCACAAACTCTTACTTTTAGTCTCTTAGAGGTCGACATCAAGATTTTGCCATTTTTTAAATCTTTAATTTTTTTTAATAATAACAAATAATTATAAAATGTATGCACCGTTAGAATCTGTTGACATCGTTCATTATGAATATTATTAGGAAACAAGATCTTCTTTTAGTCAACCGTAACAATCTGGACCAAAATATTTTCGTTTTGGCTTGCGAAAGCTTCTCTATGTAAATCTCGGCTTTTTACACATTGGCCAGTTCATGAGGCTTTTGTTTGTCTTTTTTTTTTATCAATTTAAAAACAAAAAAAAATATTTAATTTTATAAAAAAAATCGGCAAATTAAGTTTCAGCACGACAAATGGTTCGTCGCTTCAGCTCTTGTGTGCCAATTGTTGAACTTCTTTATTTACGGTGGAATAATCAGTTGTTGCTATAGGATTAACAAAGAAACAAGAAAAACCAAATCGAGCATCAATTCAACTCAAAAAGCTCAACGAAAACTTATCAAGGTCCTGACATTACAGTCAATTTACCCATTCTTCTTGTACGTACTTCCAGTGGTTAGTAGCATGATTCATATGCATACGAAAAGCGATTTAAATAAGATATTCTACACTGGTTCGGTTTTACTACAACTGATGCCACTGATTAACGGCTGGCTAATTTTATTGGTTATGCCTTCATATCGCCGGCATCTATGTGGAAAGTCAAGGGAAAATGCTGTGTTTGCAACAAGCTCATCGTTACAAATAGCTTATTAAAGCCTAAAAAAATACCATATTGTTAAACGCCTGACTAGAGTAATGTTTATTTCAATTTTGTAAGTTAAAACACATACATTACCGACTACGCTTTAAATTAGATTGAACAGTGCACAAAAATAATAAAATATGTATACATATGAACATCGACTTTCAATGGCTTTGGTCAATATTGCTATCTTATCGACCGGGGTTGCAATATTCACAAGTTCTAGCACAGTGATTGACCATGCATTCAAGGTATTGATCCGAGAAACAATATGCAACAAACATACCGCAGTTGATAGCACCATCAACACAAAATGGGTTGAAAGGTGTTGTGGGTGTGGTTGGGGTTGTTGGGGTAGAAGCTGTTGTTGTATCAGCATCGTCCGCTTGCACGTCGTTTTCATTGGCGTGTAGCATTTGTTCACCTAAATAGTAGACGTTTTTTATTAAAGCAGTTTATAATTAAAAACATGAATAGTTCTGTTTGTTTTAACATTAAAATATTAAAAAAACTTACAGCACACACTGCTCAAACATTCGTAACCGGATGGGCAAACGTTCTTGATACAAGCTAAAAAACTTCACTTAAACGACAATATACATTTAATAATAACTACCCTGGCGCTTCTGTAAAACGAATCGGCCGAATATTTCAAAGTTGTTCGTTATACAGGGATTCCACAATGAGAACGGGCACTTTTGGTCTGGAGGGGTATTTAGCTCGTACCTTATATGTAAAAATTAATTTTAAAAAAATCTTAAATGGACGGTCTGTAGCCACTTTCAGACACTAGGAACGAGTGGTGGAGAAAATTTTAAGACTTTTTTTTGACTTCGTCCTTTACACCAAAGTCCCACGTTTAGAATCGTCTAATTTGCAACGTGAGGTCGAGCGTGTAATGTTAAACATGAATTCATAAGAGAACTCTACCCCACCCTATCCTAACTGGATTTTTGTTATGAAGATGGTTTTATAGAGGGAGTCAAAACATATGAACACTTACGTCCAGCGGAAACGGCACCATTACTACATGCACCACCAAATACTCTGTCAACTACGCTTAGCAACAAGAAACAAGTAAGCACGTTATTGTACATTGTGATTACTTTGTTTCAAATTTAATAAAAAATATACAAGTAAAACTAGCTAGCAGTAAAAATACAAATGGTGTGTTAATGAAACAGTTTGTAAATTTTAATGTTAATATGACAACTCACACCAATGTTAAGTAACAACAACCCCAACTGATTCGAATCCTCAACCCCGGAAGGTCTATTTGAAGGCCTGAAACAATGACATGACGAACACTGCCCCTTGCAATGTTTGAACACTTGCCCTGCCCTGCATGTTAACATTGCAGTTTTGTTATTAATGTTTGTTATTGTTAATTTTTTAGGCCTGCATAATGTTTTTGCATCGAACAAATCAAGGTCTTTGTGTAGTTATTTTTAGAAAACAGTCCGTCTTCATGTTGAAAAAGAACTGTAAATTTTGCATTTTAAAAACTAGAAAAATATTTTTCCATTTTTAAGTTTAGAAGTTCACAGCAGTTACTTTGTCCAACCCTACCTTACAAGGAAAGTACCCTACCTGCCTGGCTCAGAATCAGCTCGAAAATTTTTATATGAATTCCTTGTACCACCAATAGTACTTATAAAAATTTTAACTCGCGCTTTTGAGTTTTAAATATAAATTATTTGGGTTCCCGCCAAATTAGCAAGTTTGGCATTGTGTTTCAAACACTTTTTTCAACTTCCCAGACAAGGTGCGCTTACAAATTAAAAAATGTAGGTTCATTAAAAGGTTTTCTACTAGTATATCAAAACAAATTTTTAAAAATAAAAAAATGACATAGTTACAAGCTTGAAAACAATGCCAAGTTGGCGGGATATTCAAAAGGTCCATTTTTTAATCTCGATTTTCTCGGGATTTCCTGGAAAGCGCGATTTAGTACTTTGCTGAAAATCTTAAATTTACATGGTCTTTCTTTATAAAAAGTTTGAATTCAATCAAAGCGGGGCAGGTCGGGCACTTTCCTTGTTAGTTTACCCCGCTTTGTCCTACTCTACCCTATCGTGCTTTACTGTGCCTTACCCTACCCGCTCTGCTCAAATCTAACCTACCCTAGTTTAACCTACTTTACCGTGCTCTGCTGCGCATTATTTTGCCCTTACCTTAGACAGGAGAAACAAACCGGGCCTAAATGTTATGCGCGGCCCGATCAAAATTTTGCTCATGCCCGTCTCGACCTAAATTTGGGTCAAGCCCGGCCCGTCTGTGATTTCTACCTAACCTTAATACCCTATAGTGTTCTACTTTGCCTTACCAACTCTATTCTACTGTACTCTATTTAGTTTGCCTTCACTTTACAAAGTGCGCAAAAAGTTCTGTTACACGGTAAAATACGTGATTATACGCCAAAAATTGTTTTCATTTATATTAGCTTTATTATAAACTTAAACAATTTTATCACAAAGATAACATAGTCATTGTAAACTTAAAATCTAACTATACATATATATGTAACTGAACCAAAAGTAGCGGGACACCTTTAGTTTATCTTTTAACTAAAAGTGCCCCGCTACTTTTGGTTCAACTTAATATTTTAAAAGCAAAGTAATACAAAAAAAATGAGTCACCGGCATAACTTGATATGTAATATATTTTACAACAAAATTTTTTTACAACATAGATATTAAAAACACAAAAAAGTATAATAATTACCCTAATAATTATTTATAAGACCGATATTAATACTGTGTGTTCAGTATATAATACACCGTATAGTAATGTTTTACAAAAATATTGCTACAGTAAAACGAAAAACAACATAATAATTAGTCCAACACTTTGTTATAGTTCATATTTTATGAACAATACTGTTGTTGTTGCAGCACATTACACTTGATGTAATCGCTTTCCATACCCAAATTGGCAGCCAAAAACACGGCGTAAAGAGCGATCAAGTAAAATGCATGATATCTTTTTGTGTGAAACTTGTTGATTATTAATAACACCAAGGTTGAGATCAATGAGAGACATAGGAAAAAGATCATTAACTGCTTTTGAGGCACTTTGTCTGCTTCTATCTAAAATTAGTTTGTTAATTTAAGATTTATAAAAAAAACTTTTTGAATTGATAAAAATTGTTTTAAATCAGTTAAAAAATAAAGATGTTTTGAGTTTCTCATCATTAATAATGTTTCCATTTCTTGTTTAAATTAATCCCACAACGAAAGATTGTGGCGGCGAAAACAAAATCTTTTTTTTTCGCTAACAAATAGACCAAAAAACGGTCACTAATCCCGGCCCTGCCTTAGCTGGCCCATCCTACAAGTAGGCTGGAAGTCTGGGCTTAAATGAAGACCTAAGAAACCCTGCTTAAGTCCCGCAGCGAAACGTTGTGATCAGGTCATAGTAACAATTCTTGTAATTGTTCGGCAAGATAAAAATTAATGCGCTTTATACTAAAAACAAAAAAAACTTACAATAATTGCTTTTTTGCCATTCAAACAAGCAATCATAAACGATAGCCCATAGCCCATGAGCAGGTCTAAAACAATATTATCAATATGAATCATTATCACTACAAAAAAATTAAGTTAAGCTTTAAAAACAATGACAATATAAAGCTTACACACCACAGGTAGATAGCTTAACATATCTTTTTAACTATGATGTATAGTTTAGAATAACTTACTGAGTAAAGGACCGCCAATGACAGCAGATATAGCCATTCGAGGAAAACCTTGTTTTGCCACAGCCACGTCGGCTACAACGTCGCCAAGACTGTTTGACCATGCCAATACTGTCAATCCAAGTACAACATGAGATACCCTTGACACGACTCCAATCATCATGACTACGTTTACTATTTCAGCCGCCATCCAGTATATCCATGCTACTGATACGGCAAAGCTCGCGTAGGGTTGAATGTACTGAACGTAAGTCATCATATAGTGTTATATAGTGTATAAAGTTACGTAATAGTATCTATTACTGTATCTTATAACATACCCCACCCTACTCTACTCTCCCCTACCCTACTCTACTCAAAAGTATGTAAACACTCACCCGATATAGCAATGGCTCTCTATCTTCACTCGTTGTCAACAATATTATTAATGCCATTACAGTTGATAGCACAGTAATGTATATCCATAGGTCTGGGCCATCTGGGTGGGGATTCAATAGGGCTACTAAAACTTGTTTTATGCAGGTTTTGTAAATAAAGTTTTCGTCATTTTTTGTTTTGTAAAGAAAGTTCTTGCGATTTTTTATCTTGTAAATAAAGTTTTCGTCATTTTTTGTTTTGTAAAGAAAGTTCTTGCCATTTTTTGTTTTGTAATGAAAATTTTTGCCATTACTTATTTTGTAAAGAAAGTTCTTGCCATTTTTGTTTTGTAAGGAAAATTCTTGCAATATTTTGTTTTGTAAAGAAAGTTCTTGCAATTAACTTACCATTAAAAGCAAAAACCACAAACACCGGGCTAGTAAAGCAATGTAGTAGCGTCAGATACTTGTTCCATTCCCTCGTAGTACTAGGTGTTGTCAAATACAGTAGCACTTTACACGGCAATCTCAAAAACCCAATGACCTTACAGTACCACGGTTCATTGGCCAAGCTTGCATTGTACCATTTCTTGTACGAATGACCCAATTTCTTACTGTAATCGTGGTATTTTCTCTTTATTATTCCTTCTGATTCGTCTGTTATGGGTGAGATTGATCCGTAGCTAATGTTGGGAGAGCTGGACGTGGTTGATATGTTGTCTATGGCATCTTCAACAAGCTCGCAACTTGTGTCGTCGGAGTCCACTTCGTCTGTGAAGAATTTGCCGTGATCACGGTAGAGACGGGGTGATAGATCGTCTTCTGGCTCGCCTACTGGTACTATTGTTATGTTACTGCGACGTGAAAGGGTGCTGGTGGAGCGGTGTTTGTTTATCTGAAACTGTAGTTTAAAAAGGGTCGGTTTTAAAGTTTAAAGAAGAAGCAGTACGATACAACTTTCCTTTTATTTTAATAAATCATATGAAAGGGCGAGCCGAGTCACGTATCAAAGTGTACGGACAAAAAAATTAGGATCGGTCCCTGGCTACTTACCCCGCAATCAACAGTAAGAAATCCGTTGTTAAAAGAGTTTTGTCTCGGCGATTTTGTCGGAATTGGCGATACTTTACTTGGCGAACAAGAAGCGACCGTAACCGCTATACCATCTTCTGGACCGACAGTACTAATGGCTAGCTCTACTATGTGACCTGAATATCATTTTTATTAATTTTACAGTATTTTTATTTTAAAAATTTTATTTTTTACTGAAATATATGAAATCGTTGCCAAAAAGTTGCGGCGACTTTTTTGGCAACTTCTGCAACTTTTTTACAAAAAAGTGAAAAATTTGACTAAAAAACAATAATCTAAAAAAATTTTTTAAAAAAAAAAAAAAACTTACCAGCCAAAACAGGAGGTACAATTGACTTCTTCCTGGATATTCGTCTACTTGACAGTCGATGTTGAGGCGATTCTTTCCATTTGAAACACAAAAATCGACCGTTTTTCACCGATGAGCCAAAAATCACAATTGCAGCATAGATCAAGTAAAATATTAGCAATACCATCGGTTGCCAATATGTCATTTTATCAAAAAACGAGATTGTTAGTACCAGCCATATCAATGAGATCAAATAGAATGAGATGTCACGGATTATAGGACGACGCATCACTTTGAAGGGTTTATGCAGTATAATGAGGGCTAGTACTATTGTGGTCACAAACATGCCACCACCTAAAGTTTTTGTTTTACTTTGGGGTAAATCATCATGCAGTATTTGATGCTACCGTACCGTACAGAACCCTACCCTACCCTACCCTACCCTACCCTACCCTACCCTACCCTACCCTACCCTACCCTACCCTACCCTACCCTACTCTACCCTTCCCTACTCTACCCTACCCTACCCTATAGTACCACACCCCGGCTTACTTTTCCATTCCCTGCCTTACCCTGCCAACTCGTCCTTACTCTTACCTAATCATATCCCTACCTTTACCTCTAGTCGTACCTTTAATCTTACTGTGCAGCACCCATATTCTACATTACATACCAACTATCGCATAAGCCTACCTAAAAGTTGTCCCAGCGCCAAGTCAGCCTTAGGACTTTCAGCAACGACGACTTCAACAAGCATGCCGAAGATGTCTGGCGCTCCATTGCCAAATGCCATTAATGTTACACCCGCCACGTTCTGAGATATTTTAAGTTGTCGTACTATTGATGATATACTAGCACACAGATACTCATCTGATGCTGAACCTAACATCATTAACGCAATTATCATGTATAGTACTGCTAATGGTACCCATAAAGCATAACGTAGAGCTGTGACTTCTGTACATAATGCAAATTGAGTCCATAGTATGTAGCCACCACTGGAGCATACATCTTCGTTTGCTGTTACGTACGAACATAGGTCTTCTGAAAGTAGTTATGTTAGAGTAAGCTTTTACTATGTATTATATTTTTGCTATAGTAATGTAAAATTCAAAATTATTTTTCTTACTTGGCGCACTAAACTGCTTGAATGGATCACAACTCTCGCTGCCATTATTACTGTAGAGATCAAATATTCTGCTGTCGTTGAGGCCTAATTGAAAAAATACATCACTTTTCATATCCCAAATATTATATGTAATGCTGAAATTTTAAAATAAATTTTTAGTTTTTAATAACGTATTTTACACTTATTAACACGAGAATTTTATCAAAGGTATACCACCCCCCCCCCCTTTCTAAAAAAATTGAAAACGGTTAAACGTGCCAGTCTTGTTAGATTAGATAACTCTAACCCTAGCTTCTAGCCCTAGCTTGTAGCTCTAGCTTCTAGCCCTAGCTTCTAGCCTACGTTCTAGTCCTAGCTTCTAGCTTCTAGCTCTAGCTCTAGCTCTAGCTTCTAGTCCCAGCTTCTAGCCCTAGCTTTTAGCTCTAGCTTCTCGCCCTAGCTTCTAGCCGTAGGTTCCAGCTCTAGTTTCTAGCCCTAGCTTTCCTAGCTCTAGCTCTACTTGCTTTAAAGCTAGTCAAAAGGGTCGATCCGAGTCTACTATCCTAATGCTATACGTACCCCCTCAAGCAAACTCTGTAAACCAAAAATAGGTAGGCTAGAACAAAAAAGGATAAAAACGTGTACGACTTTATGTTTAATGTCATTTTGGCACAAGCCGACATGCAAAAAATTGAAAAAATGCGAAAAATTACTTTACGTTAAATATGTTCGAAATTCTTGAAAGTTTACGTACCATATGGCAGATCAATCTTACGTGAAAGTGTTTCGAACCTGAAGCCAAAAACGTTTTTCTATTTTTAAAAATATTCAATTTGGCTAGGTTTATCTTATTTTCATTAGCTTTTCCTCACTTCCCTCCCCTCATTATCACTTAAAAAATACTTCTCGCCAGACTAAAACTACCCGTCCAGTACTTTAGTACTACATGAATAAGTAACTGGTTTAGGCCAAACTTTGTAAATCAGAAATTAAAATAACGATGCGAAATGAAAAAAAAAACACGTAAAAAAGTTCTTACAACCGAACACTTCAAACAAACAACAACTAATCAAACATGACATATGTAGAATGGTACTACCAAAGTTTTAAGTTTGATTAAATATCCATCGTTTATCTGTCTCCCCCTCCCCCGCCCCCCCCCCTACTATTTGAAATTAGTGTTCCCCTACTCACCCCCCCCCCAAGCCTCCCCACAACAACTAATCTCCCTTATCCTTTACTACAAGTCGCCTTCCCTTAAAATCAAACCTTTAACCCCCGCCCTAACACAAGTTTCAACAAAATATTCCCACTTAGCCAAAGTTGAAAACCATAGTTAGTAGCCGAATGCAATAAACAAAAATTTATGAATTTATATCAAGAGGAGAATTATTACTAAAACAATTGTTCATCTTATCGCGAAAATGGAAAAATTCTCTTCTGATGATTATTCTGGCTCGTACTTTAAATTTTGTGTTGGCAAGGTTGTATTTATGCTCAACATAATACAACTCTTGAATTTTGGGTTTTTGTCGTATTGAACCCGGCTACTATTAAATAACGATGGTATTAGCAATATCAAATTTGTTAAATACTGAAACTACTGTATAACATACTGCCTTATAATAAAAAGTCTGTATAAAGAACCACTTTTAGCTCACCAGTCAACAATACAAAGTGCATTTAAAACAACTGTAAAGTAGAACTCATGTATAGCTTTAACGAATTGATCGGGGGCTCAAAATTTGTTTGTTATAAAGGAGTTTTGTTATACAGGAGTTTTAAATGCACTGTGTAGCGGTAGACCGGGATTAAAAATTTGTTCGTTATACGGAATTTTCGTTATAGAAGAGTTTGTTATACAGAAGTTCCACTGTATATAGAAACTTCATAACAAAAAAATATAAAATCCTCGAGCGATTCGTTATACAAAGCTTACTCTTATTACTATTACACACTAAATTTAATAATATGTTAGCTAAAAAATGCACTTTTAAACGCTAATGCCGCTATTACTTTAACCTTATAATTGAAAAACAAGGACCGGAAGCCATTGTTTAGTTTATCTCATTAACCTTGTAAATTGTTGTTTTGCAAAATAAAATTTTTCGAATTTTGATCAATTTGACGTCAGCGAGTGGGCCGATGCTTCATTTGTATCTAGCTTCTTACTACAATTTTCTTAATGAAGAATAACGATAAGACTATAGCAGTGAATTGCATGCATACTTACAAAACATAAAATCAAGTTTGGTTTAGTAGCATAATTTGGTATCATTAGCTTTTCATATCATACATCAAGGTAAACCCCAACAGTTCGTTTTTAAAAGTTGCTCTAATTGAGCTGCTTATCGGTTATTTTATCAGCCAAGGTTCATTTGTAGTACATAAAACACAAGCGTTGCTACAAACTTTGCAACGGCTCGGGGATGCCAATATAGGGTACAAAGAATCGTACACACGACGAACCTTCGCTGACAATTTCCCGGAATTTATAATCAGTCTTTAGTATGGCAAACCTAGTGAACTAGCGTATTTGTATCGACTATTCTTTACCGGCTTTTATTACTCTGATCTTATCTATAAACAAAACGGTATTTTGTAACTCTATTGGCTCTTATTGTTCATACCTACCTATAAAGTGTCATTCCTTACTGTAATTTTATCCTACCCTTACTGTAACACTATATAAAATGTCTTGAAACCTTATTGTACTTGTACTTTGAAGCTTTGTTGTACTTCTATTGACTGTCATACTGTACATTAATCACTGTAATCTTAATAGTATTAGTTATGCTAAAAAAATCAAATTTTAATGGTGCAAAACGTGACTTTCTTTAAAATAACAGAAGTCACGTATCTTCAAAACCAATTTAAACCTTAAGGCAAACATAAATTGCCTCCCATTTTTTATATGCCTGGTATATAAATTAAAATTTGACAAAACACTGATAAGGCTAAAACTGTTGTATCAAAGTTTCCTTGTGAACAATTAATTTTAATTTTTCATTGTTTTCTGTACAAATTTCTACGACAAAAAATTGCAAACTTTTTATTCTAGGCATGTGTAGTAATGCCAAAAACATATATGTATAGTAACATCAAAAATAACATGAATATACAGTGTTAACAGTAAAGTTAGCTATGCTTATAATTTGTAAACTTATACTTTACCAATATAAACCAGGAAGCAAGTAACACCCTACTTAACCTACAAACCCTCAACAAAACAAAACTATTCATTGAATGCAAAGCTCTATATTCGACAAACTTATCACAAAAACTTTGATTTAACCCCAATGATTGTCAAGGCGCACCTATATCACCATCCACCCTCGCTTAACACCTCTAACAAAAGACCGTGGAGCAGTTGTGTTTGAATATATTAAAACTTGTTTTGAAATTCACATGATCAAAAACCTTTTGTAAGCGTTAGAGTAAGCTGCAAAGATCAGCTGGCAAATTTACATTGGTAATTTCGTACTGTTTATCAACAAAAGCAGTAAGTACGGTGAACAACGTTCTTTGCGCTTATTAAGTAAACTGTTTTTTGATTAAATAAACAATAAGGTAATTAAGTAAACGCTAATCGTCTTCTTTAAAAATATGAGTTTTAGTCTGGTAGATAAAGATTTCATCATTTTTCTTCTAGCAGAAACATAGCAAATATTAAGCCTAATACGCATAGTCGCTTGCAATTTTTCAATCTGAGCCCAACTAGCTTCCTTAACATCCTTTTCTGCTTCATATTAGACGTTTAACGCAGATAAGGATTCCATCTTTCTTCTACAACAAGCATGCATCAAAAGTAAAACTACAACGAAACTTCTGTACAACGTATCGCTAAGGGATTTAAAATTTGTTCGTTATGAAGAGTTTTTGTTATACAGAGGTTTATTTACTTCAATGTGTAGTGTTTGCCAAAGATTCAAAAGTTGTTCCTTATACAGAGATTCCGCTGTACTTGACCATTACACTTGCCAATTTGAGCATTAGTTTTAAGCTTCATAGTAGTTTTCCTTTCTTTGTCATTTCAAACAAACAAATGCAAGTTACATCATCCTTCGTCTGACTATACTTAGCTAGTATAACAAATAAGCTTTGTGCCAACATAAGAAGACGCCAATCTAACAAACATTCATATAAAATTTGATACAAACTTAAACTAATAATATATTTACACTATAAAACGCAAACTCATATAATTATTTTTTAATGCTTTTTACCCTGCCAACGTCTAATTAAACTTTTTTAAGCCTAGTACAGTTTAGCGCATTCTAAAAAACCAAAACAAAATTATTAATACAGTAGCCAGCCAACTCCTCCACATGAAAGAATTGTTAAGCATCATCACACAATAACTCGATTTTTACAATTTTACCTTTTTTCAAAAACTAACGGTCATATGTTTACACCCAATACATACCATATAAATATAATTGGCTGTGCGGGGGTGGGAAATGATTGATCTACTTAAATAGACATATCAAAGCTGCAACATTTAAAAAAAGTTTCTATTTTGTGACTTGACGTGGAACGAACGATACGGAACGTTTGTAAATCAAAAACCAAAAAATGGAATTTGAGATTGTAAAAAAATTTATCAAAACTAAGTTAAAAAAAGCAAATTTAGTCTACTGAATTTAATATACTGTAATTTATAGACTTGCTAAAAGCTCGTTCTCTAGGTTTACTAAAACAACCAAAAACTGTGATACTGTAGAAGTTATAAATAAATTTTTGATGACTTTAATTAGCAGCGTTATCAAAAATTTCTAGCATGATTTAAAAGGCTATAGTTTGACCTCCACCCTCACTAGGTACGGTAGCATTATATACTGATAACAGTTTTATTAAAAAATTAATTAAAGCTACAAAACATGATTATTGCTGATATAGACTAAACTAACTATCCCCACCCACTTTTTTGAACATTGACTCTTCTTTACCGCTTTTAACTAAACCATCCCCTTTACCGTTTCTAATCGTACAGTATCCTTCTCCAATCTGACGTTTTTTTAAAACCAAAAATACTTCCAAAAATGCATTACAAAATTGTAATGAGCAACCGAAAACCGCTGATTAACAACTGCCAGTCTATGTTGGTTGTTATTTTAATCGAATTCCCAAAAATAAATCCCCTCCCTCACTTGATTCATTCAAAAAAAAACAAAAATCGATCTCGGAATTATATGCAAAGTAAGTGAGTCAAAACTTTATTTAACCGAATTATTTATCAATACGGTTTAGCCGGCTGACCGAGTCTTGTGATTTCGTATCACTAACTGTATAAAAAGTTATCGCAAGGGTTCGAATTTTAATTAGGAAATCAACAACTTGGCTACAAAGAAGTTATGAGAAGAAACAGACTAGGGCTGGAACTATGGCTAGGGTGCTATTACTAGGACTAAAGCTAGGATTTAAAAAAAAGCCGGGCCATGCTAAGCTTACAATTTTTTAGACCTGACCAGTCCGACCTAAAGAAAAAAATTAAAACAGGTCGGGCCTAAATCTAAAGCCCTGCGTCTAGGCTTAGACATGGATAACGGGCCGGACCTGAGCAAAATTTTAGTCGGGCCGGGTCTGGAGATTACGAAAAAGCCCGGCCTGGCCTTAAAAGCCAGGCAAAAACCGGCTTGTTTTGTAAAAAAATTCGGGCCAGGCCTGATCAAAAGTTAGATTGGGCTGGGCCTAAAAAAATGAGCCCGGCTCGACCTTGTTTTCAATGTCTGTCTGGGCCGGGTTTCAAAAGTGGGCCTGGCACGGCCTGTTTCTCACCTTAAAGAGCTAGAGCTAATTTTAAAACATAAATTAAAAAAAATTTTTTTTGACAATTTAAACTAGTTTGTAAACTAATCACCCCCCCACTTTTTTCTTTTTTCCATACTCCAGGCATTTAGCGCTTTAAAAATGTCCTTTATTATCAAACCTCCTGTTCCACACTCAAATCAAAAAATGCCTCAGGCCATTGTCTTTTGATTTCCGAGGTTTTGGAATTTCGTGTTCAAAATGTTCTTTATAAATAATTATTAATTGATTTGCATTGTCTTTGAGGCTGATATTTGGTTGTGAAGTGATTTTTGAAGGTGGTGAATTAGATTTTTAACAAAATTTTTTAATTTTAAAATTAAAAAAAAATTTATAGTGGGGTAGAAAGATAAGAGAAAAGAAAGAAAAAAAAATTCAATATTGAAAAATAAAATTTTTCTTAAGCGTTACTTATAAATTTTTATATTTTCTTCTTCTTCCTTCCTCTACCCTTCTTAGCTAGCCAAAAATATAAATTTATCACACTCGTCATTGTACCTTAACTAGACCTGTAAAAAGAAATGCCAAATTTTATCATTTTTTACAGTATTCTTATTTTTAAAGTGAGTTCGTCAGAATAAAGGTTATGTGTAGGACCAGGTAAATAGAACCTTTTATCAGTAATTTGGCCTAGTAAGCCTCATTTTAGGACCTGAAAGAGAGCTCACTAGGTCAACCCGAAACAAATTTGTATGAAACGTGGCCGCATAGGCACATAAGAAAGCCCAGCCTAGTTACAGGCCTACTTATCAGCCCACCCTCACATTTACAACCCCTAACAAGCCATAATGAGACAAAGTGTTTGCGGGCAAACAATTAATAGGAAGCAAACATAGTCAAAACGTTTTTTCTTAATTATAAAAAATATACTAAATTCTGCGAAAATTAAAAAAAAACGATAAAATACTGTAAAGATAATATCGTAAATTTAAAAGAAAAAAAATATAATAAACGATAAGTCGGTAAATCTAAAAAAACATGCATTCCTAAGAAAATTAAAAGTGTTTGTAACTTTTTTGCGTTCCAAGAAATTGTGACCAAATTTGATTGTTATCGAACACAAAAAATGACTTAAATCCAATAACTAACATAAGATTAAAGATTTTTTAGCAGTCTGGGTCAAAAACACTATAAATAGAGTTATAGAGCCCTAGCCCAGAGCCCTAGCCCAGAGCCCTAGCCCAGAGTCCTAGCTCAACCCTATTACCCAAAGCCCTAGTCCAGAGCCCTAGCCCAGAGCCCTAGCCCAGAGCCCTAGCCCAAAGCCCTAGCCCAGAGCCCTAGCCCAGAGCCCTAGCCCAGAGCCCTAGCCCAGAGCCCTAGCTCAGAGCCCTAGCCCAGAGCCCTAGTCCAGAGCCCTAGCCCAGAGCCCTAGCCCAGAGCGCTAGCCCAGAGCCCTAGCCCAGAGCCCTAGCCCAGAGCCCTAGCCCAGAGCCCTAGCTCAGAGCCCTAGCCCAAAGCTCTAGCCCTACTGTTCACTCACCTTCACTACTGTGCTACTCTGGTGCCCCTTCTTTAATAGTCATACATGTAGAGAACAACAACCCTTGCCTTTTTTTATACTACAAACCCCCACAAACCAATATCACATCAACAAGCCAAAAGATGACTAATGTCATCACCAAAACCTCAGAAAACAACATTGACGTCAAACGGGTAGTACTAGTAAATGATATTAGTGGTCTTACGTTTTTGCACAGTATTCCCTTTACAAACAAACTTTTAGAATTAACAATTCTAAATTTCACTGTTTACTCAACGCGCGGTCTAATCGAACAATCGAAATATTGCGGAAATTCGAAATCAGTCTATTCAGCTCTAAACACCCATGTTCATTATTATAGTAACGGAGGAATGTAAATCTGAGTTTAGTCAAGCTTGTGACAACATGTTATATAAAATGACTTTCAAAATTTATCTAAATTACAGTACTATTAAAAAGAGGCAGAGCATGGTATGTTATGAACAAGGCTAGAACTAGGGCAAGAGATAGAGCCGAAGCCACAGTTATAGCTAGAGTTAGAGCTAGAGCTAGAGCCAGAGCCAAAGCTAGAGCTAGAGCTAGAGCTAGAGCTAGAGCCAAAGCTAGAGCTAGAGCTAGAGCTAGAACTAGAGCTGAAGCTTAAGACATGAACAAGAACTATAAACAGAACTCAAACTTCTAAAAAATTGTTTTACCTTACCTCACATTATCCCCCCCCTCTCCTTAACATTCATAAGAAACAACGATTGTAGTGACGCCCTTGCCAAAGGTTTTGCACAGTCTGTTACTCAAAATATATATAAAAATATAAAGTAATAAGACATTAATCATCATTTATGTTTGCATAGTAGTTATGGTAGATTAAAAAAAGTGCGACCAAAAAATAAACGACTCGGACAAGTCATAATAATTAATATTAAGCAAGTCTAGTAAATTGTCTATTATTACTTCGCGATTATAAGATCAGGTTTATGAGAAGGCAACCTACTCTATCTCCTTGCCCTAGTCCTAACTTTAGTCAACTTTTAAATCATGCAAAATTCTAAATTATAAAATTTTAAAAGTAATTTTTTGGCCAAAAATAACAAAACAAATAATCTATGAAGCTTAAACATGCCTAAAAATACTTTGAAGCTAAAGAGAACGCAGAATATATGAATATCTCACTTGAAAATCTTATCTCGCCACTTGGTTTACTGTTACCTAAAAATAAAATTTTATAAAACTTACTTCCTACCTTACCCTTCTCTACCCTAGCAAACCATCCCTACTCTATCTTACTCTGCTCTACCCTATAAATACTGTACCCTGCCTTACCACACTGTATCTTATCTTCTTGTACTCTACCCTACCTTTCACTAGCATGCCTTAGTTTCCTTTGCATTACCCTACCTTCTTCTGCCCTGCCCTACGTTCTTACACCCTATCGTATAATATTTATAGCAAAAAAAGTATTGTCTTACCCAATATAGATTGACGACAAAACTTTATTGCCAACTCTAGACTAACCTAAAGGAACACCTGATAAACAAATGATACAAAAAACAAAATACCAAGATTGCGTTCACTAATCGCTAATTTTGCATGACTTTTAAATCTTCCGTGTTTGACAAACCGCTTACAAACAAAATCTTTGAACTCCCCCACAAAGTTTTAAAATTAGGTAAATAAGCTCTCTAATTTCATTAATTTTAAGTTTTTTTTTGATTTTTTATACAAACAATTGCACGTTAGGTTGAATACAAATTTTGTTCAAAAATTGATGACATGGTGTTTACTGTAGGGCTTATACTTTGCAGTATAATGTGAAATCAAACATCATAAAATTAAGTTTTAAAAATTTAAAAAAATTAAAATAAGACCACCAAAATACATTTTTTTAAACGTTCTTTACGTTTTTTTAATAAACACTACTATTTTTTAACTATGATATAAACCCGGCGTATAAGAAATTGTCGCAGCTTGCAGTCTTCTTTCTCCACTGTGCGCCCTCTTCTTCTTGTTGATTTTCCTCTCTTGTTCATCAAATTGGCGTTTCTTTCTGTTTCATTCGTTCATTTTCGCTTCTTTTTCAATTATTATGACAAAAATATAATATTCGACATTTGTTTTGTTTTATAAAATTTAACATCTTTTATTTGTTTTACACATATATTTTTTTATTTTTAAATGTTTTACAGCTATATTTCATTGTTTCAGGTACTTTTTTCGGGTCAACACCGAAAAAGTGCGTTGTTAATTGTCCGGCGGGTTGAATGAACTCTGTGCCCACAGTGTCAGTTCAACGACAGCTGAAGGAAGACTGGGATAACCGAGAATTTGAGTATTTTGCGGCTGATAACATCAAGAAGATCGGTGAATCACTGAATCAATTTGGTATGTTTTAGCTTTTTTCTTTGGTTTTTAGATTCATTTTGAATTGATGAGCTTTATCAGATGTTTTTGCATGCTCTGCTTCGTTTATTGTGCAAAAAGTTTTGTCAAAAGGACGTGTTGGGGCGGATTTTGTAGAAGATATCAGAATATTGTTGTAGCGCATGAGTTTCGGTTGCTTTTGACTTGAAAAGCTTTGCTATATTTTTATCAATGTTTGAAATGAATTCACAATGATACTCTTAGGGTTAAAGAGTGTAAAATAAATTTAATATCAATGGTATTGTTTTAGCTTACACTTGTGGTAACAAATTGGCTACATTGAACGACAAAATCACTCAATTGGAACAAAGTCTTGACTTTTTGGAAGCTAAGGTAACATTTTTTGCTTTTGGAAATTAAAACTTTGCTATAGATTTTGGTTTATATTGTCTTTTCTTGGAAAATTAAGTGTTTAATCTTGATATTCTTTCAGTTGAGCCGTGGTGAAACCTTGAACTGAAATGTCGGCCGGTAAAGTTGTACAAACTGCTAGTCGTGCTGTGACAAAAAGCGTCACTCCAGTCCATTCTCATACTGCTAATGAAGCTCGTTTGGAGGTTTTGAAGTTGTACAAGAACTTGTAAGTTTATTGGAAGTTATGGCGAAATTGTAGTAGCTATGAGATGGGTTGTGAAGGTTTTTATTACTTTATTAAAAATTTGTGTGATTCAGTTTTTTTCCAAGTTGCATTCTACATTGTTTTTTGTCAAAAGTAAAATCAAATCAAAAAGTTCCAACTTGAATGAAGCACGATGTTAATGTGACCTAGTTTAAGGTCATAAATCAAAATTTCATAACGATTCTGAAACAATACACAGCGCAAAACGCTCAAAAACAATAATCGCGGATTGACCTCGCTTTCATAGTGAAAAAAAGAATGAATTACTCTGTAAAAAGTACGTATTACTCTGTAGAAAGTGAGAATACGAATTAATGATTAATAAAATAAAATTCGAATTACTCAGTAAAAGAATGAATTACTGAGTAATTTCGTGTTGGAGTAAATTAGCGTTCGCTTGATTTTAATTGAAATTGAGTTGAATTGCGCTTATGGAAGGGGAATACCTGTTCGAAAGGTTGTTCATGGTGTTTTGGAGGTATTTAAGTGAGAAGGGGTAGAAGGCTTGTTCTTTGTTCTTGGAAAGCTTTTTTTAGGGTTTTATGTTTTTGGGACTGTTTTATAGAACAAACCAGGCACGTCGCTATGAGATGAATGGGGGTGGATTCACTTTCTGTAGCGACGTATCTGATTGAAACCATGGTGCATATGTTATACTTTGCCTTACATTACTTTTTACCGTACAACGAAGCAAAAATTTGGCTGTAATTTGGTTAAATCTTCTAATTTATGTCTAGTTATTCGTTAACCATTGTGGGTTTGTCGTTATTATTCGTTGATCATTGAGGTTACTTGTTATTCGAGCTTCTTTCATTGTTCTTTGTGGTATAACATGACTTCTTATTGTTTGAACAGTCGTATTATTTCTATTTTGGAACGTTGAATTTGGTTTTCTATTGATTCTGGAGGTTTTTTTATAAAACAAATTAGCGTTTTTAGTCGATTCTCTTTATGAGGACTTGAAAAAATGACCTTCTTGATACAATTTGCAATACACTTGGTAGTTTTGGTCAAACATTCAAAAGTTTTTTGTTATACGGGATTTTGTTTTAGATGAGTTAGTTATACGACCTCTACTGTAGCCGGCATATGTTAATTTACATTGTGCTCGTTTATAACTGTACTTTATTTCGATTGAAAGCTTTTCAAAAACTTTTTACTGCCTTCATAGTCTCAAACCACTAAAAAAGTCTCTTCAAAACACTGAAAAAGCGGAATTGATTGGTTTAGTTTACCAAAAATTGCTTATGGTTTTCCGAAATTTCTCTTTTTTTTTTGTTTTTTCTTTTTGTGCGGCGCTGCGAAGGGCCGCAGAGTCCACGTAGTCTTTTTCTCTCTCACCACATTTATTATCTGTGAACGTTGAGAGAAAAGACCGTTCCTTCACTCTAGAGCTGGAAAAACAATATGTTCCTTGTTTGGAATTTAAAAACAAAAGTTTTTTCGAATTGGGTAAGGAGTGTTGTTCATGTTTATTGGGTTGAAGGAGCTTGAGTTGAGTTTTTGTTATTAGAAAGTTGTGTTTTGTTAAATAAACGGTGAAGGAAGGGTTGAAAAGACAAAATTGAAATTTTGGCTTGTTTAGTTAACAAAATTGATTTATTTTTGTTTCTAACAGTGGAAAAGGTATGTTGTGGTTGGTATCAAAGCTTTTACGATTTTCAAGATAAATATGACGTGGTTTTTAAAAAAATTTTGTTTTGCTTTTGCCAGTTGGGAGGTATAAGTAGAAGAGGTGAATCTTGTCAGCTAACGCTTAATAAGCTCATAGTTAACACACTCAATCAAAAAAGCAGTCATCACTGTTATCTCTCGTGATTGTCACAAGTAGTTTCTCGGTTGTCACGGCTCTTACGTGGCACTTTTAATTTCACAACGATTCGAATGTGTATATCATCGTCGTCATCAGAGAGGGGAGATTCTAGAGCGCTGCAGTGAAAGAGCGGAGAGTGCGCAAGCCATCCACATAAAAAGTGGTGGAAATAAAAGAGCGGCCGGTCGGGCATGGAGTAATCTTTTCCGGCGTCTTTTTTTTTAAGTTTTGCTGGTGGGGAAAGTCGCATTTTAGATATGTTATGTTGGAGTTGTAGTTTTGTAAGACAATATTGGAGTTGGTAGTGTTTTACTATAGTTGGTATGGTTGTACTGGAATTATAAGCTGGATTTGGTTTGTCATTTAGGAAAAAAGATAAGGTTTTGATTGGAAATTTTACATTTTGAAAGTTCGAGAAAGCCTTTTTCCATTTTTTTCTATAACTGGACGCTTAGTAATATTCACAAGCCTAAAATGCCTAAAAACTTATTTAGGACTTTCATGCTTGTGAAAGACATGTACTTGAGCCTCGGAAAAGTGCCGTACGTGACCAGAACTGGGAATGTCATGTGCTAATTTAAATTCAAACGCGTAAACAAATAAAGGTGATTTGGGGAAGCGATGGAAATTAATATTTTTGCGACCTCAGTAAACAGAAGAGTATAGAATAAGCTTAGAAAAGCGATGGGAAGACATTCGAATGGGTATTTTGAGTAGCTTTGGATAGTTATTTGTTTGGAATGGCTATATTGTGGTGTTTATTTGCATTGGCTTTTTGGATAATTTGATTAAAAATGAATTGTCAAAGTTATTAAATGTAAAGATATTGATTGTCAAGTAGATGAGAAATGCGCTAAAAATTTAATTTTTGTTGAATTCCTGTATATATAATCGCTCGGAGGCTTTAAATTTGTTCGTTGTAAAGGAGTTTTATTGTGAAGAAGTTATAAATTGACTGTGTAGTGTATGCTAAAGCTTTGAAAGCTATTCTTCATAAGAACTTTTTGTCATAGAGCAGTTTGTTATACAGGAGTTACACTGCAATGTGACCGACAAAGCACCATATCAAATGTATTTTAGCCTTTTTTCTTGCATAGCCTCTAAAATTAACTGCAATGCGAGCCTTTAAAATTTGGATGTAAAAGAACGGAGGGAAATTGAAAGGAAACCTAAACTATTGGCCATCTACGGCCACAAACTCATTTGGAATGTTTGGGCCGTATCGACCAAAAGTCGACACAGCTAATCTATCCGGTACGTCGGGGAAGTACGAATGTGTTTTTGAGATCAAAGAATGCTCAGCTTTGTTTAGTTAATGAAATGAAAACTTTTTGTAAAATACGGAGACGGTTAAGATTGTGCAATTATGTTTTTATTTCGATTACGGTCGTTTCGTATTTTACAATCATTTTTTATTGATAATTACACGCTGCGGAACATTCTTTGGTTTTATAAACACCTTCTTATTTGCTAGATGTAAACAATAGAATAGCTGTGTCGACTTAGAATAGGATGGTTTAGGTTACTTTTTAATTTTCCTCTGTTCTTTTACATCGAACTTTTAGAGGTTCGCTTTGCAGTTAATTTTAGAGACTATGCAAGAAAAAAGACAAAAATACATTTATTACTGCGCTGTGCTAGTCACATTAGGGTGTAAATTCAGTATAACGAACTTGTCTATAACAAAAAAATGGTAAAATACGAGTGATTTAATGCTATATTGAACATATTTCTTAATATTGTTCTTTATTGACTACATTTTATTTTCTTTTCGAGAAGCCTAAAGATTGAAATTTTAAAAAACTGGCTAAAAATTAGTTTTTTAAGTTTGACTTGATATTCTAAATTATTTTATTTTAGTCAGAGGATCACTCCGACCTTCTGGTGGGACTATCAGCTCACCGATTACCCTCTTCCCGTCTTCCGTGAGATCATTAAAAAGCAGTTCCTGAAGAATGCTCACGTAAAAGACTTGAGAATTATCGACCGCAAGGTCGGCGAGGGCTACAAGGTAGGGTGACATGGCTTGGAAATGGAGGTTTTTATCAGTTTTGAACTTTTTTTTCGTTATTTTTGAAATTTTTTTGGAGTTTTGAAAAAAAAATTTAATTTTAAAAAATTTGAAAATTTGAAAAAAAATTCTAAAAATCAATCAATATGGTTTTTTAATGGCTTTTGAAAGATTTAAAACATTTTAGGACATTGAATCGATCGAGTGGGCTTGGTACAATCCGGACCACGTGAGGAACTTCCTGTTCCGCGAAAACCTCGAACCCAAACCCAAGGACTTTTTGTCCAAATTCCTGCAAAAGGTGGACTAGAACCACGCGAAAAACGTTTAGGCTTCTTTTACACACGAGTTTGTAAAGTAATTTCTTTCCAAAAATGAAATTGTAACCAAAATTGTTTCGATGATTTAGTACATGTTCATTTTAAGTACTTGAAATGTATTTTTTTGTAAGTTACGAGTTGTAACAGTATCTGGTAATGAATATCATGACGTTTTATTGTTGAAGCTTGAGCATTTATGTTTTATACTGGTTTTTAGACCAAGTCATATTATCATAGAGGTGTGGGTGGGCTGGTAGGAGGATGGAGTTATAGGATTTGTGAATTCCGAGTTTTTTTCGATGTTTTTGGATTTTGAAAAATATTTTAAAATTAGTGTAAGATCGGTTAAGAATTTCAAATTTTATGCTATTTTTAATGACTTTTTCAATTTTTTTGAAAATTTTTGAAAGTTCATTTCCTATACCTACAGACCGTTGTAGTATGAATACAGTACTGCGTAGCGTCTTTCCAAGGCGAGGTCTTGTAAGCATATGCAGACGCTTCTCAGAAGCGGCACCATCTACAGCTGGTGCGGATCCAGAAGAAATCAGACGCTTCGATGCGTTGGCTTCGGAATGGATGAATGAATCCGGACCCATGAAGCCACTACACTCGATGAACAAGCTCAGGGTGCCATGGATTTGTAGTGAACTTAAGGAGGTGGGTTTGGATTTTTATTGTGAGGGGGGGGATTTGAAATTTTTTTAATGAAGTATAAAGGCAGTTGGATATTAGTTTATGAATCAAAAATTTACTCTTGATAATAGTGATAAGGCTAATATATTTTGATTTTTAGAGAGTTCAAAAAGCCGAAGTCACATTATCACAGCCATTGAAAGGCCTAAAAATAGCTGATGTTGGTGCAGGAGCTGGAATATTGACATTACCTTTGGTCAGACTAGGTAAAATCATATTTTTTATAAACTTTTTATCACTTTAGAGGACAGGATTTGTTAGAAAATGAAAAATGTGATACTTTTTATGGATTTTTTGATAATTGTGAGCAAGATTTTGTTGGTTTGAACAGTATTTTTAACTATATTGTTGTTGTAAGGGCTGGTTTCAGCCTTAAGAGTTACAGCTAGTTTTTAACAAAATTTTGTTGTAATTTGTAATTATAAGCTTTTAAAGTTATAATTAAGTGTTAAATCTAGTTTTTAACAACATATTGTTGTAGGAGCGACGGTGGACGGAATAGAAGCAACAGAAGAATGTGTACGAGTTGCCGAAAAGATTGCCGATAACATTTTGAGCCAAGACGAACGAAGCCGAGTCAATTTTGTACATTCAAGTGCAGAACAAATGGCAGTGGACACGGCTGAAGGTAAGGTATTATATTCTTTAATAATTTAGGTAATAAATTTTTTTAAATTTAGTTAACAAATTTTTCTTATACTTTAGGTAACAAATTTTATTCACAATTTAGGTAGCACATTTTTTTTTAATTTAGGTAACAGATTTCTAGCAGTTTTGATAAAACTTCCCATTTCAGCCTACGACGCGGTGATCGCATCCGAAATCATCGAGCACGTCGCCGAACCCGCGGACTTTGTCGGCGCATGCGTGCGGCTGGCCAAACCCGCAGCGCCGCTCCTGTTCACCACCATCAACCGGACCGCACTCAGCCGTGTGGTGGGGATTTGGCTGGCCGAAGTGAGTGCGTGTGTGAGGGGCGAAAAGGGGCAAGAGGGGCGCCCCAAAAAAGGCGAGGGAAGGGAATGCTTGTGGGGTTGTGCTGCAGCCCCAACTGGTGTTCAACATGAAATTCGGACCAGGATTTGTGGGTTCGACGGGATTTTTAGGGGGATTTTGGAGGTTTGGGGATGTTTTTGGAGATTTTTGTGTTTTGGGGAGAAAAGGCTTGAAGTTTTTTAAATTTCAGGACCAAATTTATAGGCTTTTCGGCATTTTTTAAATAAAATTCGTTAATTTTTTTAAACTTTTGGTTTAAATTTGTTAATTTTTTAAAGTTTGACACTAATTTTGGAGGGATTTGACGAAAAAAAACTGTTTTTCGCGGTGTTTTTAAAGATATTTTGAAAGAAAAGATGTTTTAAAAGCTGAAAAAGTGTCCTTATTGAGCATTGAAGCTACTTATCAAGATGTAATTTTATGTAGAAAAGCCTAAAAATGACGTTTTTATAGAATGGTTGTGGATTTATTACAAAATTTTTGGTTTTTCAGGCTTAAAACTTAGTTATGAAGCTTGTTTTGTTCTGAAATTTGAAAAATATGTTGTTTTTGGTGTAAATATAAGGGTAGGACATACAAAGAATGGTACAATTTTTGGTCTACGACTTATAGAATATATGTTATTATTCCTGACTTAAACTATGAAGAATAAGACATTTTTGAATCAAATAATTGAAATTTTTAAGGCCTAAAATATAATACCAACTCTTTTCCAGGGTCTTAAGCTCCTCCCGCCCGGTCTACATCAATGGGAAAAGTTTGTAACACCAGATGAACTGAAGAACCATCTTCTGATGAACGACTGTGAAGTCATCTACAAACGAGGCCTCATCTACGATCCATTGCTAAACGAATGGGATTGGTTTGTGGTAGAACAGGTCAACTATGCCTTATTGGCTAGGAAAATGTAACTTATCGACGGATTTTGTGGTTGATATGGATTAAAATTGGAATTTTTTTTCATAATATTGTTATTGTTAATAAATTTATATTGAGATTTGATGTTAATTATTTTGGTTTTACTCGTTTGAGACGAGATACACTATTTGATGATCTTTTTTGATTTTTAGCTTTTTTGGGTTAATTTTAATTTTTAGGCATTTTTCATACTTTAACCTTATTGTAGTTGAAATTCATCCTTTTTCTTTTTTAATATGTTTTGCGACTTTTCTAATTTCAATACACGTTTCAGTTTGTAGAAGTTTGGTTTCATCAACCCGCGAAGACAACATGGATGAGGAATACGACGCTATTGTACTCGGCACCGGCCTCAAGGAGTGCATTTTGTCCGGAATGTTGTCGGTTTCGGGAAAAAAAGTCTTGCACATTGACAGAAACAACTACTACGGAGGCGAATCTGCATCTCTAACCCCATTGGAACAACTCTACGAACATTTCCGCGGCGCCAACGCTAAGCCCTCGGCCGACATGGGCCGTGGTCGCGACTGGAACGTAGACCTGATCCCTAAGTTCTTGATGGCCAACGGACCATTGGTGAAGCTTTTGATTCACACTGGTGTCACGCGCTACTTAGAGTTCAAGTCGATCGAAGGAAGTTTTGTCTACAGAGGCGGCAAGGTGTACAAGGTACCGGCCGATGAAATGGAAGCTCTGGCTACAAGTAAGTTGTGGTTTTTTGATTTGTTTTTGGTTTTTAGGTAGAAAAAATATTGGAGATTGATATGGGAAGAGTTGGTAGGGTTAAAATTGAAAGATTTTATTTAAAAAGTGATTTTATGTTGAGGAAGGGGTTGTTTTTATGAAAAAACCTTGAAAAAAAACCTTTTTTGTTGACAAACAGTAAATTTACCTCATTTTACTTTCATTTTTATCTACTATCTGATCAAATAAAAAAATCCACTTCATTTTAGGCTTGATGGGCATGTTCGAGAAGCGCCGCTTCAAGAAGTTCCTTGTTTGGGTTCAAAACTTCAACCCCGAAGACCCCAAGACCTGGGACGGGCTCGATCCCAAATCCACTCCAATGCAAGCCGTTTACGAGAAGTTTGGCCTCGACGACAACACCGCCGACTTCACCGGTCACGCTTTGGCTCTATACTTGAACGACGACTACAAACAACAACCATTCGCCAAGACCGTGGAGAAGATTCGCCTCTACTCGGACTCGTTGGCTCGTTACGGCAAATCTCCATACCTGTACCCCCTTTACGGTCTAGGTGAACTTCCTCAAGGCTTTGCCCGTCTTTCCGCTATCTACGGCGGTACCTACATGCTAGACAAGCCAGTCGATGAGATTGTCATCGAGAATAACAAGGTCGTCGGAGTTCGTTCGGGCTCGGAGGTGGCCAAGTGCAAACAATTGTACTGTGACCCCAGCTACTTGAAGGGCTCGGACCGTGTGAAGAAGACTGGCCAAGTCATTCGTGCTATCTGCATCCTGAACCATCCCATTCCAAACACCAACGACAACGCTTCATGCCAAATTATCATCCCTCAAAAGCAGGTCGACCGTCATTTTGGTGAGATTTTGAAAAGTTTTTGAAATTCAAAAAAATGATGACAAAACTAAGTATTTGACTATTTTTTGAATTCTTGAAAATTTCTTTAATTTTGAAATTAATTTTGAATTTCAGACATCTACATCTCGTGTGTGTCCAACTCGAACCTGGTCGCGCCAAAGGGATGGTATATTGCTATGGTTTCGACAATCGTTGAAACCTCCAACCCAGAATCCGAGATTCTGCCTGGACTTCAATTGTTGGGCACCATTACTGATAAGTATGTTTTTAACATTTTCATTGGTTTTGTTACCTAAACATCAATATTTTGAATATTTATAGAGTTTCTTTTGATACCTAAACCTCAATTCCTTTCAGATTCGTCAGCATTTCCGACATTTACGAACCAGTCGACTTGGGCACCGAATCCCAGATCTTCATCTCCAAAGGCTACGACTCCACCACCCACTTCGAGACCGTCTGCAAGGACGTGTTGGACATTTTCGAGCGCGGCACCACCGAAGCCTTCAACTTTGACAAGATCACACACCTTTCCCTGGAGGACCACGAATAAGCCCTCCACCCCCAAAACCGTATTTTGTACCGCCGGTTCGCGAAAACCACCACCCGCGCTGCACCACCACCCCTTTATTCATCTATGTCATACGCGTTTTCCAGTTTGGCCTGTTTCTCTTTAATTAATTTAAATTAAATCATTCGTAATTATTAATTTTGAAGGCAGGTTTTGATGTTGTTCAAGGTAAAGTACAGGTTTTTGGTTGGGCTTGGTAAAAAAGGGGAAGTACAGTTTTTAGCTGGGCGTAGCAAAAAAGGGGAGTAAAAGTTCTGTAGTTGGGCGTGGCAAAAAGGCGACAGAAATAGTTCGGGCGCGGCAAAAAAATTATTTGGGGGTGGTAAAAATTTGAAATATTTTTTTTTCATTTGGGGGGTGGCAAAAATGAACAAAAATTTTTTGGGCGTGGTAAAAAGGCGGAAGAAATAGTTTAGGCGCGACAAAAAAATGAAAAAAAAATTCTTTGGGCGTGGTAAAATTTTGAAATTATTTTTTTTCATTTTGGGGTGACAAAAGTGAAATAAAATTTTTTGGGCGTAGTAAAAAGCTGAAAAAAATTGTTTTTATTGTTGTTCAATTCTCTCTTTTGTTCTGTACCGTACGATACATATCGCTCTTGTACTGTACACTACAAAAGAGCCAGTACAAAAATAGGATCCTCGATGTTTACTCTCTGTTTGAGGGTTCACCACGACTTCCGAGAAGCCTCGCCCACAACAAAACAGTAATCCATCAGCGCAGCTTGTCCCTTGTTATGATCGACGCGACATTTGGGTGTAAATCATTGCCAACAAAGCGGAACGACTCCTCAGGGGGACGTGAGAACGATGATGCGCTCCCCGTTATCTGCCGCCCAGTGTCAAGCTTTTGTCATTTTATATAAACATGAACGAATGTTCATTCGGAGCATGATATTCTCATGTTCGTGGAGTTTCGGAAGGAATGTGTCTGGATGTTTAGAATATTTTGATGTGAGGGGGGAGATATGAACTTTGATGTTTTTAAAATTTTTTTTTGGTTTTTGTGGTTGAGGGGGGGGGGGGACGGTTTCTAAGGGAGTGGTAAAAAAGGAAAACAAGGGTAGATCAGGGCAGGGTAAAATGAATTTTGCTAGCGAATATAAAGATACAAAAGTAAGTTAGGGCACGGTATGGTAAATTAAAATATGGTCGGGCAAGGCGGGGTAAAAACTTTGTTTGAAGAGGGTAGTTAGGGTACGTTAGTAGAGACAGTAACGCACGGTACTATAAGGTTAGTCAGCTTATGCTGCGGTAGGGAAGGACAGGGCATTGAAAAAAGGACGGTAGGATAGGGTGTATAAAGCAAGGCTAACACGTTGTGAGATAGGGTAAAGTAAAGTGAAATAGAGTAGAGTAGGGTAGGGTAGGGTTGGGTAGAGCAGGGTAGGGTTGGTAGAGTAGGGTAGGGTAGGGTAGGGTAGGGTAGGGTAAGGTAGGGTAGGGTAGGGTAGGGTTGGGTAGAGCAGGGTAGGGTTGGTAGAGTAGGGTAGGGTAGGGTAGGGTAGGGTAGGGTAGGGTAAGGTAGGGTAGGGTAGGGTAGGGTAGGGTAGGGTAGGGTAGGGTAGGGTAGGGTAGGGTAGGGTAGGGTAGGGTAGGGTAGGGTAGGGTAGGGTAGGGTAGGGTAGGGTAGGGTTGGGTAGAGCAGGGTAGGGTTGGTAGAGTAGGGTAGGGTAGGGTAGGGTAGGGTAGGGTAGGGTAGGGTAGGGTAGGGTAAGGTAGGGTAGGGTAGGGTAGGGTAGGGTAGGGTAGGGTTGGGTAGAGCAGGGTAGGGTTGGTAGAGTAGGGTAGGGTAGGGTAGGGTAGGGTAGGGTAGGGTAGGGTAGGGTAGGGTAAGGTAGGGTAGGGTAGGGTAGGGTAGGGTAGGGTAGGGTAGGGTAGGGTAGGGTAGGGTAGGGTAGGGTAGGGTAGGGTAGGGTAGGGTAGGGTAGGGTAGGGTTGGGTAGAGCAGGGTAGGGTTGGTAGAGTAGGGTAGGATACATTAAAGTATGGTAGGGTGGGATTTTTTGTTCTTTTATGAATGAAGCACAGCTGATGGAAACTCCCCAATCAGCTGTTTCAGCCCCTCCAATCCTTTTATAACCATCACAAGGTTTAATTAGTTGAAAACTTGTGCAACATAAAACCGTTTTCGGAAGCAAAAATACTCTCGGCCGAGATTGAGGGTTTGTGTCGTAAAACGCCGACGTTCCACAACGCCATCTTTCCGGCCGTTTTTCGGGGATTTCCAATTCTAGGGGCACAATCACAACTATTGTTGTTGACATGAACGGCCGTTCGTTAGGAATTTCTGAGCGAAATGATTTTTGGATTTCGCTGCAGGCGATTGGGCTATTTTTGACATTTCAGGGTTGCAGCGGGTATTGTGATGTTCGGGTTGTCTTTTGAAGGGTGGGTTGGTTTTTTGGAATTGTTTTAAAAAGTTGAATTATTATTACAGTGAAATCTCTGTATAACGAATAACTAGGTAATTTATACCTTCATGACGAAGAGGTTTCGTTACATTTTGTTTAATGCACTGTGTAGTGTTGGCCGGGGATTTAAAAGTTGTTCGTTATATAGGGGTTTTGTTATATAGGAGTCTCCACATACCGACTGTATGAGGAAAAGTGGGGCTATTAAAATAACGGTACCATTTTTAAGATAATGGAGCTAATTTTATGAAAGGTGGGACTATTTTTTTTAAAGATGGAAGCATTTTTAAGAAGACAAGACCATTTTTTAGCAGATGGGCCTACTTTTTATGAAGATGGGACCAGTTTTACAAAGCTTGCATCTTTTTTTAAAAGTTGGCATTATTTTTTATAAAGTTGGCACCAGTTTTACAAAGATTGCACCATTTTTAAGAATTTATAGGTACATTTTGTTAAATGACATGCGACTATTTTTGAAGAGCTGCTCGTATTTCTAAGCGGATATGATTAACTACAGTAAAGCAGCGTTTCTTAAATACGTGGGGTCATTTTTAGGGAAAGAATGACTAGTTACAGGAAGGTATTCTACCGCAGCAAGTACTACAGTGGAACTCCTGCATAACGAATCGCTCGGGGATTGAAAATTTGTTCGTTATAAAGGAGTTTCGTTATACAGGAGATTTAAATGCACTGTGGAATGGTAGACGGGGCTTCAAAAGTTGTTCGTTATACAAGATTTTCGTTATAGGGGAGTTTGTTGTACAGGAGTTTCACTGTATATCTAAAGATGCCAGACGATTTTTAAAAATATGGGACAATTTTGGAGAAATCTATACCATTTATAAGAAGGTGGGAAAAGTACCATGAACATGTTTTATTTGTACATAATAGCTTTAAAATGTAAAAAATGTTATTTTTTGGTAAATATTTTTTTCTTCTAAACCCTTTGAATAAATTCATCTCTAATTGTCATTGATTTGACATCCAGACGCTTCCAAACGCACTTTTTGGCTCGTTTGTTACAGTGTTTTTTTTTCGGAAATATGAAATGAATACATCTCATTTACGCTAGCATGTAGCGAGGAAACACTTTTTTTCAGCTTACTCAAACATGAACACATCCAGCTTTTTATGGCATTTGTGTTAATTGAATTATATTTAATTGAACATTGTTTTTATAGAGGGAATAACCATTTTTTTCGGTTTTTGGAGGTGTAACTGACATAAACAGAGGGAAATTGTAGATATATTATTGTTGGGTGTACAGTATATATTGTCTAGTAAATTGAGATATAGCAGAAGGAGAACTTTTTTTTTGGAACTTCTTTGAAAGAGTTTGGGTGGAGGAGGTGGATGTTTAGGGCTACAGTTAAGCTAAATTTAAGGCTAAAGTTCAGGTTCCGGTTCAAAATCAGGCTAAGGCGCAAGCGCAGGCATAGGCTTAGGTTTCGGCTCGAGTTAAAGCTAAATTATTAAGGTTTATAAGGTTTAAGCTTACGGACAAGAGTAGGTCAAGAGTAATCCCTAAACAAGGCATGGGTAGGGTAAGCCATGAATATGGCGAAAGATGGGTAGAGTAAGGCATGAATATGGTAAGGCATGGGTAAAGAACGCATCGAAAGGGTAAGGAGGTTAAGGTACGTAATACTTTTTTATGTTGTGTATGTTGCATTATTAAACTGTCTTGTATTATATTGTGTTAAAGCTTCTATTCATATTCTCACTACGCTTATAAAACAGTATCTTTTCAATCTTTTTTTTGACTACATCTTATTATACTCTCTATTATGTTTTTATTATCATGGTAATTAAATTAGAGGATAGATAGATTATTGAGACTTTAGATGAATGCACTTGAGCCAGATTCTTGTTAACCATACATTCTTGAGTTGATTTGTTTGAGAGTTCATGTATATATTAAGCATATATAAAACGTTTTGATACTAAATCGACCGTTTTTCATGCCTTTTAAAAACAACAACATTAAGTGTAAGTTAGTTTATATTTTTGACATCTGGGGCATTACTAGTACTTCATTTGTCTTATTCCCTGAATTGCAACCTAGGAGTCAGTCATAATCTTTTGCGTAGGCTTAGCCTTAGCTTTAGCCTTAGCCTTAGCCTTTTCCTCAACCTTAGTCTCAGCTTTATTTTTATTTTTTAACTTATGCTAAATTGTAAACCTTGACCTCAGCTTTGGCTGTAGCTGTAGGCCTAGTTGTAACATTTGTAAAATAAAGATTGCGGCGTAAAATCAGGCCAGCCTTCTTTACAGGTCTAGCCTTTTCAAGGTTTACAAGACGTCAACAATCTATTTGTTTAGCTCACATTTGACCGCTCACAGCAGTGAGTCACGTTCGCGTCGTAAACATGGAATCAGATTAGACGCCTTCTGAATCCGCGTCTGATGAACTGCTGAGGGGGTGCGAATCCGGCGGATTAGGCAAAACTCTTTTCAAAACGTTTCCCATTCCTCGGGGAGCTGACGGAACCCTGAATTGATTCAGATGGTTTTTGGGCCGCGGTTTCTGACACTTTCGGCGCAGGAGTTTACTTTACAGAGAGATAATAGAATTTTTATTTTGATATTGATGTAGGTATGGAAAATATCTTTTTTTAAAGGTAGGGGGAAGGGCTAAGAAAGGGGTTCAAAAATTTTTTAAAAGGCAGAGTAGAGTCAGGTAGGGTAAAATAAGGTATAGTAGGGTAAGGAAAAGCAGGTTCAGTTTGGGTAAGTTATATTATACAATATGTCATGTAGTGGATCTAGGCTTCTTTTTACTAAAGTTAGGGCAAATTAAAATATTAAAGAGGAAAGCTTATGGTACAGTCAAAGTCTTGCGCGAGGGTGGGGGACAAGGGGGTGCCTTTAAAAAAAATTTTTTGAAAAAAGTTGAAGGTGGTCCCTCTTGTGGATTTTTCTGGTCCCCGCCCCCAGGCCAAAAGTGCTTGCCTTGCCCGGTCTTAGGTACAGTAGGTTAAAATGGTAAGGGAGTAAAGGGTAGGGTCGGGTAGGGTAGGGTAGGGTAGGGTAAAATTTTAAAAAGTTTTCAAGTTTCCATATTGTCCTTTCTAGTTCTCTTGTCAAGTCTCATAAGTCAAAAATACTGTCATAATAACCAGAAAAGGCTGGCGCAAAAAAAAACAAACTTGGACTTTGGGACCACACAGAATAATATATCATGATGGAAGCTTTGTTTTTTATTATTTTGTATTTTTTCTATCCCTGGAATTAATTACACACTTTTTTTGTTTATTTCACTTTCAACTCATCTTTGGTTTTAGTACGTGCAAACTTCCTTGTTCAATGGAAACAAGGTGTATATAGGTGTCATTTGGTATCAACAACATACGTAAAAGGTATTTTTTTGACATTGGCAAGCATTTTTGGAACGAGGAAGGGTGATGTGCGTATGGCCTTTTTTTGTTTTTTTTTGGCGGCAGGATAAATCGGGAGGGGGGGGTAAATTTTTATTTGAAATTTTTTTAAATTTGAAAAATGTTTTAAAAATTTTTATTTTTTAACACTTCCTCCTTTCTAAACACATCAAAATTCTTGCCTTTCTGTAACATCACACTCTAATCTAGCACTCTCTCGCATTCTCATACTATCTCGTTTTAATAGTTGTTTTCTGTTTCCAAAATGAAAAAACTTTATCTCCAATTCGAATCATCATCGTTTGTATAATTTTAATGGCACATGAAGACAAAAAGACGCAGTAGCATTCGACTCCACAAGTTGTACGTTTACTCTGTGGAACAGCGGGGTTGAGAGCTTTTACTATGTGTAATATATTATAGATAGGTAGAAATATATATATATACATACCATTAGCTAGTCCTAACTCAAAGCCCTAGCCTAAAGCCTTAGCCCAGAGCCCTAGCCCAGAGCCCTAGCTCAGAGCCCTAGCCCAGAGGCCCAGCCCAGAGCCCTAGCCTAGAGCCTTAGCCTATAACCCTAATCCAAAGCTCTAGCCCAAAACCCCAGCCAAAGCTCTGTACTAATCTTGGCCCGCGTGCTAGTTTTAGCCCGAGTACTCGTTGGGACTTTAGTGCTAGTCATGGCTTGAGTACTTGTCTGTTAACACGTAATAGTGTTGGCTTAAGTACAATATTTGGCTTGAGTACTAGTCCGTGCTTAATTACTACTCTTGGCTTGAGTAGTAGGCTTAGTTTTAGTTCTAGCCCTAACCCTAGAAAAGCATAGCATTGGCTCTAGTAATAGGCTTGGCCCGACTAGTTTTCGCTTGAATATAAATTCAAGTACTTGCCTTAGTTTTACCTTTAACCTTACCTTTAGCCTAAGATGTTGCCAATTTAGTTATACTTAAACCGGGTATTCACTAAAAAACCTACTCCATCCCCTCTCCTATTAGTTAAGAGTCCTAATCCATAAAACCGTCTTTACTTCCTGCTTCAGTACGCTAGGTTCAACAAACTTAAAAGCCCTAAAGGTTTTTTGGCCGCTAAATCATGATGACTTTGACTTGGAATTTCCGTGCAAAAATGATTTTTAATTACAGCACGGTATGTTTACTATAACTATATCGTCCATAACTATATTTACGTCTGGGCTTAAGACATAAACAGTGTAGTTTAAAAAGCTCTCAACCCTGTGTTTATACGGTAACATTGGAGACGACGTTCTGAACGCTACGAACGGTCAAGCTCTAAACTTTGTTCTACTAACGCTGTAAAGGCTATATTTACATTATTTACTACAATATTGGTCTAATTCTGGCATGCTAGTTTTGTTTAGATAGTTTTGAAAACGCTACAGTTAAAAAAGTTTTTAACTTTAAAAGAACGCTCAAAGAACGTTGGAGAACGTTCATATTATCTAAACAAAAACTAGTTAGGCGTTCATGTTATCTAACACGTACTAACAAAGTTACAATCGTACTGAAACAACACGTGTGAGAAGAGTTTCTTCTTCACTGACAGACTATAACAATAGCTGTCTAGTCTTGTAACTTGTTTACTGTTAGTTTTATTCTGACTAAAACTGTAAAATACATATTGGCAAAATGAGTGTCTATCGTATGTCAATATGCACTACGGACTTGTTAATGCACGGTAAGTTGTGGGCGTTTTATAAGGTGAAGTATACCTCATATTAAATTTGGTTTGGACTTTATTCTGGAATATTTTTAAAGTTAAAACTTAAAATCTAAGTTGTTATTGACTAAGGCCGCGCGAAAATTTCGAAGTAGTTTTAAAAATAGATTAAACAAGGAAGTGTCATAAAGTATTCCGCGGCTTATAGAACAAGACTTACCTAAATAAGAGCATAAAAAGTTAGCAAGATAGTCATTTTCAAAAACTGCTAAACGATCTCGTCTAGCAAGCTACGTATTAGTGGTCTAAAAATTTACATAGAAGATTCACTTTGGCCTTTGTTTTTTGCCTTTTACAAAATCAATAGATTGAGTACAATGCAATAAGGCTAATAGGTTAAGAGTTTAGTCTAACGTGCAGAAAGCTATATGTTTGATTCCTCTCTGTTTCGCTGTCGTTTTGCCATTATGATAAGACATTTTGGGTGCCTAAACAATGCCTAGATCAAAAAATATCTTTAGTCGGAATTTATGGTTTATGTAATTCATAAAAATCATCAAAAATTTTTTTAAAATAGTTAGAAAATATTTGTTTTATGGCTGTAGGATGTTTAAGCTTTAATTTTCGAAAACGGTTTTCTTGGTAAGTTTTTGTGCTCTTTTATCTTATATACAGTGGAACTCCTGTATAACGAATCGCTCGGGGACTGGAAATTTGTTCGGTATAAAGGAGTTTCGTAATACAGGAGGTTTAAATGCACTGGGTAGTGGTAGATGGAGATTCAAAAGTTGTTCGTTAAATGGGAGTTTCGTTATAGAGGAGTTCGTTATCAGGAGTTCCACTGTAGTTGTCTTTGTAAATCCCGCGGAATAATTGGTGCATCTAGAGATGCATCTCCTTTGTAAGGTTTTCATTGGCTAGCGGCCGCGCGCAAGTTCGAAATAATTTTAAAAATAAACTTTAGTTTTAAAGTGGTTAAACTAATCTTTGTAAACTTCAAAGACGACAAAGTTTACGACATTGGACACATAATTTTAGCTTTATGTTTGTTTTTTTGTTTCACTTGGTCTTTCGTACTCTAAACAAGACTTTAAACGTTTGAAAGCTATTTTAGTCGAGACTAAAATGACCTCTCAAGACGTTTTTTTTTATAATTTTTGACTAATAGAACTGTAGATGAACCTGTCATTTTTTAAATTGAATTTTTTAAAATTTTTATTATATTAGGTTCTTCACATAATTCTGCGCCCTCTTATTCCACAAATTTCCTTTGAGAGGGACGCAGAATTAAGTGAACAACCTAATATTAAGTGCCGACATAAAGAACCCGTCATTTTTTACAGGAAATTACAGGCAAAGTATGGCGGGTTCTTTATGTCGGCACTTAATACATATTACTCTACTTTATTATTCCTTCTCATAGACTTTATTTTTTTCAACTGATGGCTCGTATTTAAAAAAAATACAAATTTTTCATTTTCCAGACGCCCGGCTTCAATCCGACCGCTCGCGTACCAGCAGTCATCCCGGCTTCGGCGGGGCCAATTTCCTGAGTCCGCCGACTCGCCGCGCCCCTCCGCCGCCGCTCAAAGGCTCCGCCAGCTCTACAGCAAGATCAGAGGCATTATCTGCAGGCATGGATTTTATTTTACTTTACTTTAGAGATACTTAAGCTTGAGTAAGTGTGAGGAAAGGGTAGCGAAGAGGTATGGCAAGGGTAGGACAATGCCTTGATGTCTAATATCAGCCTGTTTTAGCCTAAAATCAGCGCTTTTCGACTTAAAAAAAGATTTTTTTTACTAAATTTTAATTTTTTTTGGCTTTAGAACAAATGCGGTTTTTGGACACTTGCGAATTTTTTAAAGGGTTTTTTAATTTTTTAGTTAATTTAGTTGTATTATGGTAATAAATGGTACTACAGTTTAAATTGGTACCATTTTAACATAACAGTACCATTTTGGGCTTTTAGTACCATTTAGTACTAAAAAAATATATAACAGTACCAATTTAAAATTTGGTACTATTTAGTACCAAAAAATATTAAAATATTAACAATTCAAAATTTAGTACTATTTATTATCAAAAAACATTAAAATAGTACCAATTTGAACTTTAGTACTATTTAGTGCCAAAAAATATTTAAATAGTACCAATTTGACTTTTTATTACCATTTAGTACCATTCTACAACTAAATTAACTAAAAAATAAAGAAAAACCTTTAAAAAATTCGCAACTGTCCAAAAACCGCATTTGTCCTAGCGCCACTTTTTTATGTAAAAAAAACACAATATAACCCACTTCCAGCACGATCAGACCCACTACAGACCTCATCTTCAACCAAGACCACCACCTTGTCATTGCATGAACAATTCGCCAACTTTCTCCGCGAACAATCGGCGATAGAACAGGCTGAGAGCATGATTCTACCGGTCGTTAAAATACGACGAAAGTCATTATTGGCCAACTTGAGTAGCGTTTTGTTTTTGGCATCGTATTTGGTATTCGGAGGGTATATGTTTATGTATTTCGAGGCTGACGAGGCTAGAAGAGCGGTTCATGAGCATCTACAGAAGAGGTATACCTGTATTGATGCTATTTTTATGAGGTAGGGTAAAATACGAATACAAGTAACATGCATGTTTATATTTAATTTTTTTTTTTCATTTTTAAAAATTTTTTTTAAATTTAAAATTTTTGAAAATTTTGAAATTTTCTGAAATTCAAAAAAAGATAATTTAAAAAAATTTCAGTCGACCGTACGATGCCTCTGTAGCCATACGAATTGCTCAAGAATGTGTGGCTGAGCCAGAACTTCAAAAAATCCACGAATGGAATTTGAAAAACGCACTTTTATACGGGTTTGGTATACTAACGACATTAGGTAAGCAGTTTCTAAAATTTATGACAACCTTTTTTATAATAATTTTAAAAAACGGCAGATTACGGACGGGTCTTTGTTATAGGCAACATAAAAAAAGTCTTTTTCATCAATTATATTATAAAGACTTCATAGTCAGTAGGATTTGTGTGGAATATTCTCGTTGATTGTAGCGGCGTAAAATTAGGATTGGCCGTGTTGTTGAACCATGTTTTTGGAGGTTGAAAACGAGGAGGAGTATATTGTGGTAGTTTAGATGGTACATTATTAGGACACAACAGAACGTGATGGCGTCGTTTGCAGAGACGACATGTATTTTCGCATTTATGTTGTCGTGTGAAAGGTTGTAGGCACGCGAAACAACGATGATTGTTTCGTAAATCAGTTATTCGTTTGGTAATCGTTTTAAATGTAGGACATTCCGAAGATGTATGTTGAGTAAACGTGCAGAATATACACGGTAGTTTGCGTGGTGTACGTTGTTGAGAAAAGTTAACGAAATTTTTTGGTATGTAGTAGTGGTGGTGGTGTTATAGCCGGGAGCATTCCAGGTCTTCTAGCCTGCTCACCGAGTTCTTTTACAGAGCAATCTTTAACATTCAATACCAATTTCTTCCTTTAACCTTTATTCACTAGTTGAGGAGACTCTCCATCTGCCCGTCGGCAAGTGGAGCCTACAACAGTTAACCCGACTGGCGATAACGGGGATATCTCTGGGTTTTAAAGCGGCTTTCGGACTCATTAATCAGTCTAGGAAACCTTATATTTATAACCTTGAGATTGCCTCGTTACAGTGGAACATATCGGTCCCGCGGTTTCGGAGATTCTTCCACCTGTTCGAGAATTTTGAGAATGTAGGTGATAATATGATCCTTTTGGAAATCGTTATCAAGTCGTTTCCAGTCACGAAGCTTGTTTAATATATAACGGGGCATTTTGAGCTCCAATAGATAAATAAATTGATCCGGCCCGAGAAATTCTCCATGTTGCTTTAGTTGTAGGACAAGTTGGTCCATTTCAAGTACGTAAGTTTTAATGTCTTCTGTAGAATTAGAACGTGGAGTTAATTGGTTGAGCTTGCGTATTAAATCTTGTGTTACGGCTTCATCGTTTCCAAAACGGTCAGCGAAGGGTTCTTTTTACGGCGTCAAAGTTTTCATGAGAAATTTCGTAGCTGCGTACAGCATTCAAGGCGTCTCCTTCTAATTGTCAAATTAAATACGTTAGCTTTGCAATATTAGCAAGATTAGATTTTTCTACCGTTTCGTTGAATAATTGTATGAATTTCTTGTAATGTCGGTATTCTCCATTTAAGCGTGGGAGTCGTATGGTTGGTAAACGAACACGGGGTGGTGGTGGTTCATTTGTTGCTGTCTCGTAGATCTCCAATAACAGATTCACTTTCATTAACGTTCTCAAACGTTTTGTGACTGTCCATGAAAGTATCGAATGTGTTTTTCTCAGTGCTGTAGTCTGTCTTCGTCTGTGAGTTCTGATAATACATTTTGCCAACTCGTTAGGTACCCTTGTATTCTGTCCGTCGTCTTTTCTAGGGCTGTAAGACGTGGTGTGCCCTTCGCGATAAACTCGTTGACCATGAATAACTTGCCGGTAAGGTCCAAAGTTTCTGGTACGGTAAACGCGCCTAAAGATTTGGCCTTCTGAAGTTACGTCGCTAATAAGGACATTGACGGGGCCAATAATCTACGAATGTGCCCGCTGGGGCTAGTAATTTTCTTAGACATTATTTAGTAGCTCCGGATTCCGATTCACTGGCTGAGCCCCCATATGCTGATAGTACAGGAATAAAAATAATACTATGACGTTAGTTACAGTAATATAAAATAATACAAATTATAGATACATTTTATTGTAGATTTTAGTAGTATAGTACAATTATAATAGTAGTAATATCACAATGAAAAAATATAAAATTGGGATATTGAAACGCCGTAAAGTACGGGTATTTATAGTGATTTAGGGGGGGGGGGCGTATGCTTTATGAAACAAAACAAGTTTTTCCTACTCGCGAGATTATAATCGTATAGTTTTTGAACTTTTAATCCCGCGAGATGGAAACTTGTTTAAGCTGTACGATTTTTTATATAAAAAGATTATAACTATACGATTTTTTGTGGTCAGTCACAACAGCAGGGTAAAAAGCAAATGTGTAGAGTTGGGTGATTTAAGTCAGGGTCAGGTAAGGAAAAGCAGGGAAGGACAGAATAAGATAAGGTTAGACAAAGAGAAAGAACGGTAAGAGAAAGGATAGGATAAGCCAATGTTATTAATACGATTAAAGATAGGACTAGAGCTAGAGCCAGGGAGAGGGTTAAGGATATGGCTAGGGCTGAGGGGCTAGGGCTGAAGCTAGGGTTCGGAGCTAGGGCTTCGGGCTCTGGGCTAGGGCTCTGAACTAGGGCTCTGGGCTAGGGCTCTGGGCTAGGGCTCTGGGCTAGGGCTTTGGGCTAGGGCTCTGGGCTAGGGCTCTGGGCTAGGGCTCTGGGCTAGGGCTCTGGGCTAAGGCTCTGGGCTAAGGCTCTGGGCTAGGGCTAGAATATGCTTTTTCTATTATTTTAGGTAACATTTTACAATAAACTTTCATTTTTCAGGCTACGGAAAAGTGGAGACAAAGACGCCGGAAGGCAAAGTTTTCACAGTGATTTGGGGCATAATGGGCGTTCCAATCACGGTGATCATTCTCTCAAACTTTGGGTTATATCTTCGAAGTGTTGAGTCCAAATTCCGCCATTGGTTGATGCGACGATGGCGCGACCGTTGCGACCGCGAAAAGTCGCCCACCTCAAAGTCGATCAGGCTAGAGCCTCAGCCTTCGAATGATCTAGGAGTGTCGCCAGTTTCTTTGTTAATAGTTGTCATTGTTTACTTGGTATTTGGAGCAATCGTCATGCCTTTGTTGAATGGGCGGTTCGAGTTTGTTAATGGATTATATTACTCATACATCTGCTTTACGGCTATCGAGTTTGGTGCACTGGTACCGGAAAAGTGAGTTTTATGATTGTAGTACGGCATATACGGTAGGGAAAGAAAGGATACGGCAGGACAGGATAGGGCAAGACTATGTACTGTAGGGCCGGGCTGGATACTGTAGGGTTGGGTGGGGTGTGTTAAAGTTGAGTAAGATAGAGTAGGGCTGGGTAGGGTAGGGTAAGGTAGAGTAAAGTAGGGTAATATAGGGTATGGTAGGGTATGGTAGGGTAGGGTAGGGTAAAGTACGGTACGGTAAGGTAAACTATTTTTTCAAAAATTTCATAAAAATTCATTTTCAGCACCGCCTTCATACCAATTGTAATAGGCTACATGGTGGTAGGGTTGGCCATTTCAACCGTCGCTGTCGGTAAGTTAATGCCATTTTTAGTTTGAAAAATATTGTTATCATATCAAAAAAACTTTACATTTTCATTTTTTAATCAAATTTTATAAAATTTTTATTGATATAAGGTATAAAATGGCACTTTTAGTTGAAAAATGTGTTATAAAGGGATAAAAGAAAGTCTTTCCGTTTTTTAACAGGGTACGTAATTCAAATTGACGACAATACTTTTTTATAGCCTGATACAACAAGATTTATAGAAAATATTGAAGAGGTATGCTATAAAGTGGCATTATCAACAAAAATTAAAAAATTAAAATTTTAAAAATTTCAAAAAAATTTTTTAAATTTTAAAGATTTTAATTTTTAGAGCTAGGAGCAGTGTACGTGAAGAAATTATACTACGTCGGACGAAAAGCAGGAAATTTCAGTAATGTTAGGATTTGGTTTGGCTCTAAACAGCTGCACGTGACCGAGCTACTGAGTGCTTTAAGTCAGACCATCGGAATCGACCCGGACACTTTCGCCGAACTGGACTTGGACAAATTAGTTCAAGTAAGCTCGTTTTATAGAAGTTTTACTTTGATTACTTTGGTCAAAAAACTTGGGTCGTATTGTTAACATAGACAAACAAGTACCATTAGGTACATCGTAGAGGTATTAGGTTGTTCAACTAATTCTATGCCCCTTTTTAAACCAAATTTTTGGAGTATTAATATTTAAAAACTCCATTTCAGGACGCGATCCTAGTGAAAGAAGGCAAACTGGACCGCATTCCTCAAGCCTACATCTTTTTGGAAGGAATATGGCCTCCGGCATTAGTGCCATTGTTTCTTCGAGATGGTGGATTCCCCGAATATGTAGATGCTGATGTGTCAACGGATGAGAAAATGAAGAAACTTCATCGTACTATTTCGATGAACTCGTACTCGGTACGACGTCAAATGGCGTATCGAGATTTGCCACAGAACGAGCCGGATGATGATAGTAATAACAATATCGTGCTTGAGTATTAGGGTTTGTAGGGTGTGGAAAAAGTGGAGGTGGTCAGAAATTTTTTTTTATTTTTGGTCAAAAAGTATGTAGAAAATTCGATTTTTAGCCAAAATAAGGTCGAAAAATATGTTTATTAGGTCAAAAAGTTTGTAGAATTTTTAAAAATTTTTTTGTTTCAGTAAATTTTTTTGTTTAAGCTCACCCTTAATCGATCTTCATATGTATCGTCCAGACTTTCAAATTTTAGGTTTATTGTCTACTCTAATATTGTTTTCTCTTATTAACATATTTTATTATGTTTTTTCCGTATTTTACGGGTATTTAAAAGTTTTGTATCTCATATGGTAAACATAGTATGTTTTACTGAAATAAAATTACTTTTTTCAAGATTTATGGCAAGAACTTTCTTTACAAAATAAAAAATGGCAAGAAGTTTCTTTACAAAACAAAAAAATGGCAAGAACTTTCTTTACCAACAAAAAATGGCAAAAACTTTCTTTACAAAACGAAAAATGGCAAGAACTTTCTTTACAATACTTTTTTTACACAAAAACCAATTTTCAACCAACTAAACACAAAAAAACAATATAAAATTTTATCGTACTATAACATCAACAATCATATAATTAAACTTAGCTGCATATATAACAATCTTATAGTAATATGGAGCTGTATATATAACTTATAGCTACAAAAATAATATTTTCATAAGTTAGACTTGTTACAAAATGTCACTACCTATTCGATATGTAGTATCCACAACCAAAATAAGGCACATCACAGTTGTTTATCACGTTTTCATTTATCCGCCATTCTTATTTGATAATCACCGTTCTGGGTGACGTAACGCACCCAGGGCAGGGCTTGGTAGCCGGACTTTTCAATGATTTTTAAGTATCTCACCTATAATAACAAATTTAAGTATTAGTATATAAAACAATGTTGTTATAGGTATCAAAATATAAAAAATGCTGTTACAGTAGCTCATGATGCCCTCAAAATTTTTAAATCCAAAAAATAGATAATATAATGGTCAACAAAAGTCTTGTCGCTAGTTTACGTGCAAATCAGTGGAAAAAAACGAAAAAACTTTTTTTGACGCTCTAATGCTTCTCAGATTTAAAAAATGAGAATCATGTTACTACAGTATCATATACTAGTATTCGCAGACAAATTCCCCCGTCCCCACTCAAAAATTTTTTTAATTTTACATGCCCCCGCCTGTAGACATGAGAAACGGGCCGAGCCGGCCTTGAGCAAAATTTCGATCGGGCCAGGCCTAACATTCAGGCCCGGCCCGTTTCTCATGTCTCCCCGCCTGTTCATATTTCGAAAAATATATACCACTCCCCCACCCCTTCTTAAAACACCATCCAACTTACCAAATTCAACAGTAATGCTATAAAATGTTATCCTCTCCCCCCCCCCTACAAAATGTTTACCCCCCCCCCCCCCCTAAAAAACAATTTTTTACCATGAGTACAATTAATAACAACACCCACCTGCAACCCGGAAGTAGTGAAGTAAGGAATTTCGAATTTGACCCGAATTGGCAGTCGAATCTCCTCTTCGGTCGATTCAATCGAAGGTAGACTGAAGTGAGCCCGCATGAAGTATTCCCGTCCGCCTGGAAAACTGCGAATTGTCCAGACAAAAGCCCGTTTGTCCGGCACATACTTCACCGAGCCTACTGAGCTTTTGAATTTCGGAGAATCGGCGTCTGAAGGCACTGGAATGAAGACTTCAACGTGATTGGCAATCGACTGGCGTTTGAATTGAGATTTGGCCTAAAATTTTAAGTTTTTATACCTAAATTTTTAATTTTTTAAATGTAACTTTCAATTTTTTTATATCCTGTTACCTAAAAAATAAAAAAAAACGCAAAAAACTCCATTTTATAGCGTTAAAAAAGTATTGTCGCCAACTGTCATTACCTTCTCCCTTAAAAAACGACAAAACTTTTAAACCCCCTAGCAAAACCACAAAAAACCAAAATTTAAAAAAAATCAAACCCCTACCTTAACCATGAACTCAATCCTCGAATGAGCATGCTTTTCCACTGAAACCTCCACCCATACCAATGGTTTAATAGTGGCATTAAGTCGATAACTCATAAGTTCAAACTCTCCATCCGGTGGGATGAAACTAATCGTCCTTTCACTTTCAAACCGTGACAATCTTACACATTGATGAAATTTTATATCTTCTAATTCAACAGATTTGCCTCCACGAGCTGCACCCGATGTGTTGAACATAACCTTATCATTTAGGCCTAGTCTAAGTTCGGGCATTCCACTGAGCATTACACGCATTCGAATTGAACCCAGAATCTCACTTCTCAACACCGTGCCATTAGCGTTGGCCTGAAAATAGTTTTTTGAGGCTTTGTTAATCAAAATGGCAGAAAATTTATTCTTGTTTCAAAAATTTTTGTATTGACTTGATTAATATCAGTTTTTTTTTCTAAAACGGTTAAACCAATAAAGTTGAAATTTTACACAGTTGTATAACATAATATTTTCTAACTATGTACTAAACTTCATTAAAACCTGACATCACATTTCGTTAAACCGTCAACCCAAAGCAAACCATCACTTCTCAATGAATGAATAATATAAACTGATCTCAAACTACCTAAAAACCAAATCAAACAAACTTAAAACACTCACCAGCAGATTCAATGACTCAATAACATCCAAAAACACCTCGTTCTTTCTATATCTAATCCCTTCTGACCTCCAGGAGACCGCATTCGTCACTGCCATTGGAGGTCGTGGCGCAATCTCAAGTTGATGTGTCTCCTGCGTAATATATTCCTGTAGTATCCTTGGTTCAGTAGTCTGTGGATATCCAAAGTCCATCATCTCATCTAGTAGCTCGTAAATAACCACAAAATTATCACGAACAGACTCTTCCTCCAGATCTTTGAAATAACTTGTGAATACATCGACGCATTTGTAGAGAAATGACAAAATTAATGTTGCGTTCGCGTTTTTACGTGACATGGACACCACTAAAAGAAGAAGTATTATACTGACGTATTTTTAAAACAAGAAAACGTGGTTTTACTTCCGAAATGTTATCTAAAATTCGAAATAAAGATAATATAAGACTTACAGTAGATGTTCATGTGCTTTATGTAGATATAACTGAGTCCATCCCGTTCCAAAACCGGTGACACTTTACCTTCATCTTCCTTTTCCATCATCAAAGGCATAAACTTCTCAATCTCCGTCATTTCCACGTCTCCACGATAGTTCCGGCTCATTATCACCTAAAACAACATCAGATATAAAACAATTTTGAAATTTAATAAAAGCTTCAAACTTTTAATTCAAAACATTGTTAATAATCTGCTTTATCAACTTTTTTTGTCTTCATAATTTTATTTCTACAGAGCTTCAAGCTACAGTCAAGTCCGATATTACATTACCCGGTTTAATGCCTAAAAATCGGAAAAATAGTAAAAAATCGCAGAAAACTTACATTTCCCTTCATGTCCAAGATAAAAATACATGAGCAACTCATTTTTGATTAAGGTTTACACAATAAAAGTACAAAATAAGTTAATTATCACAGGTTCAAATCAAAATTAGGTATAAAATTAGGTCCGTCAAGATGGAAATTCAATACGTGGACGGAAGTTGAGAGCTGTCAAAGCTGAAACACATTACAAATAGTGTGAACAAATAAGTTTTACAGGTTTAAACGTTTAAAATTGATCGGAATTAAGCTAAAGATCTAAACGCGGCAAGCGTAATATAAATTTTTGTTGATGTAAAAAAATTTTGGGTAGTTTAAACTTTAAAATAGTAAATAAAAAATGTTTTAACAATAGGAACGTATATTTTTTAGACATTTCAAAATAAAAAAAAATATTTTTGAAACCTTTTCTTCAATGCTTTATAATTGATCCACCCCCGGAAAAAACTACCCCGCCCGGTGTCAAAAGGGTGCAAATTGACCCGTTTACCCTGGTGATGCAAAAAACCCTCAAAGTCCTTTAAAATTAGATAAAAATTCAACAAAAACATTGAAAAATTACCTAAAACAATATAATTTCTAAAAAATTCATAAAAATTTCGCAAAACGAACAAAAATCAGTAAAATCCGGTCGAAACATTACCAAAAAAGTATCGAGCGGAAAGCGACGTTGAGCAACTTTTTTGAGCTGCAAAATTCTCTCGATTCACCTTTTTGCTTCTCTCGCCGCCCTCATCTGAATGCGACGTGTCCTTGATCAAATAAAAGAATCGGCTAATTTGCGTAAAAACATACAAATAAACCCGGTTATGGGAGCGGTGATCAATCGAGAGAGGTTTGAGTGCATTTGATTTGCATTTGGTTTGATTTGAAATGGCACATTTGGACAAAGAAGATAAAAAATATAGTGATCGGTCAAAAAGTTTGTAGAATGAAGATGATCGGTCCAAAAATTTGTAGAATAAGCATGTTCGGTCAAAAAGTTCAAAAAATTCAACAAGAGGTCAAAAAGTTCTTAGAAAAAAGCTCATTGGTCAAGAAGTTCGCAGAATAACAATGACAAGTCAGAAAGTTTGAAAACTTCAATAAAAGGTCAAAATATTCATAGAGAACAAAATAAAAATGATAAAAAGTAGAAAATTGATCCGACTGGTCGAAAAGTTTAAAGACTTCAGATGTGCCCGTAGCCTCAGCTCTAGTCTCATCCCTTGTCGCAGCCCCTAGCTTCAGCCTTAGTTTAAGGATATCCTCAGCCCTAGCCTCTCAGCCCTAGCCTCTCAACCCTAGCCTTTCAGTCCTAGCCTCTCAGCTCTAGCCTCTCAGGTCTAGCCGCTCACATTCAGCCCTAACCTCTCAGCTTAAGCCTTAGCATCAGTCCTAGCTTCAGCCCTATTATTAATATTGCTTTAGCCCTGCCCTTACCGAATCTAGTCTTGCGCATCCCTCACCTTTCATTAGACTGTATTTAACCCTGCCTTTGGCCCTATCTAGGGCTTGTCTTAGCTATGCTCTAACCTCATTTCCCTAACCTTGCTCTACCATCCCTTTTACCCTATCCTATAAATTTATAACAAAATAAATATCCATATTAATCAACTTTGGTAGTAAATTATACGTTCTACTATAAAGTGTAAATGTTCAAAAGAACTAAATGCTCAATATAACCATTGTTTCACTTGCAACTTCTTTTTTTGCAGTCTTAAAATCAATGTTTTTGAAAAAGGATTATCATTGTCATTTTAACATCATAAAATGCCTTCAAGTTTTCGTGATACTATAGCTCTATATTAGCCTTACCGTATTCTCACTTTCTAAATCTTATCTTTGCCTTCTAGATGAGATCAACTACTATATGTATGATTCATGCATATGATTTTAAATGTTATATAAAGATGACTTCTTATTCACACTATCATACAAGTCTGCTTAAGCGCATTTGAGCGTATTGTAATATTATAATGACTCTGTATTCTCATCTGTGGGAGAAATATATAAAAATGACTCAAATTTTTGAAAAATATTATCTTTAAGCTTATTTTTAACTACAATGTCTTTAATTATAAAAACAAAAAGCTAGGTTTTTTAATTATAAAAAATGGTCTTCATATCACATCGTTTTATGTGATAACAGCCCTATCAGACGTCATAAACGTTGCCAAACACGATGCTGGTTATACTTGTATAATTTTTTAAATGCTCGTCATCTAAAGTATGATAAAGAAAGGATAGTTTTTTTGCATCTTTGAATCAAGAAAGGATAGTTCTTTTGCATCTGTGAATGTAATGTTTTGAAAAGGCTTTTTTATTCGTCTTTGGTCATGTTGACGTAGGCATGTATCTATTACTTTGAAGTCGATTTTTTTAAAAAGTAACGTGAATTTTTAACTGAAATTTTGTAATTAGCTTTTGTAATAATAATTTTGTAATAATAAATATCAAAAAATTTTTAAAATTAACAAGGAAAGTACCCAACCTGCAACTCTCAGAATTAGCTCAAAATTTTTACATTGATTCTTTGTAGTACCAATAGCACATATAAAAAATTTTAGCTTGCGGTTTTAAGTTTTAAAATTAATATATTTAAATTTCCCGCCAATTTGGCAACATTGGCATTGTGTTGCAAGCACTTTTTTTGATGTTCCAGATAAGATAGGCTTACAAATTTAAAATTGTAGGTTAATTTGAAGCTAACATTATATTAAAGAAAATTTGTCAAAAGTCAAAAAATGACGAAGTTAAAAGCTTGAAACACTATGCCAATTTGGCGAGAAATTCAAAACGCGATTTTTCGATCTCGATTTTCTCAACAGTGACCGCAAACCGCAAATTAGAATTTTGCATAAGATCTTACATTTACATGATCTTTTAATAAAAAAAGTATGAACGAAATCTGAGCGTTGCAGGTCGGGTACCTTCCTTGTAAAAAATGTTTAAGAAATAGGTTCTTACAGATAAAGTAACTTATATCTCTTGTTTGAAATAAAACATTTATAAAAAAATGGATGTTTCTTTTAGCTATTACTAATACCTACTTGTATGCGAAGATTCATAACAATCGAATGATTGATACATTTTTTATGACATTGTTTACCCCTGAACAAACAATAAATTTTGTATTATCTTAACCTTTTTAATTAAACAAAAAAAACTAAAAAATTTCAGACGTTTTAAAAAATTTTCGTGTTTTGTTTATCCATAGTTTTTAAAAATATTATTCTTTTTCAGTTTTTATTACATTATGACATTTTTTTGAAAAATCCAATAGGTTTGTGGCATTTCGTCATAAATATCTTCCGAAAATTATTTTTTTCTCAAAAATTGCGGTCGAATTTTCTTTTGCCACATTTTTGTCGTATTTTTGACGTTTTCCATTCAAAATTTTATAGAATTCTACAAAAAACAGAAGCGTTATGTCCCATTTTGTCTAAAAATATTGTGTTAGCCTTCGCTATTGCAGTATGCGTTTGTTTATTGCGCTGGGACTTATTATATTACACATTCCCAGAGATATGGGGCCTCGAAGACCCATCTGCTTTTAGGTTTTTGTTCGTTTCGCCTTTTTACGATGTTTTATATTATTAATGGCAATGGAATTTGCTTTTTCTGGTTTTTTGATGGATAATATGGACAAAATTTAACATAGCTTGACGGGGTTTTTAGGTAACAATGTGGTTCTTTGAAATGAGATGAAGAAGAGTGTGTTGAAGATTATTTGATGGTTTGCGAGATTTTCAATCGTTTTTTGATTGGAAATTTGGAATTTTTGTGACACATGGTGGAGATTTCTTATTTTTAGAAAAACTTTAAATTTGTCAAAATTGTGATCAAAATTCGATTAAAAGTTGGTGGAAAGACATTGATCTATCCTTTCTTTATCTGATTTAACAAAAAACGTTTGTAAGTTACAAAAATTGGCAAATTTGTTGCTTTATATGAAATGTCATGAATCAGCTTTATATTGTTTTATATATATTATTGTCTAATTTTGTTGATTCAGCTGGAGAAGATTACATTCAGAACAGTTTTTCTGGCTTTGTAACTTGTCCAATTAAAAATTTTTGTTGATTTCAGAACAGTCTCGGTTAAAAAGTTATTGGAATGGGTAATATGTGCGTGTTTTTTATTTTTCTTTGTAATTTTTGACCGATTCTTAAAATTTGAGTTTAGGTAATAAATGTAATTTTAGAATGCGGACATGCCGCCAATTCTCGGCGCACACTGCCATCCGCCGTGTTTTTTGGGTTACACTTGCAGTCTCCTTGTTACTGCTGTTTTATATTGCTGTATTACCGGGAGAAGTTCAATATACTGAGAGAATACCAGCCAATTTTTCTGCCATAAAGCAAAAATTTACATTTGGTGTAAGTTTTTTATTATTTTTGATTGGATTTTAGGCAGAAAAGGGATCAGACAGCACATTTGGCGGGAGAAAATTATAGTAGAGATGATTATCTTATTTTCATTATAACTTTGTTGAAAAGAGAGTTAGATACATAAAACTTTGTGCGATGCTAGGCTACTCTTTTGGTTAACTGACAAAGAGAAGAGAAGGAGTTTTTGAAATTTACTAAGATATTGAAGTTACAGTAGTTCTACGGTACCATACTTTGTTTTTAAATTGATGAAGTTTAAAACGTTTTTTGAGTATTTCGAGATGTTTTAACGTTGTTAGGTATAAAGGAAGTGTTGTATGGGTACCTTCAAGAATTTATTTTTAGAATGTCACATTAAAAGTAGTGGCAATAGGACAGAATGCGGACAAAAACGACAAGAAGGCCATTTCAACTCCAGGTGAAGCTGTAAGTCAAAATAATTTTTTTTATAGGACAATTATGTTATAGGACAATTAAAAGCTTATTGCTTATTTATATTTTTAGACGTGCAGAATTCCAAAGCTGGACAAAAACAATCCAGAAATAATGGCATTTGACAAAGAACCACACCCTTTGAATTGTAATGGTGAACCACATTGGTTTGAGCTCGATATGGACAACAAATTAGTCTTGACTGCTCGTGGAGAAACAATGTAAGCTTTTAAATGATTGTTTTCGAATTTAGGTATGAAATGGTAAATTTGAAATTAAAAGCATTTTTCAAATTTTTTTTGGCAAAATGGCAAGAACTTTCTTTACAAAACAAAAAACGGCAAGAAATTTATTTACAAAGCATAAAATCATAAAAACTTTCTTTACAAATCAAGAAATCACCAGACCGTTTGCTGTAAGCTTTAAAATTTTAAATAATTTTATTTTAAGCAAGTCCAACGGCTCGTTCAAGTGCACAGTAGCATATTTTGAACGCGAAGACGACGATCACGTAAAATGGGAACCAGAAAAGCAAGTTCAAGTTGGCGACAAGATCGACCATTCGGACTATTCCCTACTGAAGTGCGAACAAAACGGAAAAGTATGGGAGAGATTGTTCATGAATATAGTACCAAGAAAGGAGCTGATCCAAAAATCAGCCGATGCTAAACCATCGCCGGACTGGAGTGGCCTAAACTTGTTCTTCATGGGCTTCGACTCTCTATCACAACAAGCCTACAGACGGTCCTTACCTAAAACAGTCGAGTTTTTGGAAAAAGAGCTAGGATCCATAATACTAGACGGGTACAATATTGTCGGTGATGGTACTCCACAAGCATTTATACCTATATTGACTGGTCAAACCGAGGAAGAGTTGCCAATGACAAGGAAAAGAGTTAAGGGAGCTCAATACGTGGACGAGGTATACCCATTCGTTTGGAAGAATTACAGTGACGCCGGCTATGTTACAGTATACGGAGAAGATGCTGCGGCCGTAGGAACGTTTACTTATAGGTTGAAAGGGTTCAAACATCAACCGGCTGATCACTATACGAGGACGTTCTTTCAATATGCAGAGAAGTATGCTAAGAATATTAAGTGTGATGGCCCGGAAACTCAGCATAAGGTAATATCACTAGCTTTGCCTTGCTTTTAACTATGTTAAAAGTAACTTCTTGTTTATTGGCTTATATTCTGTCAAAAACAAATTTTTCTAGGTATGGTTCAAATACGCCGAGGATTTCATGCACAAATACCCAAAAGACACAAAGAAGTTTCTCTTAATGTTCCACGCTCTACTGTCCCACAACGATATCAATGAAGTAAAGCTAGCGGACGAAGAGTTTAGAGATCTACTCAAACGACTAAAAACAGACGGATACTTTGACGATGCTCTAGTAGTAATCATGGCTGATCACGGTAACCGATTTGCTGATGTGAGAGCAACACAACAAGGCCAACTGGAAGAGAGACTACCCTTTATGTCATTCGCATTACCAGAAAAGTTTAAACAAACTGAAAAGGGAAGACTGGCCTACGAGAACCTGAAGAAGAACAAGGATCGATTGACCTCTCCATTTGATCTGCATCCAACCTTGATGAATATCCTCAAGTTTCCAAGTGTGGAAGAGCTGAATACAGTCCAGGATGCCAAAGAGAATAGAGCTCTATCGTTGTTTAGAGAAATTCCGGAGAATAGAACTTGTGCACAGGTAAATAATGTCGTTTTTGGCACGAACTTTGTTTACAAAACAAAAAATGGCAAGAACTTTCTTTACAAAACAAAAAATGGCAAGAACTTTCTTTACAAGGCTAAAATTGACAAGAACTTTTTTTACAAAACGAAAAATGGCAAAAACTTTCTTTACAAAACATAAGATGGCAATAGCTTTCTTTACAAAACAAAAAATGGCAAAAACTTTATTTAAAAAGCATAAAATGGCAAGAACTTTCTTTTCATAACGAAATTTTTTTGAATTTTCAGAATCAAAATTTAATTTTTAAAATCAAATTTCAGGCCGGAATCGCCTCTCACTGGTGCACCTGCCTGAACTGGGAAGAAGCCTACACCACCCAGGAACAAAAAGACCTCTCAAACCTACTAGCCCTAGGCATAGTGAAGACAATGAACGAGTACACGGCCAAAGAACGATCATTATGTGCCGAAATTCACTTGGCCGAAGTGTTATCAGCTAAAAGACTGATCCCGAACACCGATCTGATGAAGTACAATGGAGTGAAAGATCAAGACGGCTTCGTACCTCAACTACAAGGCAAAACTAAGGCCACCTTCTTCACATACCAAATCAAACTCAACACCCAACCAGGCAACGCCATCTACGAAGCCACGGTAAACTACGATGAAGTGGCGAAGGAGCTGACGGTCGATTATCGGTCGATTAGTCACGTCAACAAGTTTGGTGATCTACCTCATTGCATCATCGACAAGAACTACTTTTTGGCCGCGTACTGTGTCTGCAACGATAAGATATTGTGAGGTGGGGGTATAGACGGGTACTGGAGGTAGTGTCAGTATTGATTAACGTGTTGCTAATGGTACTACAGTGGAACTCCTGTATAACGAATCGCTCCGGGACTTGAAATTTGTTCGTTATAAAGGAGTTTCGTTATACAGGAGTTTTAAATGCACTGTGTAGTGATAGACGGGGATTCAAAAGTTGTTCGTTATACAGGAGTTCCACTGTAGTAGTCTTTTTCGTTTTGGTACTGATTTTACTATTAAACTTTGGCTGGTATTGGTACTACTAGTACTTATTTTAATTGATTGGTGTGTCAATAGTACTGTTTTGGATTGTACTTGGTATTATTGGGACTTTTTGATTGACATTGGTACTATTGGTACTTTTTTGGATTTTACTTGGTACTATTGGTACTATTTTGGATTGTATCTAGTACTATTGATACTTGCGTTTACTTGGTATTATTGGTATTTTCTTGGATTTTGTTTTCTTTTTTTATCAGTAATTATATCGTAGTAGACAAATATCTTAATATTGAACTTATTCTTAATTGTCATATTGTCTACGGGTGTCTTTGGTCTTAGTTTTTCTGCCAATCTTTTTTAGGTACTATATCACATCTAAATTACAAGTTTTATATATTTATGGTACTTACATTATATCTACGGTACTATTCTATGATGTTTACGGTACAATATTCTCTTAACTACGGTTTCTTTTAGTTTTTATAGCATTTTTAGCTTATATTAAGTATGAGGTTGTCCGAATATGGATGAGCCATTCAAAACGCCCAGCTTTGAAAATTTTGGCTCATTCATATTCGGACAACCTAATGTTGCATTTGTTAAAAGAGTTGCTGGGGGAGGGGTGGATTACCCTAAGGAAAGGATTAGTCCTTCCGATAATTCTGTGCTTTCTCTTAAAAAATTTTTTTGAGTTTAGAGGGCACAGAATTATTTAAACAATATAATAATTTGGACCACAAGAGTTGCCATATTGATTTATTACGTTAGGTGCTTGAACTCATCTCAAAAGCAAATAATTAAATTAAAGTTTGTTTTATAGCAACATTTCTATTGTTATTGTTGTCAGAAGAGTTTTATCGATGAATAAATGATTATTATATCTTGGTATTGGTTTTTGGATATTTATATGTTATTTAACTTGAAAGTATTTTATTGTTTTAATGTAATATAAATACATAGGGCTGAAAGAGGCGTTTTTAAATATGAAATGGCATTTAAAGTAAAGTTGTTAATGGCAAGAATTTTCTAAACAAAAGGAAAAATGGCAAAAACTTTATTTACAAAACGAGAAATGGCAAGAACTTTCGTTACAAAACAAAAAATGGCAAAAACTTTCTTTACAACATCAAAATTGCAAGAATTTTCTTTACAATACAAAAAATGACAAGAACTTTTTTTACAAATTTCCTCCTCTCACAGACCTGAAAGGGGCTCACTAGGCCTGTCCGAAGCAAGTTTGGAAGGGTCCGGCCACATTTAGGTCTCAGTGCTCAAAACAAAGTCGGACCCCTGTACGGGTCTTTACAGGGTCTTCTCCCTCCCCTCCTCCCCCCCCCCACCCCCCCTATTTATTACCCGAAACATGAAAAAATAACGGAAAAATTTAAAAATAAAGGAAAAATAGCGAAAAAGTTTAGAGGGAAATAACAAATGACTAACAACGGTATTGGCGGAAAATGAAAGCATCTATTTGAATAATGCTCCACTGTCTCTACACTTTCCTCTCGCTCAATGACTTTTTTTTGTTTTTTTCGAGATCAGCGATATTATCATAGGTTTCGAAGGGTTTTTACTGCCTTTTTGGAATTTTTGTAACTAATTGCATTGAGGTCAGGAAGTGTGTAGAACTGGTAGTAGTGATAGTTTATAGGTTATGCGGTGTTGAATGTAGGGATTTTGAATAGACTGGTCGAAAAGTATGTAGGACTGATAGAATGAACTGGTCAAAAAGTGTGTAGGTTTGGCTATAGTGATAGTGGATAACCGGTCAAAAAGAACGTAGAGCTGCTAATAGTGGCGAGGAAACGCCATCAGGGACGTCGTTTGGGGGGGTAGGGGATCGGGGTGACTCCCCCCCCGCCCCCAGAGCCGATCCGAAAAAAACTCCACAGGTAGATACGTGAAAAAACGAAAAAAAAATTTTCGAAAAACCTGTGGACCAAAAAATTTTTTTGGGTCTCCACCCCCCCCCCAGAGAAAAACCGTAGCGACGTCCCTGAACACCATGGTTCGAACTGGACCGGCCTAGATACGGGGACGGTCCTAGCCCATTTTTTAAGCCCGGCACGATCTAAGTTTTGCTCAGGCCAGGTCCAGCCCGGCCTAAATTTTTTTCAAGCCCGGCTCATTCCCATGTCTGGACCGGTCCGGCAAAACACATAATAGACTGGTCAAGAAATACGTAGAAAAGTTTAAAAGAGAAACTAATATGACAATTATAGATCTCAAAATGGCCGAAAAGGTCTACCCAACCCAAGAAGAACTGGAACAAAAAACCCAGAATTTTTGCAAAGAATGTGACAAAACTTTTGTCAATTCAAGCTCCTACAACTTCCACATGGTCAAAACACATCGACAAATCAACAAACCATCCGATGTGGCTTTGGACAGTCGGCTGAATCATTATGAGAGTAGGTTATCTATTTTTGGGTAAGTGAAGTAGGGGGTAGGGTAATATGTATGGTAATGTAGTGTAGGGGGAGGATAGGGAAAGGTAGGCATAGTTCAAGGTATAGCATAGTAAAATAAGACAAAGATGTGTCTGGTAGCTAGGATAGGCTACGGAAAACTAAAAGTTTTTCTAGAGGTGCGTAAGGGCTAGTAGGGACGAGCAGGGTGGGGTAGAAAAGGAAATAGTAGGGAGGAGGTAGAGATAGGGGTAGGTAGGCCTGTAAAAGGTCCGGACCTAATTTTTCGTCCCGGTTTGGGGCCGGAACTTGGTTTATGTAGATAGGCACAGGACAGGAGCAGGGCAAGGTATAAAAGTACAGTGTAGGGTAGGGTAGGGTATGGTATGGTATGATATAGTGGGGTAGGGTAGGGTGGAGTAGTGTACGGCTAGCAGTATTAAAATCGTTGTAAACTGAAACCAATTTTCAGGAAAGACCTTTGAATACTACTGTCCAGTCTGTAACAACCATTACTCAGGGATGAAGTTGCTGGTACAACATTATCGTAAAGTTCACGGGGAAAAACGCTTTGAATGTGATGTTTGTACGGCCAAATTTGCATTGGAAAGGGATCTAAAGTATCATAAAAAGAAAATGTGTATTGCTTTGGGAGGTATGTCAATATTTTTTTAATTTTAGGAGGTATTTTATTGAAAAAAGTGAAAATTTGGCCGTTTTTTATCGAAAAATTGCAGTTTCTTGATAATTCTAGAATCCAGAATGACGCTGCTGCCGCGAAAATCGACCAACTCATCAACTAAGGTGTCTAAAGCTCACTCTGACACAAACAACACTAATGCTGAAGAAGAGAGTACAAAAACTATGTCAAATGTACCATCAATCCCCTCAACATCAAGTACAATATCCGTAGCGCCGAAGAAACAAAAACTGATTGCAGTAAAGTTAATACCATGCACAATTACTCCAGTTCGAAATCATGTTCAAGTTCAAACTGAATTTGCATACAATAACTTGAATGCACCGTGCGTAAGTCAAAGCGCAGCCTGCAGTAGCCAGGGCGCAAGTATGGACGAAGGAATTCAAACATCGGATTTTGGGGTTCAATTCGGAACAATGTCGTACGATAGGGAGTGTCAATTTGAAGGGTGGGTTTATTTTTCATTTTTTTGAGAATAATATGTCATCATTGAGAATAATATGTCATGTTTTTTAAATTTTTGGTTTAGATGACGCATTTTTTGAAAATGCAGCTTTGCGCTGACGGATTTATTATATCTTTGTCATAATGACCTATTTTCTGTAAATATATTTGGTATTGTGACGTATTTTAGTTTTGTCATCATGACAGATTTTTTGGATCTTTTTGTCATAATGACGTATTTTTCAGAATTTGGTGTCATCATGACGACTTTTATGGACACTATTTATTTTTTTTTATTTCAATGTCGTAATGACCTATATTTTCGAAATTCTTTTGTCATCATGACACATTTTCTGGATATTCAAAGAATTTAATAATATCTGATGACATATTTTTCAGAGTCTCAACATACGATCAAAGCACGATGTACGAAGCCCCATCCACCTCAGACTACACCGTTCCATCGTACTACGACGACACCATCATGCCATATGACACTTACAATGACAATAACACGGCAGCTACCCAGACATACCTGTGGAGTGACGACTACAACAGTCAAGATACGATGGCAACATATACTGAACAACAAAACATGGGTACTCAAACCGGGTTCGAAAGCTTGGATCAATGGTACGGTGGTGATGCTAATGGTACCAATGGCAGGGATTTCGGAGTTATGACCGATCCACAATGGTTCAATTGTGACATTTAGAGGTGTCTATAGTGAATGTTTGGTTGCGATAAAAGGTGATAATTACAGTTAAAGTTGATATTTAAAAAAAATGGCAAGAACTTTCTTTACAAAACGAGAAATGGCAAGAACTTTCTTTACAAAACATAAAATGGCAAGAACTTTCTTTACAAAACAACTAGTGTTATTCGTCGTATAACTTGTCACCCGCAGCCTGCAGAAGGTTTAAAGTTATTGCTTCGATAAAAAAAGGTCAACAAAAACGGCAAAAACTTTCTTTCCAACAGCCCTGTTATTTAAAACCCCTTGTTCTCTTCTTACACACAGCCCATTAACACATCTTTACTACCATCATATACACCTTATACCATAGTGTTCATACTATCATATACAACATATACTGCCAAGATCATACCATCATATACCAAAATTATCAATAGAGTAATATACTACAGTATATAACATTTAATCCACAAACAACAACAAGGACCTCTATCCTCAACTACAACAACATCGCCACAATCACATCCGTAGCCATAGCCACAAACACATGGTGCGGCGACTGGTACTGGTGCGACACATGGTGCTATGACTGGAGTGCACATTGCTGCTTCGTACGCGAAAGGCTGATCATAACATTCTTCGACCACTAGTCCAGCTGTTGCTCTATTTGGTACTGGTGGTACTTCTCTGTTAGCTTTAGATAGTCCAGCTACAGCTTTGCCGCTTGGTACTGATGGTACTTCTGGGCCAGTTTTAAATTGTTCTGCTGAGGCTTGGCCACGTGGTACCGATGGCACCTTTGGACTGATTTTTGGATGTTGACTAGTTAAAGACTGATTTTTGACTGGTACTGATTGTACTATAATCGCTGATTGAGATGCTTCGGATTCTGAAGCTGAAAACAACATATGTTGCACATAATGGCAAGAACTTTCTTTACAAACAGAAAATGGCAAGAACTTTCTTTACAAAACAAAAAACGGCAAGAACTTCCTTTGCAACATAAAAAAATGGTAAATTGCTTACAATGTTCGTATTTTACATCCAAATCCCTGCTTTTATGGCCATCATGTTGTTCATTATATAACCCACTGATCCAATGTTCCGGAAATTGATTGAAGCCTGGCTTGGCGCGGGCCAAAACCTTCGAATCTGATGGCACTGTCGGTGCGTTTCCCATTGACCAATTTCGAATGAACTTATCAGAAAAAAATGAATAAACATGAAATTTCAAAAACTTCAAAATTGATTTTTTTTTGAAATTTCAAAATTTTAAAATTTTTCAAAATTTTTTTTTTCAAAATTTAAAATTTTTTTTCGAAAAAACTTGCCAAAACCACCTAAAACATTATTTATTTACAGATTTTTCCATTCTATGTACAAAAACTGATTAGATCAACAGATAACTCAGAATTCACAAAATTTCAAAAATTTGAAATTTTCAATTTTTCCTTGCTTTTTCAACCTTGGCCTCATCGATATCACTCGAGCTGATTCCGGAGTCACTGTTACGGTCCGTGTCATCATGTTTGGGAGTTATCACGTCTTGTGACATTACTTTTTCCAAATCTTTCGTTAAAATTTGCTCTTTTTTCGGGAGTTCGTGGGCTTCTAATGTGTAATATGCCGGCTCTACTGTGGCGAACTTGCAGAAAAGTAGGTGGGACTGAAAGAGGAGATTCTTACCATTATGGTAGTATCAAAAAATACAATCTTATTTTCGTATTTTACACTAAAAAAGTCTGCTTTATAGCCAATTTTTATCAAATTTTTCCACAAACCAGTTTTGTAGGACTCGTAGCTCGCTAGCCAAGCGAAAATGAAAGTTTTTGAACGTTGATTGTAATACAACTTTTTATGCTTTTTCATATGTCATAAGTCATTTTTTACTTGGCAATGGACATGTTGTAATATCAACTATCAAAATTTTGTACCATTCCCTTTTCGGCTTTTTCTCCCCATTTTTCGCAATTTTTTAATCTTCAACTAGAACTTTTTGCCATTTTTGATTAATTCTAATGCTGTGAAAATCTATATACTATCATATTAAACATCTATCAGTACACCTAATGCTCTAAAATGGCACTTTTATACAAAAAAAAACCTGTCAAAACCACCTTAAAATTCATTATTTCGTCCAAAAACAGCCTTGTAAACAACGTTTTTGCCATTTTTAACATGACTATCTACGTAAAACTTCATCTACAATCCCTCTAAAATACTGTCAGTACAATTCCAGCCCTTATCATGTTGTTTTAGCCCAAAAAAACTTCAAAAACCACTAAAAAATCGACTATTTCCCCAAAAATCTCGCTGTAAACAAAGTTTTCGCAATTTCGTCGTTCAACTTACCGAAATTAATGAAATTCCAGTAATCAGGAAGATGTTGAACCACTGTCCCGCATTACTTTCATCCTTCACAAAGAATGCCACCATTGCTGGGCCTAAGAACAAAGTGATACACTTGATGAATTGACAGTTGGCTATGATAAAGTGACTGTACTGCCTGAAAAATTAATTTTTTTAAATTAATCAAAAATGACATTTCTATATCTACTTTTCGCATTTTGTTTTCATATTTTTAAAAATTTCACTGCGGACATGTTTCATGGTATAACTTGGGCCGCGCAGGCTGCGAGGCTGAAAAAAAGCCCAGAACTGCCAAAGTAAGATCATAAAACTTGAAATAATGGTACTACTGTACTTTTTATTCCATTTAAAACAAAAAATTCAAAATTTTAAAAATCTCATCCTGCTATAGTTGTCGCAAAAGCGATTAAAAACAAGTTAACAAATCAACATATTTTCGTAAGATTGAAGACAAAGAAAATTGTCCAAATAGTCTTTGTCTAACTTTTAACTGTTTTTCTATTTTGTAAAATCATCAGTCTTCCATTAAAAACATATTGTGGGAAGTGATCCCAAAAACTTTGCTGCTAATAAATTTTGTTACAGTAAACTAATAGTAGTCGATAATAAATCTAAAAGCTGATTTAAGCACATAGTATCATATTACCCTACCTGCCATGAAGCACGCCACACTTATAAAACCCTCCTGGTGCGGCACCAATAACCAAATTGATCATAGCGAATAGTACGATTCCCCATATTGGTGCATCCGCGGGTACTAGGCCAACCAAAAGGTAAAAAATTCCGGCAAAAGCAACCGCTATCGTGTTGAACACTATCAACTTGGTGTTTTCGGGTATAAATCTAAAATTTTGAATTTTATAGTACAGAAAAGTAACAAAAATTAGCATTTTCACGGTATTTATAGCCCCAGTAAACTAAATTATCACTGTCTTTTAGTCTATTTGCCGCGGACATGTTTCATCGTATAAAATAGTTCGCGCAGCCTGCCGAACCATACAAGGAGTACAAAAGGATCAAATTTGCTGGAATACTCAATTTTCTCATGAAAAAATTTGAAAAACTGTTTTTTTTTATAAAAATTCTACTAAAAAAATTTTAAAAAACCCTAACTTACTTAATTTTGTCACTCAAATACCCACAAAGAAGTCGAAATGGGATTTGAATAACCCTCGAAATCGCTGCAAAATGTCCAGTCTTCTTAATACTGTAATGAAGCACGTTTCGAATATAGTACGGCGAATAAATCGCCAAGAAATTGGCGGAGAAAATGTCCGTGAAGGCGTTCAACCAAACGATTATTATTACTGGGTCTGTTAGAAGCGCCTAAAACAATATAGATTAAAGTTTTAGTTTTAAAAGATTGTATACGTTTGATAGCTAAAAGGATAGGCTTTCATTTGGGGTATAACACGTCACATTAATTTGCCATTTTTCGAGAAACAAAGAATTAAACTTCAACATCAGCCGATATTGTAGAAGGTTACTTTAAATATAATGTTTACAAAATACTATTCTTTTTGACAAATTAATTTTACGTGCAAAAGATAGTTAAAAGAATAAGCTTTAATTTATGATATAACACATCTAATTTGGTTTGGCAGGTTTCGAAAAACAAAGCTTTAAACTTGACATCACCTGATGTTGTAGTATGCTCCTTTTCCAAACCGTTTCAACCCTAAAAGCAAAAAAAAACAAATGACATACTCTATATGGTATTTCATGTCCACCAGCAATTTGTGCATCACTTTTGTCCCTTTGAATCTTCTCCAGCTCAATATCCGACACTCTTGGACTTCTTTGAGGTCGATCCTTGTAGAAAACGACCCATAATGTAAAAACGACTAAACCAGCAATAGCATGTGAATAAAATACCATTGGCCAACCAAATGAAGAGTCACATATCTAAAAATTATAATTTGTAATACTGTATTTTAGCTTTTACATCAAATTGTAGGTTAATATTATACATGCTATCAAGTGCAATATAAATATTACCATTCCTCCGAAAGAATTAGTGAAAAATGACGATAATGGTGAGTAGAATGTCAATACAGATATGAAAAGCCCATTTTGTTTCAATGAAGCCCATTTAGAACATAGAACACCGACCGCGGCGAAGTCTGCAGCGTAGGCAATACCCTAGAAAGTAGTGTAATATAAAGTTCTTTTAAAAATTTTAAAAAAAGTTATTCGAAATCATCGTATCAGTACATCTTTGATATTAGAGGATAATTTTAATTAAAGTCTTAATCCTCTGGCAATTTTGCGTTTTTTAAACGGACATGTTTCATCGTATAAAATAGCTCGCGCAGGCTGCAGAGCGATAAATGGACAAAAATAGTCAAAAAAAGCTTCGAAACATCCTTATGGAGTTTTTAAAAACCTAAAAGACATTTTTAATAATTTCATTCAAAATTTTTTTAAATTTCAAATTGCCTTGTCAATATTATGTTATCCTCACCTGAACAAACCGTAACGCCAAAAGCACATAAATATGGTATTCAGCTGCTTGTGGCATGAAAGCTGTGGCCAATGCTGACAAAATGCCAGCGGTAAAGAATGGCCATTTCGCTCCATATTTGTTATAAAAAGAACTGAAGGGAAACGTCGCTGAAATCGTCCCAAAACCAACAGCCCAATTGATGTACGACACTTCACGAGGCGTGTAGTCTATCGATGGAAATGTATTCAGTTTCTGGAAATGAAAACATTATTGAGTTTCTCGTATTTTACATTTTTAATATCATTTTAATAATATTGCGATACTTTGAAGTTAGTTATAGATCAAAAACGGCATTTGCATCCAAGCGGATTCGAACCTGGGAAGTTTATTTCCAAAAAATTTAGGGGAAGCCATTGAATAAATGGCTAAAATACAAAAAAACGGTGCCGAATTGTAAGTTAAATATAGTCTAAGACAATCGAAAAATTTATAATTAAAAAAGGTTCCCTATAGTCTAAATATTATATAAAACAGTTGTGGTAACTTTACTGTCTTTAATTTTAGCACACAGCTCAATGTTGTTTTAGATTGAAAAATTGTCATCTTTACAACAACAGGTGACAATCTTTTTTTTTAAGTTTTATCAACCTTCAAAGATGTCAAAAAGATAATATTGATCCATTTATTACCTAAAAACACAAGAACAAAACTAAAAAAAAACTCACAGTAACATTGTTTCCAGAAGCCATACAAACTTGTGCCATGTTGAAAGCCAGCATATTTGATGAGATCGAAGTTAAACACATGCATCCAATGAATAAAATAAAGTATCTGAATCTGTTGTTGAACTGAGAAGTTGCCATTTTGAATGAACTGCCAGCTTCCTGTGGCTTTTACCCAAAAATTAGTGAAAAACTGATGTTTACGTTAGTTTTAGCATAAAATACGGCGAAAGATCTGGAAAAAACGATCGTAAACTGGCGATAAGTTAAAGATTAATCTGTTATAGATAATGTATTATTATATATATCTTCGCGATTGATTAAAAAAACGCATAAACCACCAAGAATTACCTAAAATATACTTGAAAACTCGGAAAAATCGTGAAAAATTGATGAAAATCAAGGGAAATCAACACAAATCGTAAATAATTCTTAACAATACTTCAAACAAAATATAATATATAACCTTCTAACTAAATTAACACCAATTCAAACCTAAAACAATATAAAATACATCAAGAAAACAATGAATCAAGCGAAAATTTGGTGAAAAATCGAGAAATTTCGCAAATTCAGGTAGAATAACATCGGATATTGCGGGGAAACGCGGTATAAATAGTTCAAATGAACAGTAAATGTTGTAAAGTTACTTTTACCATCCTTTTCATAACAATTTTCGAACGTTTTTTGGCGAAAAAAGTCGAAAAAACAAAATATTGGGATAAAAATAGCGTGGAGAAAAATGGCGGAAATTTTAAAATAAATTTTAAAAAAATTAAAATTTTTGAGCTCTGAAGTTTCCATTTGAGAAGTATGTCTCAAATTAAGTATTTTTAATATGCGATTATATTCAAAAATTTAAATTTTAAAAAATGGCGCCAAAATTGAAATTTAAATTTTTAAAGGCCGGAAGACAGTACTCAAAGCTGTCCTAATTAGCTAAAAACTGAGATAAAGCTTACTTATACAATGGCCAGTCTTTGTGCAAAATGTTAAGCCTAAGATCGTATTTTTAAATTCATGTTCAAATTTCGCGGCTTTCTGGCATAATGTTTCAAGATAATTTACACTATCAAAAATTAAATTTTGAGCAAATATGAGCCTAAAACTGTTATAAAAAGCATAAAAACTAGAAATTTTAGTTTGGTTTTAGAAAAAAGGAGAGATCAAGATATTACTTTAGATATTACACATGGCATTATTTATCAAATAAAGTCGCGAAGCTTTCATGAGTCATACTTGATGTTTCTAAAGAAAAATGGTTGTGAAACATCCAAAATGTCATAAAAATTTAAAAAATGACATTTTGATTCCCATAAACCCCGTTTTGGAGATATGATACACCTATACCTACTACAATATAATTGATGTCCATTTGTGTAACATGCGAATACGCATAAGTTTTACAACCTGAAAAGCCCACAAATTGAACTGTGAGATCCGCCGACCTGTCAATCAAAATAAAAACGATTACCAAGGTGCGAAACGTCGAAGGCTTTTATCAATCATGATATTATAGTAGGCGAGAATACGGCATTCGGCGAAGAAGGGTAGTTCAGTAGTTAGATACAGAGGTGGATTTAAAAAAAAGTTAAAATATTGGTCATTACTTTTGTTTTTTAAGGGTTGGAGGGATCGTGGTATGGATAGAGTATGATAAGGCAAGGCATGGTATAGGTATGGGATGGTAGGAGTAAGGCATGGTAAGGGTGGAACATGATAAAAGTAAGACATGGTAAAGGTAGAACATGATAAAAGTAAGGTAAAGCATAGTAAGAAATAGAAGTAAAGGTATAGAGGTAATTAAGGTAAAGCATATTAAGAATAGAAAATGATAAGAGTAGGGCATGATAAGGGTAAGGCATGGTAAGGATAAGACATGGTAGGGATTGGTAAAGGCAGGTCATGTTGAAGAGAAAAGGGCATGGTAAGGCCAAGGCATAGTAACAGTGGGACATAGTAAGAGTGTAGCATCAAAACAGTGACGCATGATAAGTTTAGGGCATGGTAAGTGTGACATAGCAATGCGCTGAGACTAGTTTTGTGGCTAGGGCTGGGGTTAAGGATGTGGCTAAGACAGAGGCTAAGGCTGAAGCTAGGGCTCAAGCTACAACTAAGGCTAGAACCAAAGTTAAATTATGTTATAGCTAAGACTAGGGCTGGGGGAAGAATAGTAAAAAAACAAAAAGATCAAATGAACGTTTTAATTTGTATTTTAGTGTAAAGTCTTTTCTATTAATTAAAAACGATTTAATTTGCAGTTATTTACAATTGTAAATTAACTCGGCTGATTTATAATCAACTGTTTTTTTATATCATCATTAAAAACCGCATAAAAACTATGAAAAAGGTAATAAATACATCAAAAAAGTTAATTTCTAGCGCAAAAACAATTTTCTTACCAGTAATATAAAAAAATCTTAAATTTAAAAAAAAATTTAAATCAAAAATTTAAAGACAACTCAATCACAATCATTAAATAGTAGCTTGTGAATTAAAAATATTTACTTCCTGATTGTGAACTTCTTCAACAAATTTCAACGTTATGAGATCAGTTTAGTTCAATAACACCAAATTAAACTTATTTTAACTTCTGTTTTGATGATGAATGAAGAGAAAACTTCAAAATTTCATCTTTTAACTTTGGTAAATCAAAGTAATAAGAATAGGGCATGGTAAAGACAAGATATGGTAGAGATAGTAAGGCATGATAAGAGTAGCACATAGTAAGTGTAGGGCATGGTAAGGGCGGGGCATAGTAAGGGTAAAGCATGTTAAGTGTATGGCTTAATAATGATAGGACATGACAAAGGTATGTCATGGAAAGAATAAGGCAAGGAATGAGAAGGGAAAGACATGACAAGGACAGGGCATGGTAAAGAAAGCATAGCGCATTGCAAGGGTAGGGCTTAGTGAGAGAAGGGAATGGTGAGAAATAATAAAAGTAGAACATGCTAAAGATACGGCACGAAGGGTATGGCATTAAAAGAAAAGGGCACTTTGTAAAAATAGCTTGATAGGAGTAAGGAATGGTTATGTAGGACATGGTAGAGGTATATGAGGTTAAGGTAAGGTGTAGTAGAAATACGGCATAATAAAAGTATGGTGTAGTAAGAGAAGGTCTTGTTTACTAAAAATTTGAGGTAAAGGTATATATATAGTAAAATTGTTTATTTGACTATTTTTACAGTGTTAAACAAACATACCATTGTTAATTTGAGTTTTTAAAGAACAACTTTTTAATAAAGTTCAAAAATGAAGTTAAAAAAAACGTTACGAAACTATGCAACAAATCCGCAAACAACAATAATATTCAGTAAAGAATTACATACAGCGTAGACATAGAGTAACAACAAAACAAGACGTTTTTGACAGCAAACATCAAAAACGGTAAAAATGTTTATTTACTTTTATATTTTTATAATAATATTGTTTAGAGCTAAGGTAGGAGTAACTATAAGAGTCACTATTAGACAGGTAAAGGGACTGGGCCTACTTTTTGGCCTATTTCACGGTTTGGGCCTTGGTTTGGGAGTCGACTTCGGGGGGGAGTAGTCGAAAAAATCCACAGGGGGGACCACGTACATTTTTTTTCGAAAATGTTTTGGGGGGGGAGGGGATGGTGCGGGGGGGGTACCTTCCTACCCGCCCCCCCCCCTTTCGCGCCCAGCCCTGATCTTATGTATAATAAATAATATAAGCTCATTTATATATTAAGTGGGACGCTTTTACGTACTGCTTTAGTACCTTAATTAACCATTAGTTTTACAATTTTATTTTTTTAGCACAATTCGAAAATTATTAATTTAAATATTTTTAATGTCTGTTTTACACGACGTAATTGCCACGAAATGGTTCTTTGTATTTACTATAAGGAGAGTTGCTTATACAGATAGTTCACTACGTAGAGACCACAGTACAAAGGAATTCTCTACGTTTTTATTCATCAGCTAAGAAAACATGTCTACATGTAAAAAAAGGTTCAGGTAATAAAACATAGCTTACTATACATCACAAAGAAAATCTCTACGTGTTTATTCATCAGTTTAAAAATTGTCCATATGGAAATCAGACTTAGGTAATAAAGAACAAAAAAGGCGTGGTAAAGACAAATTGTAAGATAAAAATTGCTATAAATAGAGGTTCAATCCCCTATACCTTCATTTCATATTGTGAATGTTTCTAAAATAATACTTTTTTTAAATAGTGAATGCTACTGAATTCATGTTTATATAGTGTTTGGTAAGGTTTGTTTTATATTGTGTTATATATGTCTTTTTGTAACTTGTGCACCATGTAATGAATCTTTTTAGGTTTTTCTCAACTAAAAAATTTTCAAAGTAAATTCTGAGTTCGTTACAGTATACAAAAGTATGGATGTTACAGTATACAAAAGTACGGATGTAAAGCGTCTTGTCGTTTCAGAATAAACAAAACGATATGAAAAACGCATACTACGCAGAATCTCGTAACGTAAAATATTTGGACAATTTGGAAATTGGTCGTTGATAATGGTTTCTACGGTCTACCTGTTCTGTTCTACGTCAAAATTGGATGCAAGGTAAACCGTAATCAAGTAAGTTTTAAATATTTTAATAAAAAAAAGAACAGGTTATACTTTTATATTAGGTGCAGACATAAAGAATCCGCCATACTTTTCGTGTAATTTCCTGTAAAAAATGGCGGGTTGTTTATGTCGGCACCTAAAAGAGTACTATATTGCAAACGACTATCCTACAAAGCTATCGTTTTTTGTTTTTTAAGGATCTAGGGACAAGACCATCTGTACGTAAAAAATAATAAGGATTATCACGAGTGCTCTAGAAACTGGTCTTCCACAACGGTATTGAATATTGCACGTAAGAAATTCAAAGAAAAGCTAAATTTATTAACGGTTGAACGTAAAGACTCAGAGATTCATGTTATACATCTTATTGTATTCATTGATGGTACAGAACCTATAGCACACCAGATAGACCAGATTAGTTATAAATCTGGGTCTTACTATAGGTTAATAGAACGAAGAAATTAATTGGAGCAACGTAATCATTGAGTGC